TTTTGTATTGAATCTCTTAAATTTTGAATCTCCTTTAATTGCCCGAGGGGCTATCAGTCCAAGGGGCAATTAAAGGAGATTTAATGCGGTGTTCAAATAGAGAAGCTTCTGTATGGACGTAATTATGAGGCTACATATGATTGCTATGAGTTTTGCTGGCAGATAATCAACTGCACTATTTTATAGCTGTAGCTTATGTACTGACTTATTGACTTACTTCTGAGCACATGAGATAAAGGGACCTGAGTTTCGAGTCAAGTCATGGGTGTTTAGAGAACAATTCCAAGTTGAATTTGAAGATTGCTATTGCAATTTAGGTGGAAGTACAGTGTAATTCTCTAACTTTATTTCTGACTAGTTATTTCAATATGATAAATTGGTTTCCCAATTAATAAGTGAAAGCTAGAGCAAACTACATGCATCATGTCACTTTTCTCTGCAGAAGTATAAGTCAGGTAGAGAAGTGGTGAAAGTTATAGTCATAGGATAAATAAAGGAAACTGACTTTGGAAAGAAGGGATACACTATATGCATTTTTTCCTTCAGACTACTCCTTTTCAGTCAAAACTTTTGCTTATATTAATATGTGACATGTTCATCTGAAACTTTGAGATGAAATCTTGTCTGAAAAACTGTTGGGTTTTTTTCGCCCACACAGACTTGGATCCAATTCTACGTCTGTTAATCAGAGTCCTGAGAAACCTCTGCAAATAGGAAGAAAACGACTCACTCCCAAAGAACAATAGCATTAAATGGGGGAAGCCTTTCTTGTGATCAAACAATTTGCAATAAGTTACAAACTGTCAAAATCTGAAAAGAAAGAAAGTACATCATTAGCTATGGAAGGAGTGGTGGGGTGATTCAAGGAAAATTGTCCATTTAACTGTACCATCTTCCTTATTAACAAATAACCAGTCTTTTCAGACTTTTATTTTTAAGATTCAGGATGTAAACAATGTATTGATGACAATTTGGTTAATAAGTTCCAGATACACACTTTGATTTCCAGCTCTGGTCCTGGTTTCTGCCCTGGATGGTAAAGCCTTACCTGCCATTACTCATTACACTGACCTGTCGAACTTTTAGTTTCAGAAAATCATCACTATGGAAGTTTTATTATCAGGATTCTGCAAATGAAATATTTTCGTAGTATATTTCAATCATTTCATTCCTTTCATTCAGTCTCGGCTTACTGAAAACAAGAAATTAACTTTCAGAGGAATATTTTGAAACATAATTTTGGGTATTATGATACTGATTTGACTTATTGATGCTTAACATTGATCATTTATAAGATTATCAATTACAAGAGGTGTACTGTCTGGTAATGAACAGATAGCATCATTAGGACTACGGAACAAAAGCTCTAGATAATGTTAAGGTAACAAAACAATTCATCACGTTGTGAGTAACTCTTGGAGCATAGTTGTGTAGTGAGTATGTTATTTTTCTTTTAGGTAAAGTGTACCAACAGCAAACATAATCAATGTTCTTCTAAGTTGGGCTTGTTGTCAGAAGATGTAAGTAAGACTACATGAGAGGGGGTATTTAAGGAAAAACACAGATTCACTGATTGTTTGTTGGTTGATATGTAGCATATATTTGAATTTGTGCAACAAACATCAAAAGACAAAAAAAAAAAAAAACTACATAAAACCTATAAAACCATCATTCAACAAATCGATAAAAAATCCAAGTGCTCACACATCAAATCTAAATAAATAATATAAATTGTAGTACATATTTTAATACAGACTGATGGTTCACATTGATCATTTATAAGCTTTATTAATAGAACCCTCAACTACTATGGGTGTGCTATATTTTGTTAGTGAACACACTTAAGTGTGTAAGACAATGGATGGAAGGAAAGCATCATTAAGACCAAAGAACATATAGCATATAATTCTGGGACAAAGGTTGGAGGTAATTTTAAAGGTAAAATTTTCCCATGTTGTGAACAACACTTGGAAGATGGTTGTGCAGTGATAAGAAAAAATATTAATTTAATTCCAATTTATTTGGGGGGAAAGCGGAAAGTTAAACGCCGGGTTACTGCCTGTAAAACATTCTTAAGAAATACATTTACAGATGAGGAACATTTACTGAAATGTAGCACACGAGCAAGTGTTTAAAAAAAAATTAAGAATTTTTTCCTATCTTCCTGGTTCTAGTGAGAACAGGAGCAGCAGCTTCTGGATCAGCTGCAGCTGGAGGATTGATTTGTTGGACAGGCCTGTGAAGACGCTGTTACAATAATCAATGCGACTAAAGATAAACACATGGATGAGTTTCTCTAGATCTGGCTGAGACATTAGTCCTCTAATCCTGGAGACGTTCTTCAGGTGATAGAAGGCCGACTTTCTAACTATCTTAAGGTTTGAAATTTAAGTTAACCAACCTTTTGGAGAAAGCATGACGCAGCGGGAAGATCAGTGTTGATTTAACAGCAAGAAAAAGACTGAACAAAAGTAACATTCACAATGATGCGAGGCCAAATTCTGGAAAGAGAGTGATGTCAGTGTTTGTCTTTCACTCGAACTCTGGAAACCTAAAAGTTATATTTGAGTAGCCTCAGTTAGGCCTGTTTACTACCTGTAAAATATTTTTAAGAAATACATTTACAGATGAGGAACATTTACTGAAATGTTTCACCATAACAAGTGTAACAGAAAAAAATCTGTAATCAATCTGTCAATTTTTATTTGTATAGCAGATTTCAGCCCTTTAAAGCAAGGCACTTCAAAGGGCTTTACATTATAAAAACACAGTCATGCAGCACAGAATCAACAATCAAAACATCACATGAAGTCAAGTTCAATCCTAGGACTCCTCTTCTTCAATATTTATATGCTTCCTCTTGCTCAGGTTATAACAGAAAATGATATTAGCTACTATATCTATGTGGATGATACTCAACTCTATAGTACAATAGTATCAGGTGACTCTGAACCCATCCAATCACTGAATAAATGCCTGAAGTATATTAATGTATGGATCTGCCAAAACTTTCTCCAGCAGATAGAAACAGAACTGAAGTTATCTTTGGACCTAAAGAGGAACGATGTAGAGCAGGGATGTCGAGGGCCAAAAGACCAAATTTGCTACAAGCCGAGGGCCGTAGCAATTTGCAGGACACAGTCTGTTAGGCACTCTACTGTGTACCCAGAACTGGTGGACCAGTAGGGAGGCTAACTGTGTTTTTTGTTATTAACACTCATTACAGAAATTCACCCAACTGGTCTCCGCTGTGTGCTGTATGTGGGAGAAGAAGTCACATTGGTGCCGTGACCTGTTCAGAACTACATCGGACCGGGCTTGTGACTTCTTCCATGCTCTTAAATGGGCAATATGCGACAAGTTTAGCCACTGGTTAAAAGGACGTCATTTCACAGTCTGGACGGACAACAACCCATTAACATACATACTAACAAAGCCAAGGTTAGATGCATGTGAACAACGGTGGGTTTCCAGACTCGCTGCCTATAATTTCGATCTGAACTATGTTCCTGGTAGCAAAAATGTTGTTGCTGATGCCTTAAGTAGAGAACCATTTGTTCAGTCATGCATGAGCCATCGCATTGTAACTGAACCGTATACCACACTAATTAACCAGGTGAATGGTATGTTGGACAAAACGGTCCAAGATGCATTTCGTTTTACAACCAACTGTCAGCTGGTTGTGGAGTGCACAGATGGCAATGCCGAGGTGCCCTCACCTGCTCCCCAGACATTATTAACGTCACAAGATGCGTCGGCTGTTCTTCAGGCACATGAGTCTGGAGGTTTCAGTCAGATGAGAGTCACTGATGCAGCTGTCTTGCAACTCAGTGACATTGATCAATCTACCTTGATACCAAAGAGTGAACTTGCTAATTTGCAAGGTCAGGATAGTGTGCTGGGCAGACTTTTCTATTATATGCAGCGACACTGGAGACCCACCAGACGTGAACGAGCTAGTGAGTCACCTGGTGTTTTAAACCTGCTGAGACATTGGCCTAAGCTTGTCATTAAAGATGGCCTGATGTATAGAGTTAAGAAAGACAAACAAATGAACATGACAACTCGACAGTTTATAGTCCCTGACTCTTTAAAAGCTGAAGTCCTTCAAGGGGTGCATCAGGGCCAGGCCCGCACACTGCCTCTTGCCCGACAGAGATTCTTTTGGATTGGGACGGAACGTGACATCATTAACCATGTGAAGTGCCGTTTTCGATGTTTAGTTGGTAAAACTCCAGAACCTAAAGACAGAGCTCCCCTTGAAAGTATTCACACCTCTGAGCCGATGGAACTGGTCTGTATTGACTTTTGGACAGCAGAGCTCCCATGCTACATGCTAAAATTAGCTTTCCCCTGTATCACTCGTTTACAACTGTCAATTACATTTTCAACCTAACCTAGAAAAGTGTATTCATTTACTCTGTGAGAAAAGTTTTAATAAGGTAGAAAACACCTTTTGCTGACTTTGTGGTTGTTCCATTGTGAATCGCGTGCTGAACGTCAGTGGGGAAACCTCTCAAACTTCTTCCAATCCACCTCTTCACCCCACTTCTTTAAGGTATTTATACTAGTGATTGTGAAAATAGCGCCCCCTTCATTTCCGGAATGCAATAGTCCCATTTCCATATAAGGTATGAGTCTGACAGTGGTCTGACCCCGCCCCTTTCTGCATGCTGCAGCGAGGTCCTTCTCGGCCTGAAACCCCCGGTTCTCTGCGTCCACTAAAAGTGTAGCCATTTTGGAGGAGGGGGTACCTGAAAGTTGATCTCTGCTCTGATTGCTGATGAACAATGAAGCTGCTCCTGCTTCAGTGACTTCACGGACTACCGTTGCATTGTGGGGAATGTATTGTTGGTGCGGGCAAAACGCCTGCGGGCCGCTGTGGCCTGCGGGCCGCTGTGGCCTGCGGGCCGCTGTGGCCTGCGGGCCGCTGTGGCCTGCGGGCCGCTGTGGCCTGCGGGCCGCTGTGGCCTGCGGGCCGCTGTGGCCTGCGGGCCGGTTCTAATAGTGATTAAATATCATCTTTGGGGCCACAAATAATTAATTTGCGGGCCGGACCTGGCCCGACGGCCTTGACTTTGACATATGTGATCTTGAGTCAATGCACAGCTTCAGTTATTACAACTAAAATCTTAAAGAGAGTTACAAAGTCCTCCTTCTACCACCTGAAGAACATCTCCCTGATTACAGGACTTATGTCTCAGCAAGAAAAGTGACTGGGTATTTGTAACTGTGAATTTGATGTGATTGTACCTCACAAGCAATTTTGGAAACTGTGGTTGTGTATTGGTTTCCTGTTGTGGTTGGTTTCCTGTGCATTTGTGAATATGTACCTCCATTTTGTGAATATGTACCTGGTCTTTGCCCAGTGTTATTGTATTTTTTTTTGTTGTGCTTTTTCTATTGTTTAGTTTTGTTGTAATGGGGAAAGTGGAATTCGGCAGGAGGGAGTGTAGCATAGATAAGGTTGTATAGAATTACATTTGTCATTACTTCCAAGTTTGGGTTATAAGTAACAGGTGAAACGGCACCCCGCCTGGTGGTTGGCAGTGTTAAATAGAGTAAACGCGGACATCTTGTTGCCAGTTCATGAGAGATGGGCGTGAGGTGCCGTACCCGTTGTGACGAACCTGATTCCTGATCAGTCCATACTCTGTTTCATACAGAGTATGGACAACCTTTCATCTCATCCCGTCTCCTGGCCCCTTATTCAGACAACGTAGAACTGATTTCGAACGATCACAATTTAAAGAGGTTACATTAGCTAAAAGGTGTTCATGATGGATGTGTTTATCATTGATTTTCTTTTTTTCAGACAAAGAAAGCAAATCAATAATACTTACACCAGCACACACTCCTTTGTTCTTGTTGGTCCTACGAAGGTTGAGCTGCTCATGCAGTCGTGCACAAGCTTTGATCCAAGCGAGGCATTCTGTTTCTGATTTGGGAAATCTGTGAATTTCACTAACACTAATATGATCAGGATACCTGACATCACCAGAACTGACACCCCACTGGCAATGGAGAACCATTCATTTTTGATTGCTGATGCAAAAACTTTCTGTCAGTCTGCTAGTCCACAATGTAGCCTGGCGCTACATTAGCATGTGTTTACTAATGCATGTACCTTAGCTTGTGTTTGTGAGACGGCCAGGCACATGGAAGCTGAGCTGCTACGTAGGATGGGCATCAGCCAATGAAACGCGGCCCCTGTGGTAAGGTCCATGTCCCTGTGGGCGACCAGGTGCCCGCGGGCACCGCGTTGGTGACCCCTGCTTTAAAGTGAACACAACATTGTTTTCTTTCTCTACAGACTTTATTCCTAATATATTGTAATTTAATCTCATTTCATTAGAAACTTGAGGAAATGTGCTGTTGCTGCCATATCATCTTTGAGCTCTAAGGACAACTGCATGATGACATTAAAGACTCATGGGAGAGTATAGTCCAACACAAAATGTTGCTGAATTGACTTGAAAGATGTCAACATTGTCAGAGAGACAGGGGGATAGGACGGACAGATATCTCATCTACTTGTTCTTGCCAAGTGTCCTCTGTTTCTCTGCATGCTCAACGATCTTCTCTTCCACAAAAAGACCTTTCCGTCGACGGACAGCGTTCATGTATTTCAGGGCCTGGTTCACAGAGTCCGCCTTCTCTCCAAAATGCAGGTATTCTTCTTCTGTGGTAGGAACCCAGTATGGGTCACTGCTGATCACCTGGTTTGCAAACATAACAGGCAGTCACCATGTGTTCATAAACAGTATAACCTCAAAGGTGATGCAGTTGGGTATGTAAGCAAACAGATTTTTTTTTCTGACAATTGCAAAACAAACCTTATTTATACAATAATATGTATTTATTACATATTTTATTCCCAAATTTTACTTTTGCCAATAAAATTTATTCTGAATAAAAAAGCAACAGGAGAATTTTATGCACATTTTTATTTCTTTAGAGGTCTTTTGAAACATGTAAGGTAAATATCAGCATAGTATGAAGTTTCTTTATTAAATTGTTGTTTCTACCAACTGGTTCCTTTTAAATGGGTTCAAACTGTGTCAGGGTTTCCCCCAGTGTTGTATAAGCCAGGAGGTCCACCAGGCTTTACTGGTGGACCCCCCAGCCAGGCCAATCGTTGCTTGTTTTTGTTTTTAGAAAAATTAAGAATAAAAAAATTTGTAAAAAATTATGTAAAAATGTTTTTTTATTATTTTATTTCTTTTTTATTATTATTAAATCCATATTGGAAACATCACTGTTGCTCTGACTGACGGACCAAATGTATTCCTAAAAGATAAGTTTATAGTTTATGCATTTAAAGCCAGGAGAGTGGAGCTGACCCAGTGGAGGAGTTCAAGAATCTCGGGATCTTGTTCAAGAATGAGGGAATGCAACGTCTCCTTGTGAAGCGGGTGCTGTACTGATCCGTCGTGGTGAAGAGATAGCTGAGTCAAAACGTGAAACTCTCGATTTACCGGTCGAGCTACGTTCCCATCCTCATCTATGGTCATGAGCTTTGGGTCATGACTGAAAGAACGAGATACAAGCGGCCGAAATAATTTTTCTCCGTAGGCTGTCTGGGCTCTCCCTTACAGATAGGGTGAGAAGCTCAGTCATCTGGGAGGGACTCAGAGTAGAGCCGCTGCTCCTCCACATCGAGAGGAGCCAGTTTAGGTGGCTCAGGTATCTGGTCAGGATGCCTCCTGGACGCTCCCCTGGTGAGGTGTTCCGGGCGCGTCCCACCAGGAGGAGGCCCCGGGGAAGACCCAGGACACGGTGGAGGGACTATGTTTCTCAGCTAGCCTGGGAACACCTCGGTATTCCTCTGGAAGAGCTGGAGGAAGTGGCTGGGGAGAAGGAAGTCTGGGCCTCCCTTCTTAGGTGACAGAAAATGAATGAATGAATGGATAGATGGATGGATGGATTGATGGATCTTTTACAAAGTAAACTTGCCAGCTCCTTAAAATATTACATTTGAATGTTAAACAATTTAAAATCTTTTGATTTATGTATACTGACACCATTAAACCAAATTCAGCAACAATGATAATCTCAAGTGTTACATTTATACAGTATATCTTTGCTAATGTTAAAATATTGTCAATTTTGGGGCCCCTGAAATCTTGGGGTGCCTTATGGATACACTGACTTAATTTGGATAAAACAGAAGTTCAAATAATTAATATTAATTTTGTCTTGTTTTTTTATTTGTTGCTTTTTAGACTAGTTCTGGGTTTAAATAGCATTTCACTTGCAATTTTTTCTCGAAACATATAATTGAACCATAAAAAACACATTCACACTCTTTCTGCCTCCAGTTCTGTAAAACCTGCACAGTCCTATTAGCGCCCGTATTATACAGATGCCAGATGAATACAAGAGTATTCAGCGTTTTTACTTAAAGCGTTAATTCTAATTTTCCCATGGTATGATACACTAACCCTCACAAGAAGATTTTGGAAACATGTGGAGGTTAAGGGAATGTCTGCAATAAACATACCTGCTCTGCAGCCAATGCTATGCAAGTAGCATTTTTACTACTTACATTTTTTTTTACATTCCAAGTTTTGGTAAATTGTTTTGTCAGAAAAGTCAAAATCTGTTGATTGTGATAGTGAAAGCAATAAAAGGTTAAAACATCTGAGAAGATGAGCACTTTCATTGGCACCGCTGATTTGTTTGGTTACCAGATAAAGTGGGAATCCTCATAATTCTAAACTCTTTCCATTTTCAAAAAATGAAGAGTTCACCATATTTAGGATGATCAGATTGAACAAATTGTTTTTGTATCTTGTAATCACCTTTGGCAATAAATGACCAGGGCCATTAGTTTAGAAAGGTGACAATATTTTAGTTTCTTCTCTAATACACGGTCAGCTGTGTCACCTTGAATACCCAAGCGTGTTCCATTCCAAATCACATTCAATCAGTTGTGGGCCGTCAGGGCCTGCAAGGCCTTCTCTGCTGGCCTAAAAATATCTGAATCACAGACCCATGTTTATTATATTTTGTCCATGAATACGTATTAAATAATTCCAAATGGTCTGTCCGCTTCCCGTTATTGCTGGCCTCCTGGTTGCGCTGCTTCCAGACGTGCATTTCCATATTTAAACATGTAACCAATCACAATGCAGCCACTATTTGTTGCCAGGGTCAAAGGAATCTGCCTGGAGACCTTCACAATCAGTTCTGCGGGCCCTGTAGCATAAAATAAATGTCGATCAAACTGTTGCTTCAACCAATCAAGGCCCTCTAGCAGGCGTATGGAAACGTCATCACATTCACACACTTTGATTGGATAGGCAAAGAGCGTACTAACCAGAGCTAGCAAACAGCATCTGTAGCGAGCTGCACAAGCAAAGATATTGTTGTGGTGATTTAAAAACTGTTTTGTCAACCCACAATGGCTGAAGAAGGAGAAGAAATGGACTTGGTTGGAGATTTACTGTCAAAGCCATTTTCAAGACGGATTTCTCAAGAAAAGCTGGACATTGTTAAGCAAGGTCGGTCTCTTGAACAGAGATTCTCAGCCCTTAAGTGAATTGAAACGGACTTCTTGATGGAACTGAAACGCATGGATAATCTGCACAACAGAGTGGTTGAAATCTTGAGGAAAGAAAGGAGGATGAATTTTGTGTACTAATAAACAGGATTTTTGGTGAGTAAAATGTTGCTATATTCCTAAATAATATTGCAATTTTATCAGGTTATTTGTGATGCTTTTTATGTGTGTGTCGCAGTTGTACCTGCAGTAGAAGTTTTATAGCGATAAAATAGTTATTGAGGGCTGGACTGATTCAGACGGAGCACTATTGAAGGCCTAGGTGTGAAAAGCATGGCCTGCCACTGCATTCAATCAACTAAACTTTTTATAGAAGGACTCCCACAAATGTGGAAAACAACATCAATATGAGTTGGAAGTCAACACCTAAGTTCTATTTTGACTCTCACAACAAATGCTTGTCTAGATCTTTAAAATGTGTTTTTACTTTGATACTCTCATCTAGTTTGTGTTGAACGTTTTTGGGAAAACTAATCAAATGAGTTTTAAAATAAATTTGACTTGGCAAAAAGTGTGGAAAAAAAGGGATATGAATACTTTCTGATGGTACTGTATAAAAATGATCAAATAATGATCACATGGCTTTTATAGCAGAGGAAAAGAAATTCTGGCTTTTCATGAAAGAATGGCTAAAGAGTTCACCTCCCAGTGGCTGAAAACCAGCTGTGGACTGGCCAGTCCACTTGTCCTCTTGCGGATCTCGTCAGCAAACCCAAAGCTCTCAGCAACAGGAAGAACAGCTGTGATGATAAACATATCTGTCCCTTCTTTCATCTCTTCATGGAGGACTCGACCTTCTCGCTTTCCAAGTACACCATAAACCCGGCCTTATGAAGGAGAAACAACATGCAAAGATAAGAGTAGCAACTGCTGAGATCATCCCAAAAAAAAAAGGATGGCAATTTTATTTATGTATCATTTTCAGCAACAAGGCAATTTAAACTGCTCTACATGACTAACAGGAAAATAAAACAAGAAACTAGCAAAAATCATTACATTGCAGTGGTGAAGTAGGAAAAGCGATGATAGGATATCAAACAGACAAGACTTTATAACGTTCCAGTTGGTGTTAATCAAAGGAAACTCTAAGCATATAGATTTAAGAATTAAGATTTAGAGTTTATTCTTTGTCGCTGTACACCTGTTGCCATGGCTACTTTTGCATCCAAAAAACATGAATGCCAGAGTAGTTCTCAGGAGGAGGTTTTTGATGCATTTTAATGCTTATAAAAGTGACAGAAATATTCTGAAAGTTGACTTCATACAAAAAATTTTAATATAAATATTAATTTTGTGGTAGAAAAACGCCTCATTTAATCTCTGCCAACAATCAGATCAACCACAGGAGCTGCTTTTTCTCGTCAACCATAGCAGGAGGCCGACTACACAAGGAGGCCCCAAGCAATAAATAAAGAAATAAAGAAACAAAGCTTTTTTCAAATTGCCCTAAATGTTCTTAAAAGCTTGGAATTATTTATGCAATGATGTATTAAGAAAAAGACACCCTTACCCAGCACCTCAGCAGTTGCCAGGATCTCACAAGTGTACATGGCTGCCATCAGTCTCTGGGGCTGAGCCTGGAAGGCATGCCGGCATGCCTCCTTCATGACCGCGATCAGCTGGCCAGAGACTGGCCCATAGCAGTCCACAGAAGAAGCGTCAGACCTTCGCTCTGCTGTCCCATCTACACTGTTTCCATGTGAATTGAAATCTTGCAATGCTTCAGGGGAAACAGAGTCCTCTTTTAAGGTGTCTGGATTTTGTGAAAAAACTACAGACTCTACATCCCACCTCTCAACCGAGAAGCAAACTCCCATCAGGGGTTCTTCACACATGGGACCAGACAGGGTTGCAAGTTGGAAACCACTGATGATACTGTTATCAAAGTCTCGGAGTGGAGAAGCTGGAGTTCTAACTTGATCATTACTGTGTCTCCACTCAAGACACTGCCACACTGACGGTCTGCTGTAGTCTTTAATGCTGTTCAGAAGAATGTTGGGACCATACCTGAAAGCAAACAAAAAACCAACCAGATTACCAACCCCAGGAAGTAATATTAACAGAAAAATGCTGTCTGAATTTGCAACAACATTGATTATGAAAGCTGAGATTGATTGGAAATGGTTAAATCTGCTCAGGAATGCCACCAGGTCTGACCTCCGAGGCCCAAAAGCCCAGATCCGTTGCACAACATTCCGCCACCTTCTTCCCTGCAGCAAGCTCTGAAGATGGTCTTTCAGTTCTGCAATAGCCTCCAGGGTCTTGAGATTTATGTCCACGGCTCTCCCCTCCCTGAGGGACGAGTTCATCAGCTCCAGAGTCCGAATTAACTCAGAGTTTCTCTCCAAGAGAACAGTCACCTCTGTCCAGAAAGACAAGACAGCTGAGCTGAAGTCACCAACAAGTTAGTACCCATTAAAAATGCATTCAAACTTCAAACTCATGGAACATACAGTGCATCACTGTTCCAAGTTCCTTCATGTTTTTAACCTCAAACATCAAATACCACTTTATCCATTTAAAGGAATTCAAGCCACACTTGGACTGAGTTAATGTGTGTTTGTGTATTACCCTGTGGTAATGGGATGGCCCGTACACAGACAGTCGCAAGTCTGTTAGGAGTGGTGAGGGTAACAAGACCTTCAGGGTCCATATGCTGGCAGTCAGATGAACGACCCTGAGAGAGTTCTTCTTTCATCTGAAACACAGCCAAATGGTAAACTGGTGGTTATTTCCGCTGGTCAAAATGACTCAAAAGCTTGCTGTCATTTATGACTGAATCAAAGAATAAGACTCATTTACTCCTCGTATAAATTTCTTCAAACTTTCTTTGAATATCTGTAAAAGACAGTGACTCTGTCTTTAACATTCTGAAAAACATCAATGTTTTCATGGCTGACTCACCTGATGAATGACAGCAACTTTTTGTTGCTTGCCAAGTTCCTCATTCACCATATCCACCTTTGGAGGTCGCACCACAGTTTCTCTGAATGGAATGATGGGCTTAGACACACTAATCTCTATCTTGGCAAACCTTCAGAGACAAATTAGACAAAGTGGAGGAGTAATTAGTAGTGCTCTACTGACTCCTGCAATATGAAATCTATTCAAAACTTTATACAATTAACACAAAATATCCAGTGTAACCTTCAACAAAGCGCACAACTTACTCTTTTCAGTCAATCTGCAATATTATTTGATATTATGCAGTAGATCTACACTGTAAAATCTGTTTTGGTAAAGTAAAAAAAAAGAAAATGCTTTCGACTTTGATTGAACCTCTTTAGACAATCAAATAGGTCAGTACTTGAGCAGTACTTTTTCACACAGAGCAGATCGAAAGGGTCAACTTCTGTGAAGTTTATTAGTTTAGCACATTTCAGCAACAAGTGCATTAAAAACATTACACAATAAACACATAAAACCTTACACTGCAGTGGCAAAATAAAGCATAGTAATAAAACGTTTTGGGCACCCCTGGACTAAACCATTGTTTTAAAAAAATGGCAGAGGAAACAGGGAGAACCTAAAAATTCATCCTTTTTTTTCCTAGATGAATGGCGGATTTATGTCATTCTAGTAAGTAAGTAAAGTTTATTTATAAAGCACATTACACAGTCATAAAATCACAGTGCACCGTACAACAGAAATCAACTTTAAAACCATATAAAACATAAAAATTGCAGTAAAATCAAGAAATAAAATCCTGAGAGAATATAAATATTTTTGCCTTTTAAAAACGTCCACTAAGTCAGCAAAATGGAACTGCAAAGGTAAACTGGTCCACAGCCTTGAGGGCATCGACTGAAAGGTCCGGTCCCCTTTTTTGTACAGTATTTTGTCTGCTGCACAAATTGTTTGGGCTTGTATGAAACACATTAATTTTGCACAAAAGCAATTTACTGACTGAAAAGCCCTGCCCCCTTTAGTTCTCAGCAAAACATGTGGAAAAACCAGGAGATTCAGAGACTGAGAATGAAGGCCATGAGCAGCAAAATATTTAGTTAAAAGCTGACAAAGATAATCAGGAGCCTGGCCATGAAGTTCTTTCTTTTGCCTTTTCATATTTGCATTGTTTAACTACAAAGATTTCTTTTATGATTTATTTGGAAGAAAGGTGGCAAATCCAAAATTTGTAAAAGTTTAGATTCCTGACCCCTGAATCCCTGGGATTTCCACTCATGCTGCAAACCCTGAATCTCCTGGCAGGGCACCAACTACACATCACTGCATCGGGTAGCAGAGTCTCTCTGATTGATTGATGCTCTGTGTCTAGCACTACACCACATAGACTTTGCATGTAACCCAGATGATCCTAAGACCCAAATCGGGTTTGGTCTGATATGCAGCATTAGTCGCTCTACTCCCCAAATTTGGAATTCAGAGCTCCTCGATCTACGAAACATCGCATGTTTAAATCTGGTCTGAAAACACACGCTATCTTTTTTCTTCTTCATTCTTTTATTTATTGCATTTCTATTCCAATTATTTATTTTATTTCTTATTTTTTTAACTGTACAGCAACATTGAGTGTCCTCAAAGGCACTTTTAAATGAAATGAATAATAGACATAATATTATTATTATTAACAGAAAAAGTGGATGGAAGAAGATGTGATAAAACATGCTCACCTCTCTCTGAGGTCATCTAGACAGCGCTGCAGGTGAACTTCTCCAGCAGTGACCAGAACATGCTCTCCTGTTTCCTGTACCAGAACCTCAGCACACGGATCTGCCTGGCTCAACAAACGCATCCCAGAAATCAGCTTTGGCATTTCACCTAGAGCATACATGTGGAAAACGTTCATTTTATTGCCATTGCATTCAATGCAACAGGTATCAGTTCATTTCTTTTGGTTTAATAATTTAACTCAGTTAAAAACAAGATGTTGGTGATTCCAAAGCGAAATCAGCCACTTAAAGTAAGGCTTCATTCAGATCCATACAATGCTTCCTGCAGGTTCAAGTTTGAAGAACATCAAGGATTTTCAGCCAATGGAATTAGTTTTTACCAGAGAGGGCACTTACAGTTTCTAGAGCAATTTTCAAGTGAATATGACAAGCTGGATATCATAAACCTCCACTCGTAATCTCATTCCAATAGTTGTTAAGCACAAGGACAACAATCGCATCTCAGGTGAAGTCAAGAGAAAATGTGGAATGGGTGGAAACCAGTAGATATTGTGTCCTTCAAAAGTAAATCACAAACTAAATGCCTGGTGAAACCTACTTGGATGTTTTGGCTCTACAGCAACCCGTACAATGGGTGCAGCTTCAAAGTTGAGTGGAGTGAAGGGGGAACAAGCAGGGGAAGATGACAGGGTAGCTGTCTTTAAGACACAGTCCTCCAAACCGCCAATACCTGAAAAAAGATGACAGAAGATGGGCAAATGCTACAATAAACAAAAAGGTTAGGAAGACAAAGCAGAAACAAAATCAAATGATTATTTTAAGTTGAATGATGGCAGCCACGCTTTTCAGCTGTCATTTCTGTCTAAAACCTTGAAGGAGCTGCAGGGAGATACCAAACAAATCCCTGTGTGCAACACTGGCAACAAGTCTTTTATAGAGAAAAGAGCTCGGCTTCTGGCACTGCTTCAGGAGATCGAGAAGCATCTTCAGAATGAAACAGAAAGCAAATCTAGAAAGAATCAGTAGGTGGTTGTATCCCAGTATAAAACATTTATGAAAATTGATCAGACTTTAAGGAAAATCTGTATTGGCAATAGATTTTACTTGAACTGTGCCACTACGACAGACTGGCAACCTGGGTGACACCGCCTTTGACCCAAAAAGTTAGCTGGAGAGGCACCAGCGATCCCTCCTGACCCCACTAGGGACAAGGGTGTTAGAAAATGGATGGATGAACTGTACTACTGCTTACATTTTGTTCAAAATATGGACAGCAAGACAGAGAGAATAAAAGGCCCCCATCACAAACTGTATCAACAGAAGAAGTTGGTGCTGATAAGACAACTTTTTTTTTTTTTTTTTTTTTTTTTTACAACAAATGGTGTTTCCCGTGTTGGAAATAGAAAAATCTAGCGCTGGTTTAGAACAAGAAGGCCCAAATAAATGTGAAGATGTCTGAAGTTTTTCCAAATACAGTGCAGTCCTGATAAAAAGGCACATAAATGATCAAATCTACCCATAACATTTCCAGCAGGGATTTCCTCCAACTCTTCCAGTTCTCGGCCCATTTGCAGGTAAAGGTTTTCCACGGTACAACAGGACAGATGAGGTACTTCTGGAATACAGTCAGATGTACTGCATCCTTCAGGCAGCTAGCATAAAGAAATAAGAATACAACATGTTAGAAAAAACAGTTCAGTGTTTGTTTGTTTTTTTGTTATGACTGAAAATAAAAATCTGTTATTGAGCAGGAATAACAGATGTGTTCAAATCTAGCAGCATAGAAGACATCTACTGCCATCTTGGCTTAGAAAAGGCTGAGAACATGGCTAATAATAATAATAATTATAAAGTGTAATCAAGAAGAAGTGATGGGGTATAATTAAACACAAAAGTACCTGCATGAAATATTTTTTTCTTATTTTGGATACCATCTCATGGTATTTGCATCATTTAGTTTCAGAACTAATCCAATGCTACTTGTGTCATTTTCAAGTAGTCTTCTTTCCTTCTAGCTTATTTTCAGATTTGAAATGATCCTGTTTCTTGGTCCCCATCCCTTGGTCCAAATGGAGACCAAAGTTGCAACATGTAACATTTTTAGCTGTTGTGGTCCACTGCCAGACTAGGCCTGTCACGATAACAGATTTTGCTGGGCGATAAATTGTCTCAAAAATTATTGCGATAAACGATAATATTGTTTGAAGACCTTTTTACATTGATTTAATGGAAATTACGTAATAATACATGTGATTTTCTGCCAAAGATAGAAACATTTTACTTTCAAAAGACACTTAACACTGGGACTGATACACAAAATAAATAAAACAACCAAAACCAAAAATAAAATAGATTCTCAGTCTCCATTAACAATAAATGTACTTGAATACAAACTATACAACATAAAGCCAAAGTGGAAATAAATACTGCATTCAACCAAAAGAGTGCAGATTATGAAGTCTGTATAGTATATTGGCCTTCAGTAATAATTAGATTTAAATAGAGAAGAATCCGACTGCCTGATGCAATAGTTCAAACTACAGGATTTTTTACCCTGAACGACAATCTTAGTTCTAAGATTGTAGAACGAAGATCTAAATCAAGAATTTATCCAGACTGGGAGAGTGACGCAGCCTGTTGAATGTGACCGGTAGCCAATCAGAAAGCGCGGATTCTCCTCCTGCTTTCTGAGGGGAAACACGGAGGGAATCCCTAACAGCTGACACGATGCAACCCGAAGTCCAGCAGACATCGGAAACAACATGAATGTTTATTCAACATTTCATGCAAAGAAAATATAAATAACTAGGGGAGGAGTTGGAGCAAAATTTCTACCAGAAAACCCGGTAACTTTTCACCTGTTCTTCGTTAACGTGACATAAATAGGTTATAATGATTTTCATTCAGTCAGACTGACACTAGCCACATGCATTGCAGGTAGATTGTAGTAAGCAATTGATTAATGCCTGGTTTCAATATTAGTGAACTGGACTTATTATTTTGTGTCCATTGCTGGACACAACACGGTTCGATCGAACCGTTATACCGAGGATTTCTGTCGGCTAATGTGTCTCTCAGGTTTTGGTAATGGGCCGACAATCAGCGACATCAGATGGTGCAGCGCGCTGGGCATTACACTAAGGAAGTAAGGAAGGGAGGGTCAGTGGAGAGCACCGGAGTTGAGCCTTTTTTCATTCAGTGTCAACAGTAAGAGAAAAAGGCAGGAAGAAACGACATAGATGATAATTGAAATGACGTCGATAGTTTTAATTTATCGTCCGATTAATTGACTTATCGTTTATCGCGACAAGCCTATGCCAGACTGCACTGTATCAAACCTACCAACTTCTGAAAAACCTGTCCCCACCTCTCCTGTGGGGGGACGTTAGTGGGGAAGGAACTGTAATAGAAAATTTCATTTTTAACCTTATTTCATCTTGAATGTAAATGCTGAAAGTCAGTTGTCTTGAAAACCTGACATGTGGATTGTAGTTACTACCCCTGTCTTACCCTGCACCCATGAGTAACTGACAAAGAAGAATTAGAAGTTTCTCCTGAAATCCTTATCGGCTCTTTTTCTTTGCCATAAAATCGTCCCCTCCAAAGAGGTGAGGGACAGTTCATGAGGAGAGGGTAATGACTGTCTCTGTGGTCCATCTGGCAAAAGAGATCAGATCAGACTTTGGGTGGGCCTTTTTTCTGGTCTGGATATATAACTATGTGATGAGTGTTGTTCAGGGATCTTCTCCTGACTGATTTCATTGAGACGAGTGATTGAACACTTTTGCCTTCGAATAAAGACACTTAAAGACAAAGATTAATCTTTCTCTTATTATTGAAACAGAGCCTCATTCTTTGTTAAATGAAAATTCCATAACAGAACCTTCACACGATATAAACAAAAATGGGCTGGTGTGAAAATGGCAAAACAGAGTATTCTTGTTTTATCTGCATCACAGTTTGATTGTTCATTCACATTTCCCCAAGTTAACCGGGCTTTCTGGGCTACTTAACAAGAGTTTGAGTAAAGCAGACTAGACAAGCTGGTGTGAAAGCACACTTGGATGAAAACTTCTGTCAACTGCAGAAAACTATCTTGATTGGCATTTCAGAAGTTCAATGTCAATTGACACCGAGGTATTACAAATGTCAACCTTACCACAGTGATGCCAGTACAAAGATAAAACTAGGCGTAGAGCTAGGCAGTTTGGTTTTCCACAGCCAGAGAGCCATCTGGAAGCAAATTTCCATTACATCTCTACTAAATGCTTGATCTTTGCTCTGCTGGCTGAAAATAGACGGCAGCGTGTCTTTTTGCCTGAGTAAACATGTCTTATACCTGCTTCCTAAACTGTTTTTAACCAGTTAAGCCCCTGAGTACATTTCTGTGAAGCATATATGAACAGCAGAGCATACTGAAGTGATGCATATCCTTTCAGATCACCTAACAACGCTAAAATACATGACAGGTTATGAAGCTGCTAACAGCAGCAGTTCTGTACAGTTTCACACAGCGCTATGTGGGGTAAAGACCTGACATCATGAAAAACCACACAACTCAACTTACATCAAATCGTTTTACCATTCTTTATATTTCTCTACATACATTAGACAAATAATGGAGGTGTAAAACAGGGAGTGTAAAGTTTACCAGACTCAGGCCCTGAACAGGATCATACTTTGGTCCCAGAACAAAAACCCTTTGACCTTTCTTGACTGTCCCACTGTAGATTCTTGCGAATGCGATGAAGACTTCCTTCTGCTCCTCTTCCTCTTCTGGCTTTAGAGGCAGACTTGTCATAGTAGCTGACAGAAAACAAAAAAAGTCATACAATATATATAATATATACTTTATTCTAAAAATATTAATATATTTTGCTTAAAAAAAACACTAGACTGTATGGACTGGATTGTACAATAAAACATGTCCAATTTATAATAAATTGGGAAAATATTTTCTTCAGGAAGATCAATGCTTCTCATTAAGATATGACTAATAACATCCTGTTGTGCATTACTGAAACGTTTAAGTTAAAGAATATTTCTACCTTTATGTTCAATGCTTTTCTTTATTATTTACTGATATTTATTACATATTGTATCATCTTAAACCTGAATAACTTACTTAGCTTCTACCTGAGGTGAATAGCTGTTTTTTTATTTCTGTTAAGAGTAAAAAAATTTAAATCAGTTAACTCATGTGCTTATCCCAGTCGTGTTTTCATTGGTTGTTAGCTAGTTATTAGCTCACATAACCCAACCATTTCTTCATCATCTGTCACACAGACATATATTTAGGCTGAATTGTCCTGAAGATTGACCACAACTATTGCAGACTGATGTAAATTCTTTCAGACAAAAAATGACTAAAACAAAAAAAGAAAAATATATTTTTTTTTTTTGCTGTGCTAACTGACCTTCTGCTGGAGCACTACCTGACCAGGTGGCCCTCTCAAGGCTCTCTCCAGCCAGTTTCTCAGCATGCCTTTGTCTTGCCACTTCCCTACGCTGAGAAATCTCCTCCTGGTTTAAAGGCCTGAAAACAAATAGGTGAAGAGTAAATACAGGAGCCTAATAGCGGTTGATAAATCAATATATTCCATATGAGAACTTTCTCATATGGAATATTGTCTCTCTCAGTCAAGCGGCCAAGTCTATTCATGCTTATACGCTCAGAAGAATTATTCATTGATAAAAAACAGCAGACGTATGCACACCCAGCTTCAGGAGCCAGACAGTCTGACGTTCACGGGTACCAGCATTTTGGTACCAGAACTAGGACGAAGTTTTCAAATTGAGCTCAAGGGATTTTTATGTAAAATTTGCTTTCTGTATTCATTTCTCTGGTTTCTGTATTGGCTAACTCCTTCTCAGTGACAGTATAAGTCAGGTGAGTCAAACTCATTTTCGTTTTGGGCCAAATCAAGATCATGAAGGCTCTTAAAGGGCCAGTTGTGCCAGAATGTGTTGATAAAACCTGTTCACAAACTGTTAATATGTCAATGAATTCTTAAAATTACATATTATTGAAGATCTTTTCAGTCCCTTCAGGAACTAATAATAAATGCGATTGTTTATTTATTCGCTGTATAAATCATGGACTATAATCATACATCAACTAAATTCTCAAAAAACTGAAGGGATTGATTGATATAAATTGGCAGTGAACAGATAAAAACTGCATTGATAATATTTAATCACACTTAGTGTTTAGTCTAGTCTGTGGAGGGCCACATAAAAAGCTATTGCAGGCCGAAATTGGCCCCCGGGCCTTGAGTTTGACATATGTGGTATAAGTCATGCTACCTTTGACGCTAGGGAATAAGATGCTTGATTAATCCTAATGACCCATTAGAATTAAATGGGGGGAGTAGATAATTAACTAGAAAATTCCTGAAGAAATTTAACTGGGGCATGCCAAAGTGTGTCCATCGGTTTGGACCTAGCGTTCTGATGCTAAAAATTAGCATCAATGCTAAGCTTGGCAAAAAATTACAAAGTATCATGTGGAGAATCACAAGAATGTTCACTAACATGGACTTGTACCATTCAGTATGTTAAAATAAGTGTATAAGCTCAAATTAGCCAAAATGCTAATGTTAGCATGAATACTTTCAGTGGCATGTGGGGCATCTCTAGCATGTTATCTGTAATTGACTTACTCCATTCAGTATACTAAAAATTGCTAACAAGTAGGAAAAATAGCTAAAAGCTTATTTAAGGTAGAAGGCTAATGCTAATGCTCTGCCTTGCTGCACAAGGCAGAGTCCTTACCCGAGAGAAAAAGATCATGCTGGATAATCTTTAATGTTAATGTATTGTCTTGCTGCGCAAGACAGTGCCCTAATCTGAAAGAAAAAGATAATACAAGCGAATGTCATTGCAGCGCCTACGGCCCTGCACTAGCCACAGATGGATCTTAAGGCTTTTATTTTGAATTTTTCAGTAAACTTGATTTTGCCCAAAACACAAGCAGTTCTAAAGTCCAGCTTTTTCCTCAGAGTTCTGCCATACTTAGAATTACAGTGATGCGTTTTTGTAGTCCTAATCAACTGCTTGGCCCTGCTGTGTTCCATTGCTATGGTAATGGATCCTCTGCCAGCTGTGAGTCAGACAGGGGATGACAAAATTCTATCAGTTTGAGGCAGCCATTAGCTAATGCCCTAAATAGAGAGAAAAAGATGATGCAGAATAATCTTATTGCACTGCCTGTGGCAGTGCACTCGCGGAGGCAGTGAAATGCTAATATTTGTGCTAAAGTTAATGCACTGTCCTGCTGCATAAGACAGTGCCCTAACCTGAAACAAAGAGATAATGCAAGCTAATATTATTGCAGTGCCATCTTAAGGCTTTAATTTTGAAATTTTCAGTAAGCTTCATTTGAAATTTCCAAACTAATCCCATGATTAACAGTGATTGGGTTAAATCAGTTATAAAATGCCCAAAACAACAATGATCTCATGTAAAAGCTTCAGGGCTTTTATTTTGAAATTTTCTGTCAGCTTCATTTTAAATTGCCAAACTAATCTCATGTGTAATACTAGTTAAGTCAGTTATAAAATGCCCAAAACCCAAGCAGTTCTAAAGTCCAGCTTTTTTCTGAGAGTTCTGCCATTTGCGCCTGGGAAAACTTCAAAGCGGTTTTAGCTACACAATAAACTATAGAAATTTGTTTTTCTTTGCAAGGTACTCTTGGCACCTAAAAACTGCACTGCAACAAACGGCTGTAAAAAACTCAGCTCTTTAGTGTGATCTGAAATGTGTATGGGACTTGCTGCTGGATCACATGCAGGAAAAGTCACAATTGTCTTTGTTAAGGGCCATTACCCAACTATCGTTCCTCATAAATTTTCATTTTGAGTCCTATTCACTACTTATCGAGGCACTTTAAATAGAAGGAGGTTTATGCTCAATTTCAAAGTGTGTGTTTCAGAGATTAACTTATAGGAATTTTCCCAGTTTCATAATGCATATGGGTGATTGCTGTGTCATGCTTCATCCCAATGTGCAGCACCGAGCAAACCAGAAGACCTGAATGGTCTGGTATTGCCATTTTATCAGGTCTTTCACAAAACGTTCCCTTTTCTTAGTTTACCCACAGTCAGCCGTGCCCCCGCTGGACTGGAAGCTGTTTGTTGTTTTTCCTAGAGTGGCCAACACTGTTTTTCCTATATGAAATTGTTACAATATGGGCTCCTGCTTTCCCCATATACGCCGTCACTGTTTAGCGGTTAAAATGGTTCAATCCGTTGTTAGCACATCGTAACCCTTTTTTTCCGAGCCGCTTTTAGCGGATAAGCACTGTGACGCTTGCGCCAGGTCTACTCCTGTGCGGCAGTGACGGAGACCTGCTGCTGCTTGCACGTCTGAACAAGCGCGCAGGCATGCGTTAGAATCATGACAACAAACAGCAAACGCAAAGTTTCATCTCTCATTCAAGATCATCCGAAATCTGCATGGTTCTATTCCATATGCCATCCTGTCACTTCCTGGTTTACGCAGGCTATTCTCTAGCTTGCCCAGTATTTTAAGAAATCTGTTCCACTGTTGTGGAACAGTCTATAACTGTTTTTTATAGACTGCGTATTCTCCTCATTTAAATATATGCATTAGGAGGTGTGTTCTTTTCCTTTGTGTGGGCTGTCTTAATGTTAATTTTATTACCTCCTGCTAAAGAGCCCCAAAGGCAGATATACGGAAAACCCTTCTCGTATCAGCCGCTGTCCAGTTTGATATATGATTGCAGCTGCAGCGCTATCTCTGCCTCAAAATGTTTCCACAAGAAAGTAGTTTGTATTTTTAACCAAGCTTGCACAAAATGTAATGCTAAATAATGACTATAAGTTTGGATCTAATAAGTAACTAATTAAAAACATTCTTAAAGAAATATAGTTAATTCTAATATAGATAAAATTATTTATAAAAAGTTTTAAGATCCTAGTGAACTTTTGAACCATGCTCAGGAATTTGTTAATTGCCTGGCAGACAGGCTCCCTATCTAAAGAGATCCAAGGAGTCTAGGCCTGTGTTCTGTCTACTCCTCTTTTTAAGAATTTTATCTTTATCTGCGTTCATAGAGTGAGCTGTTGTTCTAGTATTATCTAAGTTTATATGCATTAGAGTGTACTTTAACTTTCTATGTTATATTTCATATGTATCAAAAACTATCCTGTGCAGTATTGTGCTAACTTAAAATTCTATTCCAACACCACCTAATGTCATCAATTGGCATCGATCAATTTTATCATCTCTACTCGTTACATCTCACGTCACGCACTGAATTTTATTCCCTATTCTTTTCTCAGTTTCTCATCCTTATTTATTTTGAGTCTTAGCTTTCGTTTCTTTAAGCTCATTTATTGTTTCAAGCTCTGAGGCTAGAATCTATATAAGACATCTTCAGCTTTTTAGATCACGTTCAACCAGTCTTCGGCTCCTCTCAGTGCAAGATGAGCACTGCGCAATTCACTGGTGGGGTTGGTTTACTCCATCTAAGCACGTGCTCCTTCCCCAATACTTATGTAGAGTATGGGTGTTTTTGTCTTGTGAAGATTAATAATTTCTCTGAACCTATAGAGGATGAAAAGCCATTAATCTACCTCACATCAATATCACATTTCATCAGAGAGAAACGCTCATAACACGTTCAGCTCGTGCGTCTGATGGCTTTGAGACAGAATTACATTTTTAGTCTGTTTGGGTTTTTTAAGAGAAATTACATGTTGCAGCTCATACAACTTTCTTCAGCATTGTTGTTACGGTGTGTAAGTAGTAATGTTTTCATAATAGAGAATCTATAGAATAAATGAAAATGTTTTACAAGCTTTCCCTGTACTTTCCCCTTTTGCTTTTACGTCCTTAATTTCAGGTTTCATTCAGTATTCTCACCTATTGCCCGCATCTTTCAACCATTTCACTGTGAGTCTAATTCCTGCTCCAGAATCTCGTTTCTGTAACAAGCACTCTATACATCTCTTTAAGTTTTCCCTCTTTAATCTTAGTAACATTTAGCTAGTTCCTTCCTCTCTTTCACTCTTTACTAATTATTTCATCCTCAGCTGGCTCTCTTCTCCCAGCGGCATATCACCCCTGCTCCTTGTCACGCAGCATTCCCTGTTGGTCCCTATTTGTTGGCATGTCTCACGCCCTGTGCATCCCTTCGTCCTATGCCCTGCCGCTCTCTCAGCTGGCCTTTTCAATCAGCTGCCTCTTATCCCTTGTCCCGCAGCACTCCCCATTGGTCCCCATTTATCGGCATCCCTATATCCCACGGCCTGTGCATATCACTGTCACGCCACCTCCTTCGGTTTCGGTTCTAACCTCCCACTCCTATTCCCCGGCCTCAGCCTGTTTATTTATTTTTTTTTTTTCCTATCGGCCTTGAGAGAATGCTCATCATAAAAGATTTTGCGATAATCGATGTCCTCAGCTGGGGCCCGAACGCCAAAGACTTTAATTTTGTATGTCAATAATCTCTTCTATTTGTCTTCCCCTCTTTGTCTGAGTCTCTGCAGATTGAAATGAAGTCTAGGTTAAAATTCAAACTAGAAGACTTTTCCTAGCCCCACCTGCATCAGCCAACCAGTACATCCTGCTCATCACTGTCATCCAATCAACGCTGGTCCAAGACACGTCACGTCCAATCATCAACCAAGTCCAAGTCCCTCCATCCATGGCATCTTCCGCTTTCCAGCAGAGCTCAACCCACCACCACCCCTTCACCTCCACTCGCCTGGTCATTCGGCCGCATTTTCCACCAACCTCCACCACCAGTGCCGGGTCCCTGGGGGTTGACATTCCTATCAGCATTGGGAATGCTCATCCGAGCTTATCGCAAAAAATTTTGCAATAATCGATGTCCTCAGCCGGGCCCTGAGCGCCTATCCATCCATCCATTCATGAATGGATGGATGGGTTTTCCAGTCTTTGGATCTTCCAGCGCCAAAGACTTTCATTTTGTATGTCAATAAACTCTTCTAATTGTCTTCCCCTCTCTTCGTCTGAGTCTCTCCAGATTGAAATGCAATATTTTCATCGTCTTTGTTGCTGGTTTTTAATATTTTCTATTTAGTGAAAGACTGGGAACGATTGATGGACTTGTTTGTTCGTCACGTCATAGTTTTCTGGTCGTCGGATGGTCTTATGACAAGAATTCAGAGATTAAAGATAAAAACAAGTGGTTATTAGATTTTTATATGAAGATAGAACATATTAATTACAAACAAATGTTTCTGTAGTCAAAATCAAATGAGAAGAATTTAACATAGACTAAATATCAGGAACATAAAATGATTCTGATGACGACAAAATTGACTCATTTTTTCCACATCCCTAGACAGTCACTTCATTCACAGCATTGGTTTTCAATCTCAAAAAACAGAAACAGCTACATTTCATTGTTAAATTGTGTTTTAAAACAGAAAATCAAACAACCACTTTTTTATTTTTCATTTCTGGCTTCTTATGTGTGATGAGTCACAAAGTATGAATGTAATGCTAGAGAATATACATGTTATTGCAAACAATAACATGTATATATGCAACCTGGACAGGAAGTGTATTTCAGCTGTATAAACTCAAAATCTCTTGCAGGTTTTTAAAGGTAACTGCTATAAAACAAACAGAAGAAGAATTTGTCTTGCTCTGACTTCCTGCAGTTTCAGCAAGTTTGTCACCTTTTCTCTTCTTTTATTCTGAACTTCCTCCAGAGAAAAAGTATGATGGGCTAAATTTAAATATTGCATTTCAAAATACAATATTTTTGAAATGCAAGATTTATTTGCTTTAAGCATAAATCTTAAAGCAAATAAAACAACAACTTATACCCCACAAAAACATATTTAAATACAAGCTTCAACTCCAAATTCTGCTGCAATACAAAAACCTAAGAGTAAATAAATGCATCTGGCAGCTCAAGCGCTTTGAATCGCCTTATTGCTGAAAATGCGTTATCAGTGATTCTTCAGAAGTGGGACGAAATGGGTTTAAATTTCCCCCCCAAATTTTTTTATTAATTTAATTTTTTAATTATTCCTCAAGCTTATGTATACAAATATGACAAATAATGTTTAGGAAATGTAAAGATGCTGAGGTGGCAACCTTTTTTTTTTTGCAAATTACATTTTTAATGGACCTGACCCAGAACTTTGTCATCAACATCTGACAAAAATATAAAATAATTTTTTAATGACCCTATTAGAGATATTTTTACTCAGTTTTACAGACAAATGCTTCTCAAGAAACAAAATAAATAAAACAAAAAAACAAAGTCCATCTGAAGGAGTTAAAAAACTGAAGGTGGTGACAAACTAGTGAGCAGCAAGAAATACTTGTTACATATGGAGTAATGCCATTTACGTAAAATACATTAAAATGAATTTACTGCACGCTTAAGTGAGATTTATCAAAGACTCACGTCGTCCGTTAAAAACTCTGGAGTTGACAAAATGCCAAACTACCTCAATTTCTATGACGTTATTCTGAAGGAGGCCATATTGTAGGTCATCATCATATTTTTACAGTATACTAAAATCAAGCTTTTAGTTCACAAAGTTTCATCAAAATTTTGTAAGTTGCCACTAATGGTGTTGACACATCATGATTGGGACGAACAACTTGGAAATAAAACAGAAGAAAAAACAAAAGAATAACATAAGCTAACATGAGCTGCTTATCCCAGTTAGCAAAGGAAGAGAAAGAAAGAAGTCCTGGGGTCCTCAGGACTTCTGATGCCCCCAATAATGGCTGATTTTTTTTTTACATTCTTTTTTTATGTCTGACGGTGTTGACAAAAACTTGGGACAAATTTCAATGGAGTTGGAAAATATATAAAAATAATTTTTAAATATTGACACTTTATAATTATTTATTTTAATACTTGTACTTAATTGTCATAATATGTTATCTTAGTATTTCTTTTATTGTTTTAAACTATTATAATGTATTGAGTTCTGCTCCACGACAAGGGACCTCAAGACACCATCTACCTACTACAATGTTTAAAATAAAAAATATTCAGCAAACACTAAGAAAACATACATAGTTGTTCTCACATGGCCCAGGTTAGTGAAATGTTTGAAAAATGTATATTTTGTGTAAATTTCATTTAAATTTTGTGCTTTATCCATAGGAACTGTTTTGTCTTTCTTCTCAAGAATCACTGGCTATATAAATAAAATTACCTTACCTCAACCTTCACTCATATCCAGATAGAAATGATCTCCTACTGTAGTATCATCTTGTATTTCCTCAGGTTATTTAGCATATTTTTATAGAAACATCAATAAAACAGAAGCTAATTTGGTTTTAAAGTTCAAGTGAAACTGACTTAGATCTGATATGTGGCTAACTAATGAGAACTTGACAAGTTTGTTGGTCATAATTTGGTCAGTTCAACAAATGTTTCCTAAAGAATCAACTAGAAAGCCACTGTGTGAGTTGAAAGCAGCTGTTCTATTTCTGGCCTCAGAGGTTCTTCAGAGCAACATGCAGAGATCTGCTGCTCAGGAAGGAGATCAGGCAAACAAGCTTAGTTTTAGACACTGTTCCATATAAAACAAATATGTGTCTTTTAAGATTTTGATCAGGATGAGCAAATCACAGAATGACTGAGACTTGTAAAAAGAAAAGTAAAAGAAAAAAAAAACCTTCCTGACTTCTGAGTTTGATTTTGCTGGAAAAATCTCAGGATGCAGAACTGAACATTCAGACAGTCCTGCATATTCAGGACTGTCAATTTTGTTTGTACAAACAAAATTCTGTTTGTACCAGAATTTTATGGATTTGATTTCTATTTTATACCCTGACTCTCTGATGACTGTCACACCCCTACCTAAGCTTCCTTTTAGTCAATATAAATGTATATTGTCACGTCAATAAAACCTCACCCAACCAAATACCATATTAAATACTAACAGTTACACATTTTTTATGGGCAAAGCTGGATGACATACATCAACACTACACAGGTTATTGATCACATTTACCTCTGTCTCTTCTGAGGCAAAGCTTTGGTGTCCATAGCAAACATTTTGGACACAAAAATGATGACCGGGTCATTTATCCCACTGGAACACTGGAGGAAGGCTGAAAAACAACCCAAATGGGAAAACATTACATTCCAAATCTCTATAGGCAGAAAGAAGACCACTGTTAACATTGTTAAAGCTGCAGTATATAGCTTTAACAATATGTAAATTTGTTTTTTACATATTTGTTGAAACTGTAACCATGCTGTGACTGTGTGGTATGAGATGAAAAATCTGTGACAAAATAAATAAATAAATAATATTGTGTTATTACCCACACAGAACAGAGTTCTGTGTGGGTAATAACACAATATTCTCACACAGAACAGAGTTCTGTGTGAGAAAGTTCCACACCAGATCGTACTACATACTGAGCTGAAGTCCAAAAACAGCATCCGTACGTGGGTGTTTCTCATTTCCAGGTGTACCAGGCTCAGATGAAGAGCAGTGGAGAAGACATCTTCAGATGAACGATTAGGTTTGTATGCAAACTGGAATGGGTCAAATGATGGAGGCAGTATTATATTACTGCTATTATTATTATTATTATTATTATTATTATTACTAATAATATTATTACTTATATTATTACTATTATAAGATATTATATTATATTATATTACCCTTAACCACTCTCTGGAAGCACTTCATGATAATAGATGTTATTGCAACAGGTCGGAAGTCATGAAGATGTGATGGTTGGTTTATTGGAATAATAATAGCTGACTTAAAACATGAGGGGGCAATGGTCTGCTGCAGAGTTGTATTGAAAATGTCCGTTAGCACATGGGCTAGCTGATATGTACATTCTTTGATAAGCTTTGCTGGAATGTTGTCAGGACCTGAAGCTTTTTGTATGTTGACCTTCCCCAGAGATTTTCACACAGCAGCTGTTTCAAGCTGAACCCTGTTCATCAGGGTGAGGGGTAGCTTTCCTTGCAGGGGTTTATTTAACCCCTGCAAGGTCAGGGAAATAACTTCTCAACTTCTTCTTCTAAAGAAGCTGTTGAGCTCATAAAGAAAGTTAATGTCATCTTGGTAGGATGAAGATGTGGTTCTATAATCAGCCACAGATTGGATGCCCTCTCACAGTTATCTGGTGTTGCTGACATTATGACAGAAATCTTTGATCTTTTGACTGTAGGCATGTTTTGCTGGCTTGAAGAGATAGTTCTTGTTGGCCCTTGATGATCTAAATGCGACCATGTCACCAGATCTGAAGGCAGCATTACGCTCCCTTAGTCTAGAATAGTCATCTGAGGTTTCTGGTTCGCTCATGTGACTATTGACTTTGTTGCTGTAACCATCTCCATATGCTACTGGATGTAGTTTAACACAGATGCTGTATACTCTTCCATGTCCATGTGTTGGTTGTGCGTAGCGGCCTCTCTAAACATGCCCCAGTGGTGTTAATGTTATGCATGGTTAAAAACTACAAATGGCCACCTGTGGTGACATCATAAAAGAGCGTCGGGCTCAGGTAGTCCACGTGACACTGATTGTATGATGAAGCCTATCCTGGAAGTTTGGTGATCCTGAATAAACCACTAAAGAGTTCGTGATGGGTTCCAAGCTTTCTTTGTTGTCAAGAAAATGTCATTTATGAGCGAGCCAGGTTCAACATGCGCAAAGAAGAGGAGCATGAAACCGTAGATGACTTTGTTACTTCCCTCAAAAATGTGAGGGAAGACATTTTTGTCGATTTATATATGTATTTTTCTTCTTTATTATGCATTTTATGGCTGGTTTATACTCCACAGTGACTTATAGTCCGTAAAATATGGTAATTATCAAGGTGTCACACAAGGAATCTCATGATGGATTAAAGCAAACATATTGTTGCAAAACAATCCGTTAGCATTAGTTACAAAAGGATTTCTAAATGTAGAAGTGGAAGGAACGTGATACCAGGCCTAATTTTTGGATGACTACTTCTTTATATTCCTTGAGTAGTATTGCTTTAAGTAATGTTCCTATTAATCCCACCTCTTCTCGTGTGTTTAAAAGCATTTTTTTTCTCTATGCAAGTCAAGCTGGGTTATCTGCAAATGCTATTTTAATATGCTCTACTCATTTTAGAGAATAATTATTAATAAATGTAACCTTGCCATCTTGTATTCTTTTTCTATTAAATTTTCACACACAAAAAATATCAGAAGGTCATCATTGTATGAGATGAATATAATGCAGAAGCTTCACTGCCTTAAATTGTGTGTGTGTGTAGGTGTGTGTGTGTGCGTGTGTAGGTGTGTGTGTGTAGGTGTGTGTGTGTGTGTGTGTAGGTGTGTGTGTGTGCGTGTAGGTGGGTGGGTGTGTGTAGGTGTGTGTGTGTAGGTGTGTGTGTGTAGGGGTGTGTGTGTGTGTGTGTGTGGGTGTGTGTAGGTGTGTGTGTGTAGGTATGTGTGTGTGTGTGTGGGTGTGTGTAGGTGTGTGTGTGTAGGTGTGTGTGTGTGTAGGTATGTGGGTGTGTGTGTGTGTGTGTAGGTGTGTGTGTGTGCGTGTGTAGGTGTGTGTGTGTGTAGGTGTGTGTGTGTGTGTGCATGTGTAGGTGTGTGTGTGTGTAGGTGTGTGTGTGTGTAGGTGTGTGTGTGTGTAGGTGTGTGTGTGTGTAGGTGTGGGTGTGTGTGTGTAGGTGTGTGTAGGTGTGTGTGTGTGTAGGTGTGTGTGTGTAGGTGTGGGTGTGTGTGTGTAGGTGTGTGTGTGTAGGTGTGGGTGTGTGTGTGTAGGTGTGTGTGTGTGTGTAGGTGTGTGTGTGTGTAGGTGTGTGTGTGTAGGTGTGTGTATGTAGGTGTGTGTGTATGTAGGTGTGTGTGTGTGTGTGCATGTGTAGGTGTGTGTGTGTGTAGGTGTGTGTGGGTGTGTGTGTGTAGGTGTGTGTGTGTGTGTAGGTGTGGGTGTGTGTGTAGGTGTGTGTAGGTGTGTGTGTGTGTGTAGGTGTGGGTGTGTGTGTGTAGGTGTGTGTGTGTAGGTGTGTGTGTGTAGGTGTGTGTGTGTGTAGGTGTGTGTGTGTGTAGGTGTGGGTGTGTGTGTGTAGGTGTGTGTGTATGTAGGTGTGTGTGTGTAGGTGTGTGTGTGTAGGTGTGTGTGTGTAGGTGTGGGTGTGTGTGTAGGTGTGTGTGTATGTAGGTGTGTGTGTGTAGGTGTGTGTGTGTGTAGGTGTGTGTGTGTGTAGGTGTGGGTGTGTGTGTGTAGGTGTGTGTGTATGTAGGTGTGTGTGTGTAGGTGTGTGTGTGTGTAGGTGTGGGTGTGTGTGTGTAGGTGTGTGTGTGTGTAGGTGTGGGTGTGTGTGTAGGTGTGTGTGTGTAGGTGTGTGTGTGCAGGTGTGGGTGTGTGTGCGTGTGTAGGTGTGGGTGTGTGTGTGTAGGTGTGTGTAGGTGTGTGTGTGTGTGTGTATGTGTGTGTAGGTGTGTGTAGGTGTGTGTGTGTGTGTGTAGTGTGTGTGTGTGTGTAGGTGTGTGTGTGTGTGTGTAGGTGTGTGTGTGTAGGTGTGTGTGTGTGTGTGGGTGTGTGTGTGTAGGTGTGTGTGTGTGTAGGTGTGTGTGTAGGTGTGTGTGTGTAGGTGTGTGTGTGTGTAGGTGTGTGTGTGCAGGTGTGGGTGTGTGTGGGTGTGTGTGTGTAGGTGTGGGTGTGTGTGTGTAGGTGTGTGTGTAGGTGTGTGTGTAGGTGTGTGTGTGTAGGTGTGTGTGTGTAGGTGTGTGTGTGTAGGTGTGGGTGTGTAGGTGTGTGTAGGTGTGTGTAGGTGTGGGTGTGTGTGTGTATGTGTGTGTAGGTGTGTGTAGGTGTGTGTGTGTAGGTGTGTGTAGGTGTGTGTAGGTGTGTGTGTGTGTGTGTAGGTGTGTGTAGGTGTGTGTATGTGTGTGTAGGTGTGTGTAGGTGTGTGTAGGTGTGTGTATGTGTGTGTAGGTGTGTGTAGGTGTGTGTGTGTAGGTGTGTGTAGGTGTGTGTAGGTGTGTGTGTGTGTGTGTAGGTGTGGGTGTGTGTGTGTAGGTGTGTGTGTGTGTAGGTGTGTGTGTGTGTAGGTGTGTGTGTGTGTAGGTGTGTGTGTGGTGTGTGTATGTAGGTGTGTGTGTATGTAGGTGTGTGTGTGTGTGTGCATGTGTAGGTGTGTGTGTGTGTAGGTGTGTGGGGTGTGTGTGTGTAGGTGTGTGTGTGTGTAGGTGTGGGTGTGTGTGTGTAGGTGTGTGTAGGTGTGTGTGTGTGTAGGTGTGGGTGTGTGTGTGTAGGTGTGTGTGTGTAGGTGTGTGTGTGTAGGTGTGTGTGTGTGTAGGTGTGTGTGTGTGTAGGTGTGGGTGTGTGTGTGTAGGTGTGTGTGTATGTAGGTGTGTGTGTGTAGGTGTGTGTGTGTAGGTGTGTGTGTGTAGGTGTGGGTGTGGTGTAGGTGTGTGTGTATGTAGGTGTGTGTGTGTAGGTGTGTGTGTGTGTAGGTGTGTGTGTGTGTAGGTGTGGGTGTGTGTGTGTAGGTGTGTGTGTATGTAGGTGTGTGTGTGTAGGTGTATGTGTGTGTAGGTGTGGGTGTGTGTGTGTAGGTGTGTGTGTGTGTAGGTGTGGGTGTGTGTGTAGGTGTGTGTGTGTAGGTGTGTGTGTGCAGGTGTGGGTGTGTGTGCGTGTGTAGGTGTGGGTGTGTGTGTGTAGGTGTGTGTAGGTGTGTGTGTGTGTGTGTATGTGTGTGTAGGTGTGTGTAGGTGTGTGTGTGTGTGTAGGTGTGTGTGTGTGTAGGTGTGTGTGTGTGTGTAGGTGTGTGTGTGTGTAGGTGTGTGTGTGTGTAGGTGTGGGTGTGTGTGTGTAGGTGTGTGTGTGTGTAGGTGTGTGTGTAGGTGTGTGTGTGTAGGTGTGTGTGTGTGTAGGTGTGTGTGTGCAGGTGTGGGTGTGTGTGGGTGTGTGTGTGTAGGTGTGGGTGTGTGTGTGTAGGTGTGTGTGTGTAGGTGTGTGTGTAGGTGTGTGTGTGTAGGTGTGTGTGTGTAGGTGTGTGTGTGTAGGTGTGGGTGTGTAGGTGTGTGTAGGTGTGTGTAGGGTGGGTGTGTGTGTGTATGTGTGTGTAGGTGTGTGTAGGTGTGTGTGTGTAGGTGTGTGTAGGTGTGTGTAGGTGTGTGTGTGTGTGTGTAGGTGTGTGTAGGTGTGTGTATGTGTGTGTAGGTGTGTGTAGGTGTGTGTAGGTGTGTGTATGTGTGTGTAGGTGTGTGTAGGTGTGTGTGTGTAGGTGTGTGTAGGTGTGTGTAGGTGTGTGTGTGTGTGTGTAGGTGTGGGTGTGTGTGTGTAGGTGTGTGTGTGTGTGTGTGTGTGTGTGTGTGTGTGTGTGTGTAGGTGTGTGTGTAGGTGTGTGTGTGTAGGTGTGTGTGTGTAGGTGTGTGTGTGTGTAGGTGTGGGTGTGTGTGTGTAGGTGTGTGTGTGTAGTGTGTGTGTGTGTGTAGGTGTGTGTGTAGGTGTGTGTGTGTAGTGTGTGTGTGTGTAGGTGTGTGTGTGTGTAGGTGTGTGTGTGCAGGTGTGGGTGTGTGTGGGTGTGCGTGTACCTGTCTTCAGTTTTTGCGTCCTTTCAGGCAGTGAATCAAATCGACGGGTTCCAACACTCATCAGCTTCTCCACTTTCTCTGCTGTCATCTCTAAAGGACTAGGAAGCTTTTCACACGCCATTGCTGAAGTCTTTGTTAAAGCAAAATGTTCACCCAACTTTGGAAATGATCCCGTGAGGCAGACTAACATAAACAGGGACCAGATGAGGTAGGATCAGAGATCAAAGGAGGAGGATACAGAGGACAGCCTTGGAAACCGGTAACCACTGGTTACAGATAGCAAAGAGGAGGACTTTTGGGTCAGAGTGACGCAGGTCCCTTGTCATCACCTTTATCCCAAGTGAGGTCATCACCTTTTCCACTTTCTGCTCGTCTCTGCTCACACAAACACAACAGACATTTTCAAATGATACCATCCAGGGGCTTTGGAAGCAAAAAGGTTCAGCTGTCCTATTTGACTACTCTTCTATTTCAGTAAAACAAGGAGATTAAAAATGACTGGAGGAATTGCACCTCCAACACAGTGTTGGGGTTTATGATTTAGAATGCACTTTGGTTTAAAGTAATAATAAAAAAAAGCACTCTAAGTAGGGAACAAGCGCTTAAGACACGTTTTACCGAGAGCATTAAAAAGGAAGAATAGAGTTTATTCCATTTTCGAAACTCAGTCTAAAAACTGTAAAAGATGAATAATTGCCTGCGGCCAATCTCATGAATAGCCAAATACAACAGTGATCGATGGTATAATTACAACTTGTTCGTCTATATAAAGGTTTTTCTATTTTGAATCAAAAATATATTTTGAATCAAAAACGTATATCTCAAGATTTTTCCAAAACAATAGAAGTGAAAAACCTTTTGCACTGCTTTTCATAATTGCAATATGTGTCTAATACTTCTGCGCCAACAAGAGTACATAGATAAAATGACAGAAAACATTTTTTGTCAAATATTGGCAAGAATAAAAATGTAAATAAATAAATAAGAAAAAAAACAAAAGCAGCAGGACAAGCTAATAATTGCAACACATCATGTTATGGCATCCTACTGTCATGTCTCGATTCTCTGGGTCTAAAGCCCAGGAAAGGTGCAGCAGATTACAGTATTTTGCCTGCTGCATGTTCCACAAATTGTGCGGCCTTGTATGAAACACATAAATTTTGTACAAAAACAATTTACTGACTGAAAAGCCCTGCCCCCTTTAGTTCTCAGCCGAACACGTGGAAAAACCAGGAGATTCAAAGTTTGGGGACGAAGGCCATGAGCAGCTCAGAATTTAGTTATAAGCTGACAAAGATAATCAAGAGCCTGGCCATTTAAACCACAATACCCAAGTACAAGAACTTTGAAGCCAGATGTATCACTCATTCAAAATATTTTTTTCTTATCTTCTTTGCCTTAATGTTGACTCATGAGATTGGAGGTTCACTCTACCTGAGTTACACTTCTGCAAAAGGGAGAGCGATCATGTCCACTGTGGACATGTCTCTGGCCACATCCTTTCTAAAACATACCTGACCTCACTGTATTTTTCTACATTGAGGACAGTCTGCAACTTTGCAAATTCTCCCACTTAGAAGTCATGGAGGGGTCTAAAATATTTATCTTAGGTGCATGACATACTCTAAAAAATATCTGGAAATCACAATGTATAATTTTTAAAATAATTTATTTGTGTGTTACTGCTGCAAATAAGTATTTGAACAGCTGTGAAAATCAATGTTAATATTTGGTATAGTAGTCTTCGTTTACAATTGCAGAGGTCAATTGTTTCCTGTAGTTTTTCATCAGGTTTGCACACACTGCAGCAGGGATTTTTGCCCATTCCTCCAGACAGATTTTTCTAGATCAGCCAGGTTTCTGGGTTGTCGCTGAGCTACTCCAAAGACTTTCCATAATATTTAGGTCTGGAGACCGGGAGGTCACTCCAGAACCATGGTATGCTTCTTGTGGAGCCACTCCTTGGTTATCCTAGTTGTGTCTTTTAGGTCATTGTCATGTTGGAAGATTCAACCACGACCCATCTTCAATGCTCTAAATGAGGGAAAGAGGTTGATCCACAAAATCTGCAATGAATGGCCCCGGTCAACTTCTCCTTTCTTAGGTTCATTGGTATGTTTTTGTTTATCTTCTTCCATTTTCTAATAATTGTTCCAACAGTTGATATTTTTTCACCAAGCTGCTTGGCAACTGCCTTGTAACTCTTTCCAGCCTTGTGGAGCTCTACAATTTAGTCTCTGGACATTAATCAGCTCTTTGGTCTTACCCATGTTAGTAGTTGGAGTCTTACTGATTGTGTAAGGTGGACAGGACTCTTTATTCAGTTACGACCTCAAAAAGGTGCTTCCAGTTTAGAATAGTAAGTGGAGTGGAGGTGAACCTTTCAAAGGAAGAACTAACAAGACTTTGAGGGCCAGAGTTTTGCTGATTGGTAGGTGTTCAAATTCTTGTTTGCAGCAGTAACACAAATAAATTATTTAAAAATTTGATCATTGTGACTTCAGGATTTTTTTTAGATTATGCCTCACAGTGGACATCCACCGAAGATGGGAATTTCAGATCCCTCCATGATTTCGAAGTGGGAGAACTTGAAATGTCGCAAGGCTTATCAAATTCTTATTTTATTCACTGTGTTTCTTTGGATAAAATTCCCATGGTGTCAGTGCTAACAGCTGGAATCTGGCATTTAACTCACCTTCTAGTGACAACTGCATCATACAAATTCCAAATGTTATCCAGCACAAATTGTACAAACAGCGGCTTCTTTCCTTTGGCCTGCAGAGAAACAGGAGAGGAAGTCTGGCTGGAGGAAAGGTTGAAGAGCTTCACTGAGGATCTAGGGCAGTGGTCCCTGAAGTTGGTCCTTGAGGGCCGGCATCCTGCATGTTTTAGTTCTCTCCCTGGTTTAACACACCTTGACCAAATGATGGCTTGTAGATCATTGACTTGCTGAAAAGGTTGTTACTACCACCAGGGAGAGAACTAAAACATGCAGAATGCCGGCCCTTGAGGACCGACTTTGGGGAGCCCTGATCTAGGACATCAATGACTTATCTGTGGGACTTCCAGCTGGAATTTTCTTATGCTCATTATCCAGGTAAGTTCTGACTCATTTTAAAACCATGTTGACAATAAAAAGCATTAATAGTGTAACAAGAACATGGGAAAAATACTGAAGAATTTACATTACCTGAGCGCCTTTCATGATTCTCTGAATTTTTGTGTTGAGATAGAAATCTCCCCACAAGGTTTTCAGCAGGACCTCGGTGCTCATCCCCATCTTCTGACTGTATATATGGGCAAAGTGCTGAATGCTGCAAAACACAAACAATAGACATTATCAGGATTATTGACAATAAACATTTTGCTTTATTTCATTAAGATAAAAAAAGAATAAGTTAAAAAAGGTTTGACCATTAAACTAGAACAATATTTTCATATCGAACATTCCAGCAGCACTTTAGATTTCTTACATTTCCTTTGACATGTCAAACATTAAGAGTTTCTTAGCACAACAGAGTCTTAATCCCGGATCAGGATCCAAGATTAGTGTAAGACTCGCGGGTGTCCAGATACTGTGATTCTACTTTGTAGAATAATTCACAGAAACAATTGAGCTCTTTCTCAGTGTTGAACATTTAATTTCTTTTCCTCTACTTAATCAGCGGGTCCCGAACTCAACTGTCACACCCCAGCTGTTTCCCCGAACGTTCGCTCCTCTCTCCCATCTGGGGAACCTTTCAAACTAAAACATTTTACATTTTCATAACTCCAATTTTCACTCTTACACTAGGAGCTGCTGAAACTGTGGCATGTTGGTCATTAAGAAAGAAAAACTTTACACGTTTCCTTAATTTTCATAAATACTAATGAAAATTGTGAAGCGGTTTTCTAAGTTCTCAACACTGTCATCTGTGTCAGCAACAGACTTGGTTTGTTCAGAAGCTTCCCGTGGGTCCTGTCCAGCGCTGAGACTCTTCAGGAAGACCCTGCGGTCAAACACAGTGACTGACCCACCAATTTTCAGTGAAAATTGTGACTGTAATTTTATTAGTCACATAAAATTAGTTATGTGACTGTAATTTTGCCAACAAGTTTTATCAATATATTGTCTAACAACTGTCCTTGAGGACATTCATTAACTCAGTGGTTCCCAAAGTGGGGCACAGAGCCATCGCAGCAATGAAGATGAAAAAAAGAAAAAAAAACTCTCAAGGAGCTGTTCATGTTTTAAACCCCATTTTGCACAGAGGCTTTTTTTTGATGTATTGATGATAGTAGCAAAGTTGAATATTGTTACAAATAAAAAAAGACGTGTTTGAAATAACACTGACAGCAAATAATATTCTTTTACAGTATAGAACTAAAGACAAACTGTTACACAAAAGTGTTTCACTGTAAAGATGATTTATAGTTTGCTTTGTTGCAACCTGAAACGTGAAATAAACTTCAGAGGACTTTGAAAACAAAATATGTGTATGGGTTTATGTCTGGTAAAACGATGTGTGTGCCCAGTTGATTTTTTCTTTTTCTTTTTTGGGGGGTCAGATGTTATTGCAATCCATAGGGAGCTCAAAATAAACTCTTTGGAAACCACTGCATTAACTAAATGTCACCCAAATTGAAACTGATCAGGGTTTCCCCCAGTGTATTATAAGCTTGGCGGGCCACAAGGCTTTAATTGCCCCTCTTCCAATAACATAATTATTTAGTCATATTTAAAAATTTGCTGTCAGCTTTAAAAATATTTTAAGTGAAAAAAAATGGCTGGCTGTCTGCCCAACCACCGGGCTGAGTTACATTTCTGGGTGAGACCCTGAATAAGTTTGACTCTGCTCTGATCTACAGAAGGGGAGCTCAAACATTTTGAGACCAAGATCTACTTTTTCTCTCACCAGCTGGCTGAGATCAACCTCATGACACAAAGACATAGAAATTGCAAATGAAACCCTATTGACTCATTTCCTATATGAATATACATCAGTTATATCAGAAATGATAAAGTGATAGAAAACCTAATGCAGTTTCTTCCTCAGTGAGATCCTGACACTGGGAGCAGTTACTGGAGCAGGTTACTGGCAGCAGGTTACTGGCAGCAGGTTACTGGGATCAGGTTACTGGCAGCAGGTTACTGGCAGCAGGTTACTGGGATCAGGTTACTGGCAGCAGGTTACTGGCAGCAGGTTACTGGGATCAGGTTACTAGCAGCAGGTTACTGGGAGCAGGTTACTAGCAGCAGGTTACTAGCAGCAGGTTACTGGGAGCAGGTTACTGGATCAGGTTACTGGCAGCAGGTTACTGGGATCAGGTTACTGGGAGCAGGTTACTAGCAGCAGGTTACTGGAGCAGGTTACTGGAGCAGGTTACTGGGAGCAGGTTACTGGCAGCAGGTTACTGGGAGCAGGTTACTAGCAGCAGGTTACTAGCAGCAGGTTACTGGAGCAGGTTACTGGGAGCAGGTTACTGGGAGCAGGTTACTGGGAGCAGGTTACTAGCAGCAGGTTACTGGGAGCAGGTTACTGGGAGCAGGTTCTGGAGCAGGTTACTGGCAGCAGGTTACTGGGAGCAGGTTACTAGCAGCAGGTTACTAGCAGCAGGTTACTGGGAGCAGGTTACTGGGAGCAGGTTACTGGGAGCAGGTTACTGGGAGCAGGTTACTGGGAGCAGGTTACTGGCAGCAGGTTACTGGTTTCTCAGTCAGAAGCTGGTTGCAAACCTGAGGCCAGCAGCTGTCAGTCAGTTATTGTAGATCTGAAATTTGATTTGATGACGTCAATATGAGAAACTACAGACTGATAGGAGGAACCAAAGAGCTCTGCAGAGGTAAAGGCAAATCTTCTGAATTTGAAATAAATTAATTTAATTTCACATAATTATCGTGGTAGAAGCCATTTGTTTGTTAAAACTTAATCAAATATATTTGTCCTATTTGATGTTTGTTATGACACGTTTACTGTAAATGAATGAGGTAATTAGTCCAAGTTTGTCGTTTATCGATTGGTCAGAAATTAAAGCAGCTGTGATGAACCACAGCAAAGGTCAACCAAGGTGAAACAACCTGAACAGGTGATCAACTCAAAACCACTCACACCTTTTTACTCTCTCTTTATCGTTAAGCACACCTGTTGCTGTGGCAACCGCCTGCACCCCGCAAGCCAAGCAGAGATTACATTAAAAACATAACATTCAGTCTGTTATGATATCAGGTTTGCAGGCTTGATGTTTAGTTATTGATTATTAATAAGCCTCTCATGAACACAGTGGTGGTTGATTAGCTCATTTATTGATTAGCTCATTTAAGCTCCTGCTCTGCTCGTCAGTCGGTCTTTGTAATCTGCAGAAATGATATGCAAGGAGAACTCTGCCTCCCCGTTCCAGCTGTTAAGAAGTGTTGGATAAATTCTCGTGATACATGAGGATTTTGGTCCAAAATTAAGCTACAATAAAAAATACATTTATTTGCAGGATCTTTGCAAATCTCTAACTAAGGTACCCAGGACACTGAGGGAAACAATATGAACTTACCTGAAACCCCATCCATCTATGGCACTGGCAAACACCACATTTCCTTGATCAGGAGAAAAATAAAGTTGAGAGTCGTCAGCATCCTCCAGTCCAGCACTCCAGTCATAAACTTGATCTCCACTTGGGTCCTTGTCTCTGTTCTCCTCCTCCTTCACCTTCTCTGCTCGCTCTTCCAGTACTTTAGACGTGAACAGAGTCCCTGTGACAGCATTGACCTACAGAGAACAAGATTATAATACATAATCGTCATCCACAGAATGAACAAGGCTGGTATCAAAGAGTTAAGTTTCTGACCTGTTCCAGGATCTTCTGCAGGTGTGTGTATGCTTCCAGAGTGGTGAGCTTCAGCTCCATAATGAGCCTGTCCATCTTATTAATGACCAGAACAGGCCTGATGTTCTCCAGCCACGCCTGTCGGAGGACAACCTGGGTCTAAACATAACACATGCTGAATAACTGAAACATTCTCTTAAGTCAGGAATGTTTAGTGCATAAAGAGTGTGGACAGGGGTACCTGTGGACACACACCCTCAACAGCATCTACAACCACAATGGCTCCATCACACAGCCGCACCGCTGTGGAAACCTCAGAGGAGAAGTCGACATGACCAGGAGAGTCGATCAGATTTAGAAGGTACTCCTGGTTGCCTGGGCACACATGGGACACCAAACCCATTTTCAGACTTTAAATATTATTCATGTTCATCAGCAGCTGACAGAAAATGATTAAACATGACATATTGGTGGCTGCTTTCCACAAGTGATGACACCAAAAGAAGAAGCAAATGTGTGGTGAACATGTATTCTTCATCTTATTCTAAAAGAATGCCAGAATGTTGTCAAGGGTAGATTTTGAAAACACAGCCATGAAACTGTTTTTATTTGGGATGTGAAATTAAAACCTTTCAGCTGTTTCTTTTGGTCAGTGAAGTAAAAAGTTCTAGATCTTTTTATCATCTCCATTAAAGTTGCTATAAATTCTTTAAAGTATGACCTTTGAACTTCCAATATACACTCACTGGCCACTTTATCAGGTACACTTTCCTAGTACAGGTAGGACCACTTTTTGCTTTCAGAACTGCCTTAATTCTTCGTGGCCTAGATTCAAAAAGGTATTGATAAAGCAATCAATCAATCAATCAAATTTTATTTGTATAGCACATTTCAGCAAGGCATTTCAAAGTGCTTTACATCATAAACACAAGAACACAAAGTCATGCAACATATAATAGACAATACATTGTTACATATTACATTTCAAATGAACTCTAAACAGGTGTGTTTTTAATTGCGATTTAAAAGAAGTCAGGGTTTCCGCTGTTTTACAGTTTTCTGGAAGTTTGTTCCTAAGTTTTGGTGCATAGATGCTGAATGCTGCTTCTCCTCTCTTGGTTCTGGTTCTGGGGATGCAGAGCAGAACCAGAACCTGAGATGTCTGGAAGGTTAATTCAATAACAGATCTTAAATGTATTGTGGTGCTACACTGTTCAGTGATTTATAAACTAAGAACAGCATTTTAAACTCTATTCTTTGAGCTACAGGGAGCCAGTGGAGGGACTTTAAAACTGCTGTTATGTCTCTATCTTCCTGGTTTTAGTGAGAACAGGAGCAGCAGCTTCTGGATCAGCTTTGATTGATTTGTTGGACAGGCCTGTGAAGACGCTGTTGCAATAATCAATGCGACTAAAGATAAACGCCTGAATGAGTTTCTCTAGATCTGGCTGAGACATTAGTCCTCTAATCCTGGAGATGTTCTTCAGGTGATAGAAGGCCGACTTTGTAACTGTCTTTATGTGGCTCGCAAGGTTCAAGTCTGAGTCCATCACTACTCCCAGGCTTCGGGCCTAATCGTTAGTTTTTAGTTGTAATAACTGAAGCTGTGCATTGACTCTAGATCTATAGCTCTAGGTATATAGCTCTAGATCTATAGCTCTAGATCTATAGCTCTAGATCTATAGCTCTAGATCTATAGCTCTAGATCTATAGCTCTATATCGTTCCTCTTTAGGTCCAAAAATAATGACTTCAGTTTTGTTTCTGTTCAGCTGGAGAAAGTTTTGGCACATCCACACATTTATCTGTTCTAAACATTTATTCAGTGATTGGATGGGGTCAAAGGTCACCTGGTGACATCTTAATGTAGAGCTGAGTATCATTTGCATAGTTATGGTTGCTAATATTATTTCCTGTTATAACCTGAGCTAGTGGGAGAATATAAATATTGAATAAGAGGAGTCCTAGGATTGAACCTTGGGGTACCCCACATGTGACCTTTAACCTCTTTGATGAGAAGTTTCCAATTGAAACAAATAAATCCCTGTTCTTTATGTAAGATTCAAACCAGTTCAGTTCTGGACCGGAGAGTCCAACCCAACTCTCCAGTCAATTCAGTTATATGTCAAAAGCTGCACTGAGGTCCAACAGAACCAGCACCGTGGTTCTCCCACAGTCCATATTTATATGAATATCATTGAATACTTTGACTAGGCCAGTCTCTGTGCTGTGGTGAACATAAAAAACAGATTGGAAAGAGTCAAAGCAGTTGGTCATCATGAGGAAACTAATTGTTTACACACGGCTTATTCAATAACTTTGCTGATGAATGGGAGGTCAGAGGTCAGAGGTCGGCCTGTAATTCTGCAGTAGTGATTTGTCCAGATTGTTCTTTTTTAGCAGTGGTTTGATGACTGCTGTTTTCAAAGCCTGAGGGAAACGCCTGATATGAGTGATGAGTTACTATTTGGATCAGATCAGTAACAATAACAGGTAGGATTTCCTTAAAGAAATGTGTGGGAAGGACATCCAGACAGCAGGAGCTTGAACTTAATTGACTTATAATTTCTTCTAGGGTTTTATAATGAAGTAGTTGAAATTGGGTCATTTTTCCTGTATTTGTTCTGTTTGGGTACAGCAATGGTTCTGGCTTTAGAGTCAATGTGCAGATTAATCCTCTGATTTGTTTTATTTTCTCTGAAAAGAAGCTGGAAAACTTGTTCCAGGCAGCATTAGATTGGATTCAGGTGGTAACGTCATAGGAGGGTTTGTGAGCCTGTCAACTGTTGCAAATAAAGCTCCAGCATTGTTCATGTTTTGTTTATGACATCTGCAAAGAAAGCCTCCCTTGCATGTTTTAGTGTTGAGTGATAGTTACATAGTCTTTCTTTATAGATGTCATTATGAACGTGAAGTTGAGTTTTACTCCATTTTGGTTCTGCTTTGCGACAGAGTTCTCTTGCAGATCGAACTGTTTGTGCTTTTCTCCATGGAGATTTCTTCCTACCAGACACAACATTTACTTTAATTGGGCCAATAGAATCAATGATATATGAAACTTTAGACTGAAAATCATCTACCGACTTATCTACATCATTACAGCTTAAGGGTGAGGAGGAAGAGTAGATTTGATTAAATGTTTCTGCTGTTTTCTATGAAGGAACGTTTTGTGACAGTAGCTGTTTGTCCAAGTGGATTAAAGGATAAAAACCTTCAAAGATAACAGCAAAGTGATCTGACAGGGCGACATCAGTTACAGAGACATTGGAAATATTCACACCATTACTGATAACCAGGTCCAGTGTGTGTCCTTGAGTGTGTGTTGCTTGTTTGACATGTTGTGTTAAACCAAAATTTTCTGAAATATCAGAGAGCTTTTTTGTCCCTCTGTCTTGGCCAGTGAGTGTATTCCTCAAAGAGACTGATCCATTTTGACATGATAGTAGTTGCTAGAGATTTGTTGACTAATCATCCATGATGCAAATCTCCCGTTCCACCACATCCACAACAAATCTGGAGCAACTGATTACCCTTTCAAACCCGTATATAAAACCTGAACTTTGACCCCAAATCCCAGAAAAATGGAAAAGAGGCTTCGTGGAAGCAGAGACAGAGGAGAAAGTTCAGACAATCCTGATGATCACAGACCATATCCCTGACTTCAACATCTCTTGGACTGACTGCTACTGGACATCTTTCTTGTCCACAGCATCAGAATCTACAATGACACTGAAGATACTTGGATGGTATGAGTTATAGCACTGGTTTACCTCCCTTCAGGAAAATAAAAGATTGAATTTAATTCTTGTCAGTATTTAGTATCCGCTCATCTAGCTGATGTCCCAGCAAGCCTCTATCAGGCTCATTTAGACAGATGCTGCACTTTTCCTCCATTCTTCCTGCTAAACTTCGCTAGCTCTGTTAGGTTGGGGGAGGGAAAGATCTCCTGCAAACAGGTGTGGCCTTTGACTGGATCACTCCACAGCCTCCATCTTGTTGTCTTCAGCCATCTGTGTGCCGTTTTAGCTGGATACTTTAAGTCATCGACTCTTAATCTGTAGATTCAGATAGAAATAAACTGTCCCCCAGGATTCAACTGCTTTCATTTGACCTCTTACCTTTAAAAGCCTTCCAGGACCTGCTGCTGAGATGCATCCACACAGCATGATGCTGCCACCACTGGTTCATAAAGAGGATGGTGTGTTTTAGGTGATGTGTATTGTTTGTGGCATCTTTGCCTGATGCCCAAAAGCACCATCGATCTTTCTCACTCTTCACCATGCAGTGTCTGTCCTCGTGCGTTTTGGCAAGCTATAGCATAGCTTGCCTTCTCACTGCCTCTCTCCCATAAAGCTGAAGAACCAGAGCAACACTGCAGAGTCTCTCCATTGCAGCTGTGGAAGCCTGTAACTCCTCCTGGTGTCTTCCCTGACAAGTCTTCTTCTTTATGGTCATTCAGGTTGTGAGAGTCAGTGATGGGCAATAACGCATTACTGTAATCCATTACTGTCAGGAATAGTGACGAATCAATGCAATCATTTACTTTACAAATTATTGAATTTGCAAAGTAAATGTTTATTTAATTGGTATTATTAGGTTAAAATTAGTTCCACATTAAAGAGATTTTTGTAATATTTTTGTCAAAAACAAATGTTGGTCATGACTGATTTGGAAAAGCAATAAAAGGGGTAAAATACCCATAGACAGAGCGTGTAACTCACTAAAATAGACAAAGTAATTCATAAGAAAACACAAAGTATCCTCAAATTACACAGGTGGGACTTACTAAGGTATTTAAGGCAACCACTGCACCGCTGAGGAAACTGTGCTGTGAAGCGCTGCAGTACCTGTGCTGTAGTGCAGAGAGATGGCGCTGGACTTCATGGTGATTCCTCTAACCTGTTCATCCTCCCTGCTGTCCAGATATCTCAGCTGAAACCAGCACAAAAACCACAGAGCTCAGTGGCACAGAAAGCAACAATTACTGATGTGATGGAGCAGGTTACTACTACTCCAGCTTACCTTCCCAGCCAGTCGACTTGATATGATCCCATTACTTGCCACCAGACAGTCAGCCAGAGTGGTTTTACCTGACAAGATAACAAAGGATTTTAGAGTTTTTCAATTCAATTTGTTAAACCAATGTAAGCTGTACAGGTACAGGAAAAATAAGTTAGAATATCTGGAAAAAAAAATTCTAATTGATTGACTAATTTCAGAAAGTAAAGCTTGTAATGTATACAGTAGACTTATTACAGAGTGAAATATTCCAAGCCTTTATTTGATATCATTTTGAAAATTTGAATATTACATAAGATCACACCTATTTTATATTTAAATAGGTGTGATCTTATGTAATATTCAGATTTTCAAAAGCATCTCTGGAGGACACCATTATGATCTACATCTGTATGCTGATGACACTGTCGATTCATGTCCTTTAAAAACACTTCCAGAATTTAAAAAAAACATGCATTAAACATTACTTACTGCATGTCTATATGCAGATTTTCTGTTGACAATACTTCTGTGTTGAAGCAAAGCTTAAAAGCTCATACTGGTATCTAAAGTGAGAAACTGGGGTTTCCCACCAGAAATAGGTTGACTTCCCACATTTTACAGGAAAAAATATCCTAATGTTTTTCCCCTCTGATCTGAAATACTGAAAAATTATTTACAGCAGAGTAGCCAATTTAATTTTAAAACTCACAAATACTGTAAATCACATTGCTTTAAGATTCATCCATGGAGTTAAATATTCATATTTTCTTTGATGTTTATTTTGTGAACTCTAAATGCTCTGGGCCGACTCCTCTAACACTTGAGGTTCTGCAGTAACTTCTATTTACAGCTGCTCACCTCCAGCCTCATTTATAGCTGGTAGAAACATTAAGGAGAATCAGAGTAAAAAGTCAGCAGGTGGTACTGGGTGGTCCCGGGGCTTCGAGCTGCTATATCAAGATATCTGATATAAGACAGACATTCTTTACATCTGTTGGTGAGACCGACTGAGACTGCCTGTAGTGAACCGGGCCTTTAGCAGAATAATGAAGTTAACAGAAGTTTCTCTGCAGCCGAAGCTTTTCTGTGTTCAGGGGCAAGGATTTTTTTCCCCCGCTATTGCGAGGACAATTATGAAAATATAAACAAGTCAACATCAGACCTACATTTTTATTTACAAACCAGTGTATGAAAAAATTATTAGAGAGAAAGATCAACAACTCCCCTTCTCACCATGGACCCGGAGTCTGAACATCATGGAGGAAGAAATTGAAAGTAATTATTAGACTGAGGGCAGCCAGACTAATTTATTTTGATAAATTATTATATTTAGCAAAAAATTATTGTTGAAGGGCACAAGCAGGCCTCCTGACACAGATTTGAAAAAAAAAAAAAAAAAGATAATAAAAAATTTAAAAAAAAAATATTTTTTTTACTCAAAAAGGGCACTAGGGACATTAAGGATAAAAGGGGCAGGGGCTCAAGCCCTCTTCTCCCCCCTCTGCACGTGCCTGTGAACATTGTTTTAAATGAGATGGAGGACCGATTTCATTTATCCAAGTATTGTATGACAATCTACCAACAATCTATTAAAAAACGCTGATACTGTTACTGCTGTGGAAAACCAACTACAATTTGTCATCTCGAACCCCAAAGTGAAATGTAAAGTTAGGATCATTCTCAGCTACAGAGCCGTCTTGAAAACAGGCTGTGAACTTACCGTGATCAACATGTGCCAGAATGCACAGATTTCTGATGTTAGCCGGGTTTCGCTGCAGGATTTTGATCTTATCCAGGCCGGTGACTCCCATCGCCATCACCTGGATAAAGCACGAAAGCTGTCACTGAGCAGCACAATGGGTCTAACAGATAGTCAGATCTCCTTAATGTGAATAGAACAGTTAACACAAAGTGTTATTCCTGCTCAGGCCCTCTTAGTGCAATGAATGACTGCAGATGAAGAAGACTGGTCTGGGACTTGCTAACACCGGTTTAGCATATTGCAAACTTCTTATAGAAAGAAATAACAGATCTAAATTATTTAAATTTGAAGTTCTCACGTAAAACGGTCATCTACCGGGGTACTAGATTCGCTTAAACATAGTAAGAGTGACACTATAAAAACATTGGAAACTCACGGAAGAAGCATGCGGTGTTCGTGATCCACTGGATTTTCGATAAACTGGTGAAAGTGTATGCCTGAAGATAATGTTTCCATGGTCCTAAATGGTAAGGTGGTTAACGTATTGCCTGATCAAAATACAGTGTCGCTAAATGAAGCTGTTACAATAAGTTGCTGCCGAATTTATTAGTTTGCGTAAAACACATTGACTTATTGTCAGATTTATTCAGTTTCGGAAATAATACAAAAACATGGAGTCAAGAACGAACAAGCTGCCTGGAATGCATTGGCGAATACGATAAGTTACACCTCGCTGCAGCAAGCAGTAAGGGGCGGGGAAGGACCTTTTCTGTTTTTGTAAACATCTTTATCTACAAATACAAAGAAAAACTGGAAAGGCATTTTTTGGCACAAACCAGAGGTGGAAGCTCGAAGAGCGGAAAGAGAAGCGAGTGAACGTAGCAAACAAACGAAGGCGGTTGAAGCGTTATTTAAGAAAAAGAGTGCATGAGTCCAACTGTATCATCGATAATGGTTTATTCTCCGATCCCCCAAACTTCACGCATAGGCCTCATCATACAATCATCAGCATCACCTGCCTTCCTGAGCCTGACGCTCCCCTTTATGATGTCATCGCAGGTGGCCATTTGTAGTTTTTAACCATGCATAACATTAACGCCACAGCGGTGGGATTAGATTTTGGTGGATCGCATAAACTGTACATTGACTGTAGCAACATGGCTTCTACGTCAGGAGGAAATAGTGGAAATGAGATGGAATGGATGATATCAAGATCATCACGAATGAAAAGAGCACTTAGGAAGAGACAGGAAAGTGCAAGAAGTTGGTCGGAAGAAAGTGAGGCAAGAGCAGAAAAAAGGACAAAAACAAACGAACAGGCGAGTTCACGAGAACAGGATGGCTTTACCATGGAAGTGGAATTTGGTCATGGCGGAATTCAAGCGAGATGGGGGATCTATTCACCCGATAAAGCTGACCAGAGCAATAGATCAGTGTTTCTCAACCTTTTTTGTGCCAGCGCCCCCTTGTCCATTATCCAGGTTCCTCACTGCCTCCCGACAAAAAGATAAAAGATGTACCAAAAGCAATACAGTCAGCCTACAAATAGTGAAGAAGGGCTTATTTCCCAAATCCCAAAGATATGACATTGTACCTTTACTGTTTCAAAATTATAATCCAGATTAGAGCGAATGTTTTCACTTGGCTGATATAATTTCTTTGACCTTGTGTTACACAGATGTAATTCCTCCTTTTTTGACTTTTTTCTCTCAAAGATTCTGCTTATAAAAATGAAGCTGTGAACTTGCATCCCCAGTTGCTTTTGTATTATTAAAATGGTAAATTTCTATTTGCCTGGACTTTTATAAACTAATACCTCATCTATGCATCATTTTTTATATTGATGTTGGTTCAGATAAAAAGCAAACCCTGTGCTGCGTTTACTAGTCGTTAAAATTCATTTCAGCTACATACTTTCAAAAGAATTTTCAGATTTCAACATGCATTTTCTAAGTAGTAAATATTTCAGTTTACTCTTAGTAACTTCAGTGTTGTTACATCTCTGAAATATTTTTTTGCAGTTTCTTTGTGATACCAGAACTGTTTCACTTAAACTTTAAATCTTTTGAGATGTTGTCATTTTATTTTCAGGCAAAACTCACAAAATCAGCTTAGGATTATTAGTTTTTGATTATGTTGTGTGGCTAAATATGAACGCTTAGTCTTTGTTGTTGTTTTTAATTTGTCAAGTTTGCATCATAACACCTTGTGATGTGTTTCTGAGCCATGATTTAGCCGCTCTACCAATTACCTTTCCCTGGGATCCAAGCACCTGGACCTGTTGACCGATGTGGTGTCCTTCAGTTCACAGTCTGCCGGATCATCACAGCACGGACCAACTTTTTATTTACAGTACTCAGTTAAACTAGGATCTGCTGGAAACCAGAGGACCAGATGACCAAAAATCTACCTGCAGAATTTAATAGCTACCCTGACACCACAGTCATCCTGGACTGAGCTGAGCTGGTCTTCCCCTCTCCTCCAGAGTGACAGTAAAGGCAAATAAGTCTGACATCTGAGTAACTGCTGTTGTATATTATATATTTATTGGTCATTTTCTTGTACTGCTTGTACTTACAATCATAGTTGTAAATCCCAGGGGCCTGGGGGAAGTCTCATGCCCTCCCCTCCCCCGAAAACATGAATCATTGAAGAGACATTTGCATTTAAATAATATCAATATTAAAAGGTAAAAGAATCAAAGAGCAAACTAAATGTGCCACATCTCTCAGAAAAAAATAAGAATTGATCTTTAGGTCCCCCCTGTAGCCTCTCATCACCCAGAACATGTCAAAACTAAAAAAGGCTTTAAAATAAAGCAACTTAACAAGTTATATTTTAAATAGCCCTTAACTTGTATTGAGAGCCATTACAATAAATCAAAGTTTATGAGGAATTTTTTTAAGAGGAGTTACTCATTGAAACTTTTGTATTTAGGACCTTAAATTTTTGTAAAGGTGTTGGAGAGATTAAATGACTGAACAAAACTTGTATCTTGTAGCAACATCTGAATTTTAGTTTTACTTGCAGGGTGCTTACTGAGAATAAAACATGTTTGATGTGCATTACTAGTCATTTTTGGTCCTGCAACTTGAATGTGGTGAAAATTTTTTTTTAAACTACGTTACATTTCACTGTAACTTTTCACACCCCCAAAAATTGGTATTAAGAAATTTTCCACAATTTAAAAGCAGTGTCTTACTTTCATCAGTTTGTCAGTAAGCAATTTTTTACTACTTTTGTCAGTTTCAAGTTACTTCTGTTATCATTGTGGGCTTTTTGTTCATTAACATAGGTAAAAAAAAAAACAGGTAAAGTCATTCATGTGTATGCATGGTCATTTACAAACTATGCACACAATTTCCATCCATATTTACAAATTATTATTATTATTATTATTATTAATAGTTATATTATCACTATGCAGAGAGACATGTTCCTGCTTTTATATTTCATTTTTAATGTTTAAATTTTCTGTGACAGACTGGCGACCTGTCCAGGGTGACCCCGCATCTTCCCCGTTACCTTAAATATGTAAACTTATCTGTCCCTGTTTCTTCATTTTAGTTTGATAAATTTGCTTTTTCTTTTTCGCCAAGTGAGAAATGTCCTCAAATTTAGTCTTGGAAATCTGGTCACCTTATATTAAATTTATGTCACATTCTTTCTAGACATTGTCAAAGGTTGTTTTTTTTTGTTGTTGTTTTTTTTGAGAATCATAAATGACAAATTAGGTATCAAAATAAGGATTACTTTGAAAGCTTTAACGTTATATTGGTACCAAACCTGTAGAATCAATGTGACTCCAGCACACGAACCGACCTCGCCCGACTCGCCCCTTCTAGCTTCTGTAAACTAAATGTGGCTAGCTAAAAATGAATAACCAGAGTTTTAAGCCTCCCGCAGTTCTAAGAGCGGTGGAGTGAACCCTTCCTGAGCTTTTTAGTGTTTGCACTGTTCTAGCAGATCAATTGATCAGGGCTGTGCAGAGACCTTTGAAGGGACAGAGGCTCAAAATTAAAAAGGAGCACATTGAACAAGATCTTAAAACACCGTACAATAACATAGCAACAACAACCTATATTTATCAATAATTTAATTGGATCATACTATATCATTGCCGTCATGTGGGGACAATGCAAAGCAAAAGTAATGTATAATTTTCCCAACATGTATAATGTTGCTGTTTTTGCTGCTGACAGACCTGGAGGGCTCAGTTGATCTGAGACTGGAGCTGTTTAACAGACCAGAGGAAAGAAAGTCGCTGGTTATGAAATAATGAAACAACATTATATTGTTGCTGCCATTTTACTTATTAAGCCCTAATAGTATCTATCGATCAACCGAGTCCATCACTACTCCCAGCTTTAGGGCCTGTGGCTGTGTATGAGGCGACTGTGGCTGTGTGGCAGAGTTGTCGTCTTATAATCGGAAGGTTGTAGGTTCGATTCCAGCTTCCTCCTGCTATATGTCGATGTGCCTCTGGGCAAGGCAGTTAACCCCAAATTGTATACCGGTCTGCGTATCGGTGTATGAATGTGACTCTAGTGTAAAGCGCTTTGAGTGGTCAAAATGACTGGAAAACGCTATATAAATACTGTTGTTAGTTTATAAATCACTGAACGGTTTAGCACCACAATACATTAAAGATCTGCTGTTTAACCTGTAGAACAACTTGGCTGACTGACTCATAGATCAAAGAGCTCAAAGGCGTTAACTCTATATAATTTTTTGATGTTAGCATTTCTGAGATCTAGAATTGTAAGACTGAGATATCAAGGCAAAGAAAACTCAGTAGCTACTGGTAGGGCCCTCATGACATTCAGGGGCCCCTAGAAATGGCTTAATTGTAACATAGATCTAAACCTGTAGCATCATTTACAGAGAATACCAATGTTATTAAATTTTGTTAAATGCATTCAGCAGAGAGAAAAAAATTTACGTATAGGATTTAAAATTTACTTTGTATTTTATACTTTAAAAGAACTTTTTCATATTTATCACCGTTCATGTTCAATGATTGCATTGATTCAATTTGAATTTGTACCTTTTCATCGTAATTGTTTGTAGTTTCTCTTATATCCACAGAACTGTGTTCCACTTGTTACTTTATTCTCTTGTGGTTTATTGTCCAATTAGAGTGATCTCTTCATTCGCTACTACTTCTACATCTATATTTTCTTTTTTATTGCTTTTATTGTTTCCTGAATTTGTCCTTCCACACTAGTTGCTTTACAGCTTTTCTCTTCAACCAAATCAAATGCGTTTTCAGTATATAGTATCTCAGTGAAATAAGTCAAAAATGCACCAATGTCTAATTTTCAGTCAAATCTTGAAAGTTCAGCTTTATAATCTTTGAAACAGCATAGAAGTAGTGAGAAGCAGTGTATTTTTGTGGTTTGAAAAGTTTGTCTTCAACAAGTTTCTTTTAGTAAAGGGAATGCTGTTTAAGTGCCAACTGTCCAAAGCATGAGATTTTTTTTGCAGGTATCTGTTTCTGTGTCCAATTCTTCCAGCTTGGTTTGAGGAAGTTCTTGACATCAAGCTGAATCCCATCAGTCAAGTATTTCCCGGACGCCTGCTGCGTCTTTACTCAGTGGCTCCAGCCACATCCTGCTCTCAGTTGATCTCCTAACCCTCGGTATTTGCCCAAGACTTTAGAGATAAAGCTCTCAAAGAAACAGCAGGGCACTGCTAAGAAACCAAACACAACGTGGAGCTGAACAGAACACAGTACCTTTGGGCAAGGCGGTACCACACAGCAAACATCCCCAGGTCAGATCTTTCATAAACTAAAGGGTGGAGAGAAATGGGATCCATGAAAACTCTGTTAAACAAGGATGTTTACAATCCAGATTTAATCCAGCCTGGCATGGTAGGAAAAGTTTTGTGATCTACGTCTCAGAAAGAAAAAGATAGAGAAAAATCCCATCATAAAGTGCCTATATTATTAATATTTATTGAAATGAAGAGATTTAGAGGCTCTAAAACAGTCCAAAGCCATCTGCTAACTGCTCGTCTCAAAGATTAGTTAATGTTGGAGATTTTCCCTCAGCAGAAGAATTACACTGCTGTGTGGAGATGGTAAGTTATGCGGTACAGCTGTAAAACATTAAAGTCAATGCTACATTGATATCATTTATATAAAACCCCAAAGGAGAGAAAAGGATGTGACCTGACAGCTTAACTCTTGATGTGGTTTATTCAAGACTGATGATGCAGATAGGACTACAGAACCTTTCTAATGGAACAAAACAGCCACTGACGCATTGCATGCACCTGATGTGCTTTATTAAATCAGCTGGAAAACATATTCAAAAAATAATTACTCTTAAATAAGAACTTCTAGAGCTAAGTACAACTCTGTCATGCAGACTGTTGCATTAAAAGAGAGTAGTCAAAATGTTAGAAACAGTATAAGTCAAATATCACATATTGATACAGGGCCAGGTGATTAAATGTGCACCACAGGATGAGTATCCTGCACTGAGGGAGCTGAGTCACTCACTGACGCAGGCTCCCATAGGCCAAGTTGAGTTCAGTTTCCAACATGACAACTGTAGACCATGATACAGTGTCTGGGAAATTCTAGCAAAGAACTTAAACTATTATCTATACCTGGTTATCCCTGCAGGGTTCCAGTGGTCATTGGGTAAGAGTCAGTGTTCACCCTGAAGAGGTTAGGGGTTAGGGGTTAAGACAACACAGAAGGTCTTTAGATTGGAAGCTAGAGTACCCAGAGAGGACCATCAAATGCACAGAGAGAACAAGCAATGGAGCAGAGCAAACACTGATGAAAGCATGAATCCCAAAATAGTTTCTGAATCAAGGAATAGGTTCAAAACAGAAGGAGTCGTTGTTCCCTTACAATGGTTGAACATGGATTAATGATGCAAGCAGGAGGAGAGGTGCACCATGTCCATGTCAGCAGATCCACCACAGACAACATGGACCCCGATATCGGACAATATCGATATTACTGCTGAAATATTGTGTATCCTATTTATTCCTTCGTTCCTCATGAGGAAAATAAATTGATGTCAGGTCACATACATTAATTTCACCATTAGACACAGTGAATTTTAATTTGGTAACAAAACAAACAGAAACAGGCCCAGTCAGCATCAGTTATGGTTTTTGAACTTTAAAAAAAAAAAATGTTATCAAAGGTAAAGATCAGCAGCTGTTACTCAGATGTTACCCAGCGTGTAGAAGGAGCTGGGAGCAGAAACATGCTTCCTGAGTAAACAGTTTGTAATCTTGTGTGCGTCCAGCTCCACCTTAGCTGGAATATTATAAAAGGACTTGTTCTCCCATTGGGTTCTGTCATTGAGTCAACCCATAGGACCGACATGGGCTCCAAACGGCTGCAGTCGATGTCATGGCTCGTCTTCCTGACTCTGCTGGTCGGCTCTCTGTCTCAGACTGGTAACATATTTCACTAACAGCTTCACTAAAAGTTCAAGTAATTCTACTTGATTTATGTTTTCAAGTTTAGGAGGTAAAACATTCTCAGCCAGTTAAAAATGCTTTGGGTGTATGAAGTAAATGTTTTATCCTCAGAATGTTCTTCTACTTTTAATACATTTAATAATTTTTAATACATGTGAGTATTAAATGTACTTTTTATTTTCCTTTCAATAAAAAGGAAAATATTAAAAGGAAAATATTTTCCTTTTTATAGAAAGAAAAAATATTTTAAACTGAAAAATGGAAATGAAAGTCTTGTCAAACTGATTTGGCCCCAATTTAATTTACTGAGCTTTGATGATGAAGCATAAATATCTGATATTCAACATATATAATAATATCTTCAACTAGTCAGTTATAATTTCTTGTTTTCACCACAGTAACAATCGTCCCTCCTCTTCAAACACTGGATCTGACTTCAGGTAAACATCCAAAGACCAACATTTTGGGGTTCAACTACTGTTATCAGTATTTACCAACTTGCTCATTTTTTTCTTTCTAACATTGTCATTCCACAGCCAACATGTCTCACCTGGACCACGTCTGCACAACTTGGGGAAACTATCACTTCAAGACCTTCGATGGGCATTTCTTCCAGTTGGCCTCCACCTGTAACCACGTTTTGGTCTCCCACTGCGGGGGAAGCTATGAGAGTTTCAGCATCCAGATGAAGCGGGACCTGATCGCCAGCACCGCCACCATCAGCAGCATCACCATGAAGCTGGATGGCTCAGTGGTGGAGCTCTCCAACAGCTCCGTCATATTCAACGGCCAGATGTGAGTTCAGTCCATATTTTGTCTCTGGTTCATGTCGTGTTTGCCACAGACTGAGTCTCTGCAGGAATAGTGACAGCTACGGTTAAGTTACAACTGCATATTTACATTCATTGCTGTTCATCGTTCTCAATGTTTGATACATTATATTAAGAGTTTAATCATAAACTTGTGTCAAAGTTATTAAACAGCTTAGCTTTTCAAATCCAAGTGTAAGGTTTAGTTTTAAGCCAGGGGTGTTTTCTTTTCTTGAATGGAAAATGTTTGGTACAATACACTAGTTTTAATTTTAATATCAATAAATTCAGGCCACAAACAGCAAGCTCATTTTTATTCAACACTCTGAGCACTGAATCATCAAACTTCGACCAAAAACCTGAACTCCTTTCTTTTTATTTAAGAAAAACGCCTGAGAAAATTCCAACGACTTCATGTTTGTATCCCCAAAATGAAATATTTACAATAAAATGATTTTTGATTTTGAACTGGAAAAAATATGGCCCCTGAATGGTTTCAACTTGGTGATTTTGTCCCACAGCACAGTTTGGACACCTCTGGTTTAAGCAAATAGTGAACTGAGTTGACTTTGAGCTGACATGAAATCCTGATTTCTTTTTCTCGAAGCCAGCTCTTTGCACATCGTCTCTGTATTTGCTTCTGTCCTACAGCCTCACTGCTCACAAACACCTCATACCAACCTCTCTGATCTACCTATGGCATTACTGTTGTTAATTTGATTAATGGTTTTAAGTTTACAAGGTAAAACATTCTTTTCTTTTCTTGTCTTTCTTATTATTTCTTTTCAATTAAAAGATCTTGAAGTCAAAGTAGAAGAGTTCACTGAACATGTTTGCTGACTGACTTGTTGTTTATGTCTAATGTTGAATAATTTTGCCTCAGAATGTTTCCTCAGCCTTTAGCCTTTGCTCTGTGGCTCATCCTGGATCATGTGTGTTTGCTGCAGGGTGTCTCTGCCACTCGTTGCCTTCGGAGTGACAATCAAAAGGACCACATCCAGCATCTTTGTTGAAGCCAGTCTTGGGATCAAGGCTATTTGGAACCTGGATGACTCTCTAGATGTATGAAGGACACAAACAGACTGAGCACATCATGAAGTTTTTCCAAGCAAACGTTATTCAATCTTTTACAATTCACACAATGTCTCAGATGTAAAAACAAAACAGTTCATTCCTTTATGTGACTACATGTTACACAAAAAGTAAGAAAACTTGTGTTTGGGCGATTACTGCTTTGAAAGCTTGTCCCACATTTGGAAGGAAAATGTGTTTTCTAGCAGTGATTCATTTTATCAGACTGGAGGTGAGGACTCCAGGTCGCCCTGTCCGTCCTCTATGTTCCCAGATTTCAGAGGTAGTCTCTGATAATCCCAGGCATGTGGAGGACATGTCTGAGGACAGAGTTTACTCCCTATGAATGGAGAGATGGACTTACCTTCAAGCACTGCCTGAGAGGAAATTACTTCATGAGAGCAAACCACGTAAATGATCCAGACCTAAACTCACAAACTGATTTTCTCTATATTTAAGGTCAAAGTGACAGGCTTTTCAGTGGTGTAAAGTTATAGTTTCAAGAAATAAAAACAAATTCAGAACAAATGGATTTCTTCACTTTTTGTACTAAATGTAATTATGTTGGATCATTTATAGCTCTGCCCTTAGTTGTTATGAAACTAAATATCTGCATTATATAGTAAACCTTTGCTAGGAAGACTGTTGACAGTAAACTGATATATTCATCCATGAACATGTTAGTGCTCACACATCACACATGACTTCATTTCTTTATGTGTCGTATCTTTACAGATGGAGCTGGATCGCAAATATTACAACCAGACCTGTGGACTGTGTGGAAACTTTGATGGGATAGCTAATGATTTTATGAAAGATGGTAAGGTCACTTAAAATAATACTGCAATTGATTTAGCTTCTATGTGCTGAGAAACTCTGTACTTTTCCCAATTTCAGACTTTAGGATTGAGAACACAGCACCAGATTTCAAAAGAAACAACTTTGAGCTTTTCTTGGCTGTGGACTGAAGTTTCTGGGGAAAATGTTCATGTTTTCTGCAGCTCTGAGTTCATTTTTGATGAAATTTAATTTGTCTGTAAATTAATGTGCTTCAATGTGTCTTTGTGCTTTATAAAAGATTGTGCTGAGAAAATGCTGTAAACCTTCTGTTGTTCATTCAGTCAGTTATTTAAGAAATCTTTCTGTTTATCTCAGTTTCAGAAAGACATGGAAATTATATCTATGTATGTTTTTCCTTACTTTGTTGAATTCATTTACTTATTGATACATACTAAGTTTGTCTTTGCTAAATATTCTACAGTCACATCTGATGTGAGATTAGTTGCTGGATTGTGACAGGATGGTTTCTGTGTGACTGACTGTAGGGGCTGTGCTGTCTGTGGTGGACTTGGCTGAGACTTACAAGGTAAACGGGCCCACTGAGACGTGTGTGGAACCCGACCTCATTCCGACCCGGAGCTGTGGGGATAAGGTAATGATAAGTGCCCATGTCTCCATGGGCTGTGACATTGAAATTAGTGTCTGATTTGGAGTTTCCAATTCTGCTGTTGAATGAATAAAATAATTTACATTCAGCCCTAATTGACCAGAATCCTCTATGAACTGAGTTGACCACAGACTGAAAGTCTTTGTAATTTTTACCCCCAGCTGCTTTGTGAGGAAACCTTCACTAAAGATCCATTCAGCAGCTGCCAGAACCTCCTGGATGTGGAATCGTTTACCAAGGCGTGCATGGCAGATATGTGTAGTTCAGAAGAGAACACAGAGTCCATCTTGTGCAAAACCATCTCAGAGTTCTCCAGACAGTGCGTTCATGCAGGAGGAAACCCCCAGCCTTGGAGGAACGAAACCTTCTGCTGTAAGCTCCACACACGCAGCCTGAGGATTAGAGTCCTTCATTGCTATTTAGTTTAAAGATTAGCTTCCTGGAGTTGATACCACAAAAGGAAACAAACTGTCTTCACAGACAAGCGATGCCCATACAACATGGAGTTTCTGGAATGTAGCCGGCCATGCCAGGACTCCTGCTCCAACCCACAGGCCAGTCAGACCTGTGACAGCCACTGCCACGATGGCTGCAGCTGCCCTGCAGGTAAACACACACTCATGTTCTAATGCAAGCATCCAGGCTGACTTATTCACTGTTCAGGCATATTAATTATCATCTCTCTTGCCTTCAGGAATGGTGTTTGATGACATTGGTAACACAGGATGTGTCACAGCTGATCAGTGCCCATGTCTCCATGGCAACCAGATCTACCAGTCAGGAGAGTCCTACTCATTCAACTGTAGATCCTGGTAAGGAGGGAACATGCGTCACTCTATCAGGTCCATATATGGAAAGAAAATCGGAGAAATCCAGTCAAATGTTCCACATGTGACAGGGACATGGTTTGAATTATTATTCAATTTAAAATGCATTTTATGCTTTCATGCTGATGTTGTCAAGGTCTGTTAAAAAAGCATGTAGCTTTCAGAGCTTAAATTGAAATATTTGTTTCCATATTGAGTATCTATTTGCCAAACAAAACGTTTAACTTTTAAAGTAAAATGAAATATTTATTTTCCAAACAAAATATTTCACTGGCCCTGAAAGTTTAGTTAGCTAATAAACAGATAGCTATTTAAATTGCTAGATATTTATTTTGTCGAAAAACAGCTAAACCTGCGGAAGTGGATTATCAGAATGAAAGCCAGGCTTTCATAGATAACCACAACAAAATCAGTATATTTGACACTAACACCTCTCAAGTCAACTAAGCTTTGCGTGTGAATTTAACAGTGTCTGTGAGAGAGGCCACTGGACCTGCACGGAGGAGAACTGCTCAGGAACCTGCTCAGTGGAGGGAGGGGCTCATGTCACCACCTTTGATGGGAAAATCTACACCTTCCATGGAGACTGCTCCTACGTTCTGGCTAAAGTAAAGACCTTCATACCTCTGTATACTGAGACAATGCTTACATTTGTTTTGCAATGAACTTATTTAGTGCTTAACTACACAAGTATAACAACAGTATCAAGGCATGCTGGTTCACCAAAAGATACATAGAAAACAAATAAAGGATAACAAACAACTTATGTTGTCTCAACTACAGTTTTAAAACTTAATGTGAGTAATTGGGGTGCCCAGAGGACCAGCATGTTGTTGCCTTGCAGCAATAAGGTCCTGGGTTCAAGTCCTTTAAGTCTCCCAAGAGACACCAGCGCCTCTGCCACCCCGCATTCCCATAAGGCTTCAAAGATCCTGGTGTCTAACAGTTTTTTTCTATAACTGGAAGAAAATACAGAGAGCATCATTCAGCCAGCTAAGCAACAGTGGACAGCACTGTGTGTTGCCCTCTGTGCTATTTGCAGTCAGAAACAATAACCTTTTAAACTCACTATATCTTGATACTGGTAACCAGTCAGTACTCACGCCAATATGGGTATGTTCGAACTGGGATTGCTATTTGTGCTGACAAGTTTTGTGTCACTGTGTTGCAGCAGAGTGATGGCTCCCTGTACACTGTGTTGGTGGACCTGGTCAAATGTGGTCTGACAGACAGCAGGACGTGTCTCAGAGCCGTTACTCTGGCCCTGGGCAGTAATGCCCTGGTAAGCTCCAGACACCGACACATTAACTCCCTGGGTTATGTTTCTGCTGTTTTTCATAACATGTAGGCACAATGCAAAGACTTTCAGATCACTGGATTGTGCCCACAAGCATCTACTCAAACCTGGGATAGAGCTCATAAGAACTGGTTCTAACATTGTAACTTTAAAGTTAAAATACATTATATCAAACCTAATATTGATATAATATTAATATATATCAATATTAAGACCGCAGATTTTGGAGAAAACTAATAGAAAACAAAAGCTGAATCTAACATTCAATATATATTTATATCAGCTGTCAAATGACAGGGAGACAGAATCTCTTCTGAAAGTGGTACATCTAGCAATGTGAATTATTTTAACTGATAATTCTCTTGATTAATTTTGGACTTTTATATTATGGCACACTTGTTTTGAAAGACTATAAATATTTAGGATTTTATTCAGAATACTAATTAGTGCATGTTTAACATAATCTAAAATGTCTTTCCACTAAACACCAGGTCATCAAAATTCAAGCATCTGGGCAAGTCTATGTCAACAATATTCTTTCTCAGCTTCCATTGTTTACATGTAAGTGAATATTATTTTTACTGTCTGTCTAACATATCCACACATGATGTCCATGTACAGCTGCATGTAGTAGTTTATTCTGCTAAGGGTTGTAGGGCTGCAGCCTTTTTAAGCTGACATTCAATGTGCAGCAGCACGGACTAAAACATATGATATCTATGATCAGTTTTTGAAGGTAATTAATGAAAGAAAATGGAGGAAAATCAGAGAACTCAGACAGAACACCAGAGAAAGACTGAGACAGAAACCCATAGGCTGTTAGAAGACAGTTTATCACCACAACACACCATGGAAATGTTAATGAATTGTGATAAGTTGATGAAATGAAACTTTTAGGCCATGTTGCTTCAATACTGACAGCTCACTGAGTAGTATGTGTTCTGATCTCTGCAGCTGATTCTTGCAGCTTTTGGCCATCCTCCTGTTTGGGAATCCAAGTGATGGTCCAGCTCTCTCCTGTGATGCAAGTCTTCGTTTCAGCTGATGTGTCGCTCAAAGGAGCCACCTCTGGTACATCTCCATGTGTTTAACTGGATGTGAACATGCAGCTTCCAGGTTTCCAACAGCTCACCTCTGTCCCACAATGCTCCGCAGGGTTATGTGGGAACTTCAACAACATAATGAGTGACGACTTCCGGGTGATTAGTGGACTTGTGGAGGGAACTGCTGCAGCATTTGTCAACACATGGAAGACCAGAGTCAGCTGTCCTGACATCGTGCCACGATTTGGAGATCCTTGCAGCCAGGACATTAGCAGAGGTACAGATGATCTCCTGTACACAATGTTATGTTGAATGTTTTTAAAAACAACCTAAATTCAGAGAGTTTGCCAGCAGTGACTAGGGGAACAGGGGAATAGGGAACGAATCTAGCAATTAAGCAAAGTCTGTAAGTAATTTTATGCATGTCACCATTCAAAGATCAAAATCACAAAGTGTAGATTAAACAAACTAAAACAAAGATACACAGATGAAACATGATGTCAAAATACAATACCAAATTAATCAGTAGAAAGTTTTTTCTGGACAAAATCTCGTTTTCACATTGGTCCCATCAGCAGCAGCTTGAGCATGAGCCTTAGTCCCAAAATCTCAGAAACATGTCTATGTGTGACGTGACATCAGCCTGAGTGCCGTTCAATAGAGAAACAGTACTCTTTCAAGATACACCTTTTAGTATGACTTCTTTTTATATCTGTGTGTTTCAGAGAGCTATGCACAGTACTGGTGTTCCAAACTGACTGATCCGCTGGGAGTGTTTGCCCCTTGCCACTCTGTTGTCAGTCCCAGCTCATACAAAGACGTGGGTTTGCAAACGTGAAGCACTGAGCGCGTATAAAACTCTTCTACTGTCATGACCTTCTACATTTCTGCTTTATGTTTGAGCAGAACTGCATGTACGATGGCTGTAACTGTGAAAAAAGCGAGGACTGCATGTGTGCTGCGGTCTCCTCATATGTCTACGCCTGCTCAGCGGCGGGAGTCCACATCAGCGGCTGGAGGGAAACCATCTGCGGTGGGCAAAAATTAGTCAACATTTTTTCACTGTTCGGAAACACTCCGATCTGCTGGGTAGATCGGAGTGTTTGACAAACTTTTTCAAATTTATTCAACAGGAAAATTTAGCGAATCGTGTCCATCAGAAACAGTTTATGAGTACAACATGACCTCCTGTGGTCGGACGTGTCGTTCCCTCAGCCAAGCTGATTACTCCTGCCAGGTCAGCTTCGCCTCGGTTGACGGCTGCGGCTGCACAGAGGGAACCTACATGAATGAAGGGGGACAGTGTGTGTCCAGTGCGAGCTGCCCCTGCTACGATAAGGACACCTTTATTCCTGCCGGACAGGCCATCATCAAAGATGGAGTAACATGGTAACGACTCACAGATGCTCATTGGGGATTTTCATATCCACATAAATATGTACTGTTTTATCATCAAAGAACATTTACTTTAAAGATAAATTGTAAGCAAATACCCTAATGTTGCCCCAATACCTGTCAAAGTCCTTTAAGTCTAAGTAGATTAAGTTTACTAAGTTGTCATGTTAAGCAAACAGAAATAAATTAAATTTAACAAACTTAATTTAACTACATGTAACAAATGAACATTTTTTTTAAAGTTGGCGCTCCATTTTCTTCTGTTCAGCAAAAACATGAAGTTTAATGCAGTCAGCTTGTAAAAAATGCCTTGCCAAAGCTTTTATTTGGAATCAGATCACTAGATCCCCACATGCCTCACATGATTCAAATTGATTCTGTTTGTCTCGTCCAGTGTCTGCAGACATGGGGCCCTTAGCTGCCCTGGAGGAGCCAGACTACAAAGTAGGTTCCTACACGTCTCATCTATCTATCAGAGGGTAATTGTACACTGTGGTGTTTATGCAATTAACACCTAATTACAGCCTATAATGAAGTTTGTAAGTAGTGCAATATTTCATTCTTCAGCAGAGGATGTCTTTGTCCATACTATATAGTTCTAACATAATCTGCACTCCATTTCATCTTCAGCCTCCACATCATGTGTTCCCCCCATGATTTATTTTTCTTGCTCCACTGCTCAGCCTGGCACCACTGGGTCTGAGTGTCAGAGGAGCTGCAGCACGGTGGACATGCCTTGTGTAAGAACAACAAAGTATTTCAGTTAAAAAAGCATTTTGATGTAAATCCACATGCCTTGTTCAGCCTAACGTCGCTTCACTCTTGCCGGGAGCAGATCAGTACAGGCTGTACATCTGGATGTGTGTGCCCAGAAGGCCTGCTGTCAGACGGAGCAGGAGGCTGCATCAATGAGACAAGCTGTCCATGTGTCCACAATGGACACGTCTACCAGCCAGGACAGACTCTCACAGTGGACTGTAACACTTGGTATTTATGAGCCTTTTATGACCTTTGACCTTAAAAACTATAGCACAGATATTAACTCTGGGAGAGCCAATACTCTCCCTTCCAGGGAGAGTATCCCTTCCACATCTGACTTATGATCAAATATCCATAGATATCAGATATCTTTGATTTATTTCTGATGTTTGTATGTCACCACAGCTCATGCAGCGGACGAACATTCACTTGTACCAGCAATGTTTGCAGTGCAGTTTGTGGGATCTATGGAGATGGCCATTATATTACGTTTGATGATAAAAGGTTTGACTTCAGCGGAGAATGTGAATACACACTCCTACAGGTAACGAGGCTACTGGACAAATCAGCATTGTTTATTTGTCAGAATTAAAATCTTTAAATGTGAGGTACGTTGATGTACAAATGCACACTGGCCCGATAACTAATTAACGCCCTTGGACAGTAAACTTTTACACATATTTAAGGAGTTGAAATCAATCTTTCTTTAGCAATAGAAGTGAATTCTGGAACCTATTAGTGGAGAAAACTATCAGCTATATCAGTAATTGACCTTTTTTAATGATAAGAAGGGAACAAAAAGGAAATCCTATCACTATCACTGTGTGTTGTCACTCAGGATTATTGCAGCCCTGGTCAGGGAAACGGAAGCTTCAGTATTATCACTGAGAATGTTCCATGTGGAACCACTGGGACAACCTGCTCCAAGACCATTAAGATCTTCCTGGAGGTAAACACACCACTCATTCCTTCAACACATGTGATCTAGTTATTAATATCATCCAACTGCTGGACAAAGAGTTGAGATTCTGACAGCATGACACTGCCTCATCTTAGATTAGTCCTAATCTTTCATCAAAACCTAGAGTTTAATTGTGAAGTTTTTAGCATGTTATGTATTAGTGTGCAGGGAGTTGTCAATCTTTGACATGTGGATCAAAATATTTACAAGGAGAAATAGAAAGTTTCACATAGAGTCTATGCAGTGTTTAACATTCTTTGTGGTTTTTCTTTGCTTTGTAATCTTGATGTGTACAGGATAATGAATTCCATCTAAAGGATGACAGTTTCCAGGTGATAAAAGGAAACATCAATGTTCTCCCTGCTTCTGTTCAAAAAATGGGTATTTATCTGGTGGTGACAGTCCAATCAGGGCTGGTTGTCATGTGGGACCAGAAGACAAGCCTTTTTATTTCTCTCAGTCCAGAGTTCCAGGTAACGCATCAAGTGTGTGTGTGTTGTGATAACTAAATCTCATCTCGGTTCTTTAGGTTTTATTTTAGACGACCGTGAGCTGACCGGATAAAATAACACACTATCAAAAACATGAACACAAATCCTTGTATCATTTCATTTCATATTTAGACCAACTCTGATCAATGCTGAATATTTTTACTAAGTTGGTAATGTACATGTTGATGATAAGATCAAATCATATCAGATTTGTGACTGCTCTGTTTTTTTCACTATGCCAGGGTGAAGTGTGTGGCCTATGTGGGAACTACGATGGCAACAGTAAAAATGATTTTACCACACGCTCTCAAGAGACTGTGGCAGATGTTTTAGAGTTTGGGAACAGCTGGAAAGTGTCATCTAGTTGCTCTAACGCCCAGCTTCTCAGTGATCCCTGTGCCTCCAACCGCTACCGGGCAGCCTGGTCTCAGAAGCAGTGCAGCATCATAACCAGCGCCACCTTCCACAGCTGTCATGCAAAAGTAACCTGAACACAGCACAGCTGCACTTAAACGGGTCCATATTTACATACATTAAAAACTGCAAATGCTCCACTCCTTGGGAGATTACAGTTTTTTTTCTTCTCTTCATCTTTATCACTACATGCACAGATTGCCTCTTTCTTTGCTTGGTCATCCAACTACTATTTATTTATCTATCTAAAACATTCTGTTTTAGAAAAAAAAAATGACCAAGCACTGTTAGGTGAAGTTTCACTCAGTCAGGTTTAACCTAACAAACTTTATTTTAGAATGTTTTAAACAAAAACTTGATGGGAGATTATTTGTAGTTTCTCAACAGAATCTTCAATTTATTGGCCTCTTTTGAACTTTTTTCAAAATATATAACAGTACAGCTTATGAGTATAATTAGAATGAGAAAGACACCATGTTTGATGTAACTGCTTTGTGTTTAAGGTCGATCCTGGCCCATACTATGACTCCTGTGTGAGAGACTCCTGTGCTTGTGACACTGGAGGTGACTGTGAGTGTTTCTGCACCGCTGTGGCTGCCTATGCCAAAGCTTGCAGCACAGCTGGAGCCTGCATCAGCTGGAGAACTCCAAAGTTGTGCCGTAAGTTTGACCACCAGAACTGCTGTCATGGTGATGGAACTATTCGATTATGTAACAAAATCAGAAATTGGATTTTGTTTCATTGCAAATTAATTCAGCTTTACAAAGCACCAGTTAAAAGCTTTGGTAATCTCAAAATGCATGCAAACAAATCACATTTAAATCAAATAAAATGCATATTTCAATATAACTGACTTTTGAAGTACCAATGAAATTATTCCAATTTGAATGAAGCAAGCCTTTAGTCAGTGTAACAGGGAGTTTCCTTGAACTGAAACTTCATTTTGTATCACAAAATTATATAAAATGTCCATATTTTGTCTACTAGCTATTTTCTGTGATTACTATAACTCCCCTGGTGGCTGCGAATGGCATTACAAGCCTTGTGGAGCTGACTGCATGAAGACATGTAGGAATCCCTCAGGAAGCTGTACCAAACTCATCACTCACCTGGAAGGTAAACATTTGTTCAGCATGCTAGTTAAATGACTTTATGCAATTTATTTACATCACATTTTATTTTACAGTATTTCAAATAAAACAAAGTATTTTGAAGGTAAGTTAAAGAAAGTTGGATTACTGTTACGAAATAATGTTCATACAACAACCTAATTTTTCTACAACATTATGTACAGTAATTAAATCATTAAGAGTGAAAAATTAAGATGCAAGGAAGCTACTGAAGCTGATAAGTTCTTAGTCTTATTTAGTAAAGTGACTTGCATTACAGGAGGCATGTTATGTTTTCACTGAGTCGTAAAAACATCATGATGGAAAAGTCAAATCCTCACTTTACTCCTTTAATGGACATTTCATTCCCCATTAATTAACATATATATTCTTGTATTACATAGGTTGCTATCCACAGTGTTCTCACACCAAGCCTTTCTTTGATGAAGACACAATGAAATGTGTGAATTGGGACCAGTGTGGATGCTATGATGACAAAGGCATTCATTATAGCACAGGCGAGAAGGTTCCATCCAACAGCTGTTACACTTGGTATGTCTCATATAACTTTGATCATCGTATTAGCATAACTGGTCCAGCAAACACTAATAAATTGGTGATGATGCGTGTACTATCTGATTCAGACATCCATTGTATAACAAGATGTTGTGGGGTTGTGTGGTCTTTATTTTGGGCTATATTCCATTTGGGGCTTCACACAATAGTATGAATCTTAGTTAAGAATTTGTTGTTCGCCCCAACTATAATTTAGCATTTATTTTTGTCATTACTTGGACAACTCCTTCTTGAATTATCTTATCTGCTGAACCTAACATTTGTTGTTTGGATTTTTTATTTTTTTTGCCTCTGATAAAACCTAAGGCAAAAAAGCTATGCAACGTCTATAAAAAAGCATTTATTTACTTATTTATTTTTTACATATTTGTCATACTTTATGTGACAGTTTGACAGAAAAAAAATTAGTTCCTCTGCCTTCTCCAAGTAATTATTGAGAAATAAATCGCACATTCAGAAACACCCAATAACAGCCAGAAGGAAGTTCTTAGTCTTATTTAATAACAGTAACCCAGCCTTAGTCTGGGCTTCCCTACTTGGGCTGCTGTCCCCACAACCTGAGTCCAGATAAGCAGAAGATGGATGGATGGATGGATAGTTGGATGGATGGATGAATGGATGGATGGATGGATGGATGGATGGATGGATGGATGGATGGATGATTAGATGGATGTATAGTTGAATGGATGGATGGGTGAATGGATGGAAGGATGGATGGATGGATGGATAGTTGGATGGATGGATGGATGGATGGATAGTTGGATGGATGGAAGAATGGATGGATGGATAGTTAGATGGATGGATGGATGATTAGATGGATGTATAGTTGAATGGATGGATGGATAGTTGAATGGATGGATGGATGGATGGATGGATAGTTGGATGGATGGAAGAATGGATGGATGTATAGTTGAATGGATGGATGGATAAGTTGAATGGATGGATGGATGGATGAATAGTTGGATGGATGGATAGATGGATGGATGGATGGATAGTTGGATGGATGGATAGTTGGATGGATGGATGGATGGATAGTTGGATGGATGGACGGATGGATGGATGGAAGAATGGATGGATGGATGGATAGTTGGATGGATGGATGGATAGTTGGATGTATGGATGGATGGATAGTTGGATGGATGGATGGATGGATGGATGGATGGATGGATAGTTGGATGGATGGAAGAATGGATGGATGGATGGATGGATGGATAGTTGGATGTATGGATGGATGGATAGTTGGATGGATGGATGGATAGTTGGATGGATGGAAGAATGGATGGATGGATAGTTGGATGGATGGATGGATGATTAGATGGACGTATAGTTGAATGGATGGATGGATAGTTGGATGGATGGATGGATGGATGGATGGATAGTTGGATGGATGGAAGAATGGATGGATGGATAGTTGGATGGATGGATGGATGATTAGATGGACGTATAGTTGAATGGATGGATGGATAGTTGGATGGATGGATGGATGATTAGATGGACGTATAGTTGAATGGATGGATGGATAGTTGGATGGATGCATAATAGCTAGACAGATGGATAAGAGAAAGGAAGGACAGATGTTCTTTGTACTGTCAATCATGCTTGTGTGTTCACAGCTTAGGCAATAACATTATCCCAAGAGTAGAACCTGTCATGAATGAGAGGCTCTACAGCAATGATGGCCTATGAACAACTCACAAGCAATTTTCCTGTGACCGTAAGATGTTTCTCTGCCATTAGTTGATTGACAGAAGTTGTTAAATCCACAACTGGAGTACCAGGAATTGTGTCAACATTACTACATAGAGTTTGAATGTCCGAATACCTTCCTCCTGGCTCTGAAAGGTTGTGGTGCAATTCTGCATATTGCAATAGTTCTAATGGAGGAAGTGCAGGACCGTGATTCTTTTTCATCTCTATCATACCATGTAGTGACAGATTTAACAAAAATGTAAAAAACTGTATTTTATAGAAAAAGTTACATATTGCAATTATATGTCCAACAGTTATTTGTATCAGATACAAATAATTTCAAAATTTGTAGAGAAATTTTGAAAATTAAAATACATAAGGAAACATTTTGTTTTTAGGCAGTTAATAAAAAATATTGGGATTAACAATTTTCTATTTTTCAAAGCTCCTGTACATTATCTGGGATAATATGCATCTACAATGTTGATTGTGAGTATATGTTGTAATTTACAGTAATGAGGATAACTAGTATATCTTAATACTGAAATTATTTTGTTTAAATTAACAATGTAATATCTATCAACAGCATGTACATGCACAATTAATGGACAAATTTACAACTACGGTGCCACAATATACAACACTTCGGATGGTCTGGGAAACTGCATTAAAGCTGAATGTGGCGCGAATGGAACTATATCTAGAAGCATGTATATATGCATGAATACAACAACCGCTGGGCCCACAACAACTCCATTTAAATTTAGCACAGGTTTGAGACTTACTATAATTACTCGAAAACGCTATGATATTGTTTGTCTTTGACAAGATTGCCATAAATGTTTCATATTGGTGTTTTTTCTGAAGTGCCAAGCTCTACGTCAACAATAAATATTACATCAAGAACAGAAGGAACAACAACAAAACTAAAGGATAAAACAACTCCACAAATAACATATATCGCAACAACAATAATAACAGCACGGCAAGAAACAACACTTGTTACATCTAAGCCATCTACAACCAAAGGTTCCATAACAAATTTTGGTACAAGAAAGCCTGTTGAAACAACCTCTGATCAATTAACACTCTCCACCACTGCAATTGTTGAAACCACGACTTCAGTGCTAGAGGGAACAAGCAGAGGAAGTGAAACTACAACCGTATCATCAAAGCCATCTCTTCAGACAACCACTACTGAAGGACCTACACCATCCACCCAGAGAGCAACAACTGAATCTGTCGAAACTACGTTCTCAAAAACAACAACAGCAGTGAAGATTGGAACAACAAACCCCTCAAAGGTTGGCACAACAGGCCCAGTGACTGGCTCTGTTACAGAAGTTGTCGAATCCACAACTGGAGTACCAGGAATCATGTCAACAAGCCAAGAAACAACCCTTGTTACATCTAAGCCCTCTGCTGTTACCAAAACCACAACACCTCCTAGAACCACTGGAGAAATTACGACAAAAGCTTCTGAAGCATCTACAACCAAAGGTTCCATAACAAATGTTGGTACAAGAAAGCCTGTTGAAACAACCTCTGGTCAATTAACACTCTCCACCACTGCAATTGTTGAAACCACGACTTCAGTGCTAGAGGGAACAAGCAGAGGAAGTGAAACTACAACCGTATCATCAATGCCATCTCTTCAGACAACCACTACTGAAGGACCTACACCATCCACCCAGAGAGCAAGAACTGAATCTGTCAAAACTACATTCTCAAAAACAACAACAGCAGTGAAGATTGGAACAACAAACCCCTCAAAGGTTGGCACAACAGGCCCAGTGACTGGCTACATAACAGAAGTTGTCGAATCCACAACTGGAGTACCAGGAATCATGTCAACAAGCCAAGAAACAACCCTTGTTACATCTAAGCCCTCTGCTGTTACCAAAACCACAACAACACCTCCCAGAACCACTGGAGAAATTACAACAAAAGCTTCGGAAGCATCTACAACCAAAGGTTCAACAACAAATGTTGGTACAAGAAAGCCTGTTGAAACAACCTCTGGTCAATTAACACTCTCCACCACTGCAATTGTTGAAACCACGACTTCAGTGCTAGAGGGAACAAGCAGAGGAAGTGAAACTACAACCGTATCATCAATGCCATCTCTTCAGACAACCACTACTGAAGGACCTACACCATCCACCCAGAGAGCAAGAACTGAATCTGTCGAAACTACCTTCTCAAAAACAACAACAGCAGTGAAGATTGGAACAACAAACCCCTCAAAGGTTGGCACAACAGGCCCAGTGACTGGCTACATAACAGAAAGTTGTCGAATCCACAACTGGAGTACCAGGAATCATGTCAACAAGCCAAGAAGCAACCCTTGTTACATCTAAGCCCTCTGCTGTTACCAAAACCACAACAACACCTCCCAGAACCACTGGAGAAATTACAACAAAAGCTTCTGAAGCATCTACAACCAAAGGTTCAATAACAAATGTTGGTACAAGAAAGCCTGTTGAAACAACCTCTGGTCAACTAACACTCTCCACCACTGCAATTGTTGAAACCACGACTTCAGTGCTAGAGGGAACAAGCAGAAGAAGTGAAACTACAACCGTATCATCAAAGCCATCTCTTCAGACAACCACTACTGAAGGACCTACACCATCCACCCAGAGAGCAACAACTGAATCTGTCGAAACTACGTTCTCAAAAACAACAACAGCAGTGAAGATTGGTACAACAAACCCCTCAAAGGTTGGCACAACAGGCCCAGTGACTGGCTCCATTACAGAAGTTGTCGAATCCACAACTGGAGTACCAGGAATCATGTCAACAAGCCAAGAAACAACCCTTGTTACATCTAAGCCATCTGTTGTTACCAAAACCACAACAACACCTCCCAGAACCACTGGAGAAATTACAACAAAAGCTTCTGAAGCATCTACAACCAAGGTTCAATAACAAATGTTGGTACAAGAAAGCCTGTTGAAGCAACCTCTGGTCAACTAACACTCTCCACCACTGCAATCGTTGAAACCACGACTTCAGTGCTAGAGGGAACAAGCAGAAGAAGTGAAACTACAACCGTATCATCAAAGCCATCTCTTCAGACAACCACTACTGAAGGACCTACACCATCCACCCAGAGAGCAACAACTGAATCTGTCGAAACTACGTTCTCAAAAACAACAACAGCAGTGAAGATTGGAACAACAAACCCCTCAAAGGTTGGCACAACAGGCCCAGTGACTGGCTCTGTTACAGAAGTTGTCGAATCCACAACTGGAGTACCAGGAATCATGTCAACAAGCCAAGAAACCACCCTTGTTACATCTAAGCCCTCTGCTGTTACCAAACCACAACACCTCCTAGAACCACTGGAGAAATTACGACAAAAGCTTCTGAAGCATCTACAACCAAAGGTTCCATAACAAATGTTGGTACAAGAAAGCCTGTTGAAACAACCTCTGGTCAATTAACACTCTCCACCACTGCAATTGTTGAAACCACGACTTCAGTGCTAGAGGGAACAAGCAGAGGAAGTGAAACTACAACCGTATCATCAATGCCATCTCTTCAGACAACCACTACTGAAGGACCTACACCATCCACCCAGAGAGCAATAACTGAATCTGTCGAAACTACGTTCTCAAAAACAACAACAGCAGTGAAGATTGGAACAACAAACCCCTCAAAGGTTGGCACAACAGGCCCAGTGACTGGCTACATAACAGAAGTTGTCGAATCCACAACTGGAGTACCAGGAATCATGTCAACAAGCAAAGAAGCAACCCTTGTTACATCTAAGCCATCTGTTGTTACCAAAACAACAACAACACCTCCTAGAACCACTGGAGAAATTACAACAAAAGCTTCTGAAGCATCTACAACCAAAGGTTCAATAACAAATGTTGGTACAAGAAAGCCTGTTGAAGCAACCTCTGTTCAACTAACACTCTCCACCACTGCAATTGTTGAAACCACGACTTCAGTGCTAGAGGGAACAAGCAGAAGAAGTGAAACTACAGCCGTATCATCAAAGCCATCTCTTCAGACAACCACTACTGAAGGACCTACTCCATCCACCCAGAGAGCAACAACTGAATCTGTCGAAACTACGTTCTCAAAAACAACAACAGCAGTGAAGATTGGTACAACAAACCCCTCAAAGGTTGGCACAACAGGCCCAGTGACTGGCTCCGTTACAGAAGTTGTCGAATCCACAACTGGAATACCAGGAATCATGTCAACAAGCCAAGAAACAACCCTTGTTACATCTAAGCCCTCTGCTGTTACCAAAACCACAACAACACCTCCTAGAACCACTGGAGAAATTACGACAAAAGCTTCTGAAGCATCTACAACCAAAGGTTCCATAACAAATGTTGGTACAAGAAAGCCTGTTGAAACAACCTCTGGTCAATTAACACTCTCCACCACTGCAATTGTTGAAACCACGACTTCAGTGCTAGAGGGAACAAGCAGAAGAAGTGAAACTACAACCGTATCATCAAAGCCATCTCTTCAGACAACCACTACTGAAAGACCTACACCATCCACCCAGAGAGCAACTGAATCTGTCGAAACTACGTTCTCAAAAACAACAACAGCAGTGAAGATTGGAACAACAAACCCCTCAAAGGTTGGCACAACAGGCCCAGTGACTGGCTCTGTTACAGAAGTTGTCGAATCCACAACTGGAGTACCAGGAATCATGTCAACAAGCCAAGAAACAACCCTTGTTACATCTAAGCCCTCTGCTGTTACCAAAACCACAACACCTCCTAGAACCACTGGAGAAATTACGACAAAAGCTTCTGAAGCATCTACAACCAAAGGTTCCATAACAAATGTTGGTACAAGAAAGCCTGTTGAAACAACCTCTGGTCAATTAACACTCTCCACCACTGCAATTTTGAAACCACGACTTCAGTGCTAGAGGGAACAAGCAGAGGAAGTGAAACTACAACCGTATCATCAATGCCATCTCTTCAGACAACCACTACTGAAGGACCTACACCATCCACCCAGAGAGCAAGAACTGAATCTGTCGAAACTACGTTCTCAAAAACAACAACAGCAGTGAAGATTGGAACAACAAACCCCTCAAAGGTTGGCACAACAGGCCCAGTGACTGGCTACATAACAGAAGTTGTCGAATCCACAACTGGAGTACCAGGAATCATGTCAACAAGCCAAGAAGCAACGCTTGTTACATCTAAGCCATCTGTTGTTACCAAAACCACAACAACACCTCCCAGAATCACTGGAGAAATTACAACAAAAGCTTCTGAAGCATCTACAACCAAAGGTTCAATAACAAATGTTGGTACAAGAAAGCCTGTTGAAGCAACCTCTGGTCAACTAACACTCTCCACCACTGCAATTGTTGAAACCACGACTTCAGTGCTAGAGGGAACAAGCAGAAGAAGTGAAACTACAGCCGTATCATCAAAGCCATCTCTTCAGACAACCACTACTGAAGGACCTACACCATCCACCCAGAGAGCAACAACTGAATCTGTCGAAACTACGTTCTCAAAAACAACAACAGCAGTGAAGATTGGTACAACAAACCCCTCAAAGGTTGGCACAACAGGCCCAGTGACTGGCTCTGTTACAGAAGTTGTCGAATCCACAACTGGAGTACCAGGAATCATGTCAACAAGCCAAGAAACAACCCTTGTTACATCTAAGCCATCTGTTGTTACCAAAACCACAACACCTCCCAGAACCACTGGAGAAATTACAACAAAAGCTTCTGAAGCATCTACAACCAAAGGTTACATAACAAATGTTGGTACAAGAAAGCCTGTTGAAGCAACCTCTGGTCAACTAACACTCTCCACCACCGCAATTGTTGAAACCACGACTTCAGTGCTAGAGGGAACAAGCAGAAGAAGTGAAACTACAGCCGTATCATCAAAGCCATCTCTTCAGACAACCACTACTGAAGGACCTACACCATCCACCCAGAGAGCAACAACTGAATCTGTCGAAACTACGTTCTCAAAAACAACAACAGCAGTGAAGATTGGTACAACAAACCCCTCAAAGGTTGGCACAACAGGCCCAGTGACTGGCTCCGTTACAGAAGTTGTCGAATCCACAACTGGAGTACCAGGAATCATGTCAACAAGCCAAGAAACAACCCTTGTTACATCTAAGCCATCTGTTGTTACCAAAACAACAACAACACCTCCCAGAACCACTGGAGAAATTACAACAAAAGCTTCTGAAGCATCTACAACCAAAGGTTTAATAACAAATGTTGGTACAAGAAAGCCTGTTGAAACAACCTCTGGTCAATTAACACTCTCCACCACTGCAATTGTTGAAACCACGACTTCAGTGCTAGAGGGAACAAGCAGAGGAAGTGAAACTACAACCGTATCATCAATGCCATCTCTTCAGACAACCACTACTGAAGGACCTACACCATCCACCCAGAGAGCAATAACTGAATCTGTCGAAACTACGTTCTCAAAAACAACAACAGCAGTGAAGATTGGAACAACAAACCCTCAAAGGTTGGCACAACAGGCCCAGTGACTGGCTACATAACAGAAGTTGTCGAATCCACAACTGGAGTACCAGGAATCATGTCAACAAGCAAAGAAGCAACCCTTGTTACATCTAAGCCATCTGTTGTTACCAAAACAACAACAACACCTCCTAGAACCACTGGAGAAATTACAACAAAAGCTTCTGAAGCATCTACAACCAAAGGTTCAATAACAAATGTTGGTACAAGAAAGCCTGTTGAAGCAACCTCTGTTCAACTAACACTCTCCACCACTGCAATTGTTGAAACCACGACTTCAGTGCTAGAGGGAACAAGCAGAAGAAGTGAAACTACGACCGTATCATCAAAGCCATCTCTTCAGACAACCACTACTGAAAGACCTACACCATCCACCCAGAGAGCAACAACTGAATCTGTCGAAACTACGTTCTCAAAAACAACAACAGCAGTGAAGATTGGAACAACAAACCCCTCAAAGGTTGGCACAACAGGCCCAGTGACTGGCTCTGTTACAGAAGTTGTCGAATCCACAACTGGAGTACCAGGAATCATGTCAACAAGCCAAGAAACAACCCTTGTTACATCTAAGCCCTCTGCTGTTACCAAAACCACAACACCTCCTAGAACCACTGGAGAAATTACGACAAAAGCTTCTGAAGCATCTACAACCAAAGGTTCCATAACAAATGTTGGTACAAGAAAGCCTGTTGAAACAACCTCTGGTCAATTAACACTCTCCACCACTGCAATTGTTGAAACCACGACTTCAGTGCTAGAGGGAACAAGCAGAGGAAGTGAAACTACAACCGTATCATCAATGCCATCTCTTCAGACAACCACTACTGAAGGACCTACACCATCCACCCAGAGAGCAAGAACTGAATCTGTCGAAACTACGTTCTCAAAAACAACAACAGCAGTGAAGATTGGAACAACAAACCCCTCAAAGGTTGGCACAACAGGCCCAGTGACTGGCTACATAACAGAAGTTGTCGAATCCACAACTGGAGTACCAGGAATCATGTCAACAAGCCAAGAAGCAACGCTTGTTACATCTAAGCCATCTGTTGTTACCAAAACCACAACAACACCTCCCAGAATCACTGGAGAAATTACAACAAAAGCTTCTGAAGCATCTACAACCAAAGGTTCAATAACAAATGTTGGTACAAGAAAGCCTGTTGAAGCAACCTCTGGTCAACTAACACTCTCCACCACTGCAATTGTTGAAACCACGACTTCAGTGCTAGAGGGAACAAGCAGAAGAAGTGAAACTACAGCCGTATCATCAAAGCCATCTCTTCAGACAACCACTACTGAAGGACCTACACCATCCACCCAGAGAGCAACAACTGAATCTGTCGAAACTACGTTCTCAAAAACAACAACAGCAGTGAAGATTGGTACAACAAACCCCTCAAAGGTTGGCACAACAGGCCCAGTGACTGGCTCCGTTACAGAAGTTGTCGAATCCACAACTGGAGTACCAGGAATCATGTCAACAAGCCAAGAAACAACCCTTGTTACATCTAAGCCATCTGTTGTTACCAAACCACAACAACACCTCCCAGAACCACTGGAGAAATTACAACAAAAGCTTCTGAAGCATCTACAACCAAAGGTTACATAACAAATGTTGGTACAAGAAAGCCTGTTGAAGCAACCTCTGGTCAACTAACACTCTCCACCACCGCAATTGTTGAAACCACGACTTCAGTGCTAGAGGGAACAAGCAGAAGAAGTGAAACTACAGCCGTATCATCAAAGCCATCTCTTCAGACAACCACTACTGAAGGACCTACACCATCCACCCAGAGAGCAACAACTGAATCTGTCGAAACTACGTTCTCAAAAACAACAACAGCAGTGAAGATTGGTACAACAAACCCCTCAAAGGTTGGCACAACAGGCCCAGTGACTGGCTCCGTTACAGAAGTTGTCGAATCCACAACTGGAGTACCAGGAATCATGTCAACAAGCCAAGAAACAACCCTTGTTACATCTAAGCCATCTGTTGTTACCAAAACAACAACAACACCTCCCAGAACCACTGGAGAAATTACAACAAAAGCTTCTGAAGCATCTACAACCAAAGGTTCAATAACAAATGTTGGTACAAGAAAGCCTGTTGAAACAACCTCTGGTCAATTAACACTCTCCACAACTGCAATTGTTGAAACCACGACTTCAGTGCTAGAGGGAACAAGCAGAGGAAGTGAAACTACAACCGTATCATCAATGCCATCTCTTCAGACAACCACTACTGAAGGACCTACACCATCCACCCAGAGAGCAATAACTGAATCTGTCGAAACTACGTTCTCAAAAACAACAACAGCAGTGAAGATTGGAACAACAAACCCCTCAAAGGTTGGCACAACAGGCCCAGTGACTGGCTACATAACAGAAGTTGTCGAATCCACAACTGGAGTACCAGGAATCATGTCAACAAGCAAAGAAGCAACCCTTGTTACATCTAAGCCATCTGTTGTTACCAAAACAACAACAACACCTCCTAGAACCACTGGAGAAATTACAACAAAAGCTTCTGAAGCATCTACAACCAAAGGTTCAATAACAAATGTTGGTACAAGAAAGCCTGTTGAAGCAACCTCTGTTCAACTAACACTCTCCACCACTGCAATTGTTGAAACCACGACTTCAGTGCTAGAGGGAACAAGCAGAAGAAGTGAAACTACAGCCGTATCATCAAAGCCATCTCTTCAGACAACCACTACTGAAGGACCTACTCCATCCACCCAGAGAGCAACAACTGAATCTGTCGAAACTACGTTCTCAAAAACAACAACAGCAGTGAAGATTGGTACAACAAACCCCTCAAAGGTTGGCACAACAGGCCCAGTGACTGGCTCCGTTACAGAAGTTGTCGAATCCACAACTGGAATACCAGGAATCATGTCAACAAGCCAAGAAACAACCCTTGTTACATCTAAGCCCTCTGCTGTTACCAAAACCACAACAACACCTCCTAGAACCACTGGAGAAATTACGACAAAAGCTTCTGAAGCATCTACAACCAAAGGTTCCATAACAAATGTTGGTACAAGAAAGCCTGTTGAAACAACCTCTGGTCAATTAACACTCTCCACCACTGCAATTGTTGAAACCACGACTTCAGTGCTAGAGGGAACAAGCAGAAGAAGTGAAACTACGACCGTATCATCAAAGCCATCTCTTCAGACAACCACTACTGAAAGACCTACACCATCCACCCAGAGAGCAACAACTGAATCTGTCGAAACTACGTTCTCAAAAACAACAACAGCAGTGAAGATTGGAACAACAAACCCCTCAAAGGTTGGCACAACAGGCCCAGTGACTGGCTCCGTTACAGAAGTTGTCGAATCCACAACTGGAGTACCAGGAATCATGTCAACAAGCCAAGAAACAACCCTTGTTACATCTAAGCCCTCTGCTGTTACCAAAACCACAACAACACCTCCTAGAACCACTGGAGAAATTACGACAAAAGCTTCTGAAGCATCTACAACCAAAGGTTCCATAACAAATGTTGGTACAAGAAAGCCTGTTGAAACAACCTCTGGTCAATTAACACTCTCCACCACTGCAATTGTTGAAACCACGACTTCAGTGCTAGAGGGAACAAGCAGAAGAAGTGAAACTACAACCGTATCATCAAAGCCATCTCTTCAGACAACCACTACTGAAGGACCTACACCATCCACCCAGAGAGCAACAACTGAATCTGTCGAAACTACGTTCTCAAAAACAACAACAGCAGTGAAGATTGGTACAACAAACCCCTCAAAGGTTGGCACAACAGGCCCAGTGACTGGCTCCGTTACAGAAGTTGTCGAATCCACAACTAGAGTACCAGGAATCATGTCAACAAGCAAAGAAACAACCCTTGTTACATCTAAGCCCTCTGTTGTTACCAAAACCACAACAACACCTCCTAGAACCACTGGAGAAATTACAACAAAAGCTTCTGAAGCATCTACAACCAAAGGTTCTATAACAAATGTTGGTACAAGAAAGCCTGTTGAAACAACCTCTGGTCAACTAACACTCTCCACCACCGCAATTGTTGAAACCACGACTTCAGTGCTAGAGGGAACAAGCAGAAGAAGTGAAACTACAGCCGTATCATCAAAGCCATCTCTTCAGACAACCACTACTGAAGGACCTACACCATCCACCCAGAGAGCAACAACTGAATCTGTTGAAACTACGTTCTCAAAAACAACAACAGCAGTGACGATTGGAACAACAAACCCCTCAAAGGTTGGCACAACAGGCCCAGTGACTGGCTCTGTTACAGAAGTTGTCAAATCCACAACTGGAGTACCAGGAATCATGTCAACAAGCCAAGAAACAACCCTTGTTACATCTAAGCCCTCTGCTGTTACCAAAACCACAACAACGCCTCCCAGAACCACTGGAGAAATTACGACAAAAGCTTCTGGAGCATCTACAACCAAAGGTTCCATAACAAATGTTGGTACAAGAAAGCCTGTTGAAGCAACCTCTGGTCAATTAACACTCTCCACCACTGCAATTGTTGAAACCACAACTTCAGTGCTAGAGGGAACAAGCAGAGGAAGTGAAACTACAACCGTATCATCAATGCCATCTCTTCAGACAACCACTACTGAAGGACCTACACCATCCACCCAGAGAGCAACAACTGAATCTGTCGAAACTACGTTCTCAAAAACAACAACAGCAGTGAAGATTGGAACAACAAACCCCTCAAAGGTTGGCACAACAGGCCCAGTGACTGGCTACATAACAGAAGTTGTCGAATCCACAACTGGAGTACCAGGAATCCTGTCAACAAGCCAAGAAGCAACCCTTGTTACATCTAAGCCCTCTGCTGTTACCAAAACCACAACAACACCTCCCAGAACCACTGGAGAAATTACAACAAAAGCTTCTGAAGCATCTACAACCAAAGGTTCAATAACAAATGTTGGTACAAGAAAGCCTGTTGAAGCAACCTCTGGTCAACTAAAACTCTCCACCACTGCAATTGTTGGAACCACGACTTCAGTGCTAGAGGGAACAAGCAGAGGAAGTGAAACTACAACCGTATCATCAAAGCCATCTCTTCAGACAACCACTACTGAAGGACCTACACCATCCACCCAGAGAGCAACAACTGAATCTGTTGAAACTACGTTCTCAAAAACAACAACAGCAGTGAAGATTGGAACAACAAACCCCTCAAAGGTTGGCACAACAGGCCCAGTGACTGGCTCCGTTACAGAAGTTGTCGAATCCACAACTAGAGTACCAGGAATCATGTCAACAAGCAAAGAAACAACCCTTGTTACATCTAAGCCCTCTGTTGTTACCAAAACCACAACAACACCTCCTAGAACCACTGGAGAAATTACAACAAAAGCTTCTGAAGCATCTACAACCAAAGGTTCAATAACAAATGTTGGTACAAGAAAGCCTGTTGAAGCAACCTCTGGTCAACAAACACTCTCCACCACTGCAATTGTTGAAACCACGACTTCAGTGCTAGAGGGAACAAGCAGAAGAAGTGAAACTACAACCGTATCATCAAAGCCATCTCTTCAGACAACCACTACTGAAGGACCTACACCATCCACCCAGAGAGCAACAACTGAATCTGTCGAAACTACGTTCTCAAAAACAACAACAGCAGTGAAGATTGGAACAACAAACCCCTCAAAGGTTGGCACAACAGGCCCAGTGACTGGCTACATAACAGAAGTTGTCGAATCCACAACTGGAGTACCAGGAATCCTGTCAACAAGCCAAGAAGCAACCCTTGTTACATCTAAGCCCTCTGCTGTTACCAAAACCACAACAACACCTCCCAGAACCACTGGAGAAATTACAACAAAAGCTTCTGAAGCATCTACAACCAAAGGTTCAATAACAAATGTTGGTACAAGAAAGCCTGTTGAAGCAACCTCTGGTCAACTAAAACTCTCCACCACTGCAATTGTTGGAACCACGACTTCAGTGCTAGAGGGAACAAGCAGAAGAAGTGAAACTACAACCGTATCATCAAAGCCATCTCTTCAGACAACCACTACTGAAGGACCTACACCATCCACCCAGAGAGCAACAACTGAATCTGTTGAAACTACGTTCTCAAAAACAACAACAGCAGTGAAGATTGGAACAACAAACCCCTCAAAGGTTGGCACAACAGGCCCAGTGACTGGCTACATAACAGAAGTTGTCGAATCCACAACTGGAGTACCAGGAATCCTGTCAACAAGCCAAGAAGCAACCCTTGTTACATCTAAGCCCTCTGTTGTTACCAAAACCACAACAACACCTCCTAGAACCACTGGAGAAATTACAACAAAAGCTTCTGAAGCATCTACAACCAAAGGTTCTATAACAAATGTTGGTACAAGAAAGCCTGTTGAAACAACCTCTGGTCAACTAACACTCTCCACCACTGCAATTGTTGAAACCACGACTTCAGTGCTAGAGGGAACAAGCAGAAGAAGTGAAACTACAACCGTATCATCAAAGCCATCTCTTCAGACAACCACTACTGAAGGACCTACACCATCCACCCAGAGAGCAACAACTGAATCTGTCGAAACTACGTTCTCAAAAACAACAACAGCAGTGAAGATTGGAACAACAAACCCCTCAAAGGTTGGCACAACAGGCCCAGTGACTGGCTACATAACAGAAGTTGTCGAATCCACAACTGGAGTACCAGGAATCATGTCAACAAGCCAAGAAACAACCCTTGTTACATCTAAGCCATCTGTTGTTACCAAAACCACAACAACACCTCCTAGAACCACTGGAGAAATTACGACAAAAGCTTCTGAAGCATCTACAACCAAAGGTTCCATAACAAATGTTGGTACAAGAAAGCCTGTTGAAACAACCTCTGGTCAACTAACACTCTCCACCACTGCAATTGTTGAAACCACGACTTCAGTGCTAGAAACCACAACACCTCCCAGAACTACCGGAGCAATTTCAAGTATATCATTTTTTCCTTCAATATCAACACAGGAATCTCCCCTTCATACAACAAGGGTCACAATTCAGACTGATTCTACAAGAATATCCCCCTTTGTTACAAACTCTGAAACAACCTTTGCTGTTGTGACCGGACAGTTGCACACATCAAGCATACTTACAAACCCATCCATAAAACACACAACGACCTTAACCTCTGAAAGCCCATTAAGCGCTACAACTGTCATTGCACCAATTACACAGACACTCCCAGGAAGCACAACAGTTTATCCACCTCCAACAACAAAGCAGACAACCGGAGCAACTTTTCCTTCATCTTCACAATTTGTCACAGCTTCTTGTGTATGTAATGTCAACGGAAAATCTCATCATCCGGGTATGTTCTTTTATATCTTATTGTTTATTTTTCATTATTTTTATAGTATTTTCAACATTAAGTATTTTCAGATATGTCTTATTAATGTAATAAATATGAATAATCTTTTATACATTCACAGTTTCAGACATGAAATTACAAATCCCTGATAAAAATCACAAAATTTCATATATAATACAAGCAGACATACACTACTGGAAGACAGATTATATTACATTCTATATAAGTTCTACTCAAGAATGTAAACAAACCGTTGAGGCTTAGTTTTGTTCCGTTTTCAAAATACATCTGATGTGTACATGTGTAGCCATCATTTGTTGTTTTATTTGCTACATAAACGGTTGGGTCTCCAGTGACTTATTCATTACAGAATTTAAAACAAACTTGTCAGATTTATCACAGTATTGTTTTTCAAATTAAGGACTGATTAACTGTAGATTATCCTCCCATCTTGTTGTAGTTTTGTAGGAAATCTCATTTACATATGACTTTTGAGGACTTCATTTGAAGTCAAAACAGCTTTAAAAGAAATTACATTATGTGGTTGATTATTACAGGAATAGAGAGTACAGATATCTTCTCTATATCTGTATAGAAGAGACATAGATATGAAGAAAACCTCATGATACTATGTACATCTTTTAGATTGATAGGACTATTTTTGTTTAAAATTAGCAATGCAATTTTTAAATTCTGTGAGTACTCCAGCTAAATCTTTAAAGGATGGAATATTTATCTTAATATAATAAATCTTCAGTATTCACATTTTTGATCCTAATTTCATTACAACCCTTGCATTTAAAATGTAATGAATGCATTTTTAATTTTGTTCTAAACTCTTGCTCTATAATCTTTTATTCACAGGAGACTTGTTATACAGTGTCACTGATGGCCTTGGGTGGTGTTACAGTGCATATTGCAATGCATCTTGTAAAGTTGAAACACAATCCAGCCCATGTCCAAACACATCAATATCTAGCACTACTGCACATTCTTCTACTTCATTACTGAACTCAACAACAAAGGCCCCAATTTCAAGCTCTGAACCCCTGACCACAGTAACAACATTAGCATCTACAGCTACTCTAGAGTGCTCTGATGTGTATCCACCAAGACAGGTGAGGCATTAATATGTCGTCAGCTATTCATCAGTTCATCAATATCTGGTTGCTAGATTTTTTTGGAACAGTCAGAACTTACAGAGCAAAGATACCCAGATCCTGATCAACTGAGGGAATATTTGAATGCACAAATAGTTTGTGCATCAAAAGATATAGTTTATCCTATAAATGCAAAACAAATTGACTACTCTTTAAAAATGTTAACTTTTCACTGTTGATGAGAACTTATTACTAGCTAAAACTAATCCAGTAAGCTTTCTTTACTCTTTAATATTGCTTTTTGTAATTATTTGTCAATATATATACTGTACATTTAAATTCTGGAGTTTGCAAGAACAATGGCCTTCAATGATAAATGATAGCTCACTGCTGTATTTGATTTTTTGATTTTTTTTCCCATTAGAATGGAGAGTCCTGGAATACTAGTAATTGCACCACAGCTACTTGCATTGAAGGCAAGGTAACGGTCACAGCTACAGTCTGTCCAAATGTAACCCTCCCCATCTGTACCAATGGGAGGAAGCCTGTCAAGATCTATGAACAAAATGGATGTTGCTTCCACTATGAATGTGAATGTAAGTTTAAGATTGAATCGTTCTGTAATAATTTGTTTGCTTGCAAGAAACTATGTGGTCCTTTATATCTTTGCATTTAGTGTTCCGTTTGAACCAGATGACATACCTTTAAGCCTTATATTAGCATTTCATATATTCTTATTAGTTCGTAACATTTCTCAAAAATACGATCATATTGGTAGCACTTGCTAACGTCATGTTTTTTAATTCTTGAAATTTTCTTGTTCTCTTCCTGAAGGTGTATGTAATGTCTGGAGTGGATCCAACTACATGACATTTGATGGACAAATGTATAATTTCCAACAGGATTGCTCTTATTACTTAGTTAAGGAGATTATTTCAAAATATAACTTAACGATTACTAGAAGCAATAACTGTGATCCTTCAGACAGCACATTCTGCCCTCTGGCTCTAAGTGTCACATATCAATCAGTAAAGGCAGTTTTGACTCAAGTGAAAACTTCAGGAACACCAACCAATGCGGTAAGCAGCAGTCTAACTGGAATAATTTCAGCTTGTGATATTTTTTGTATAGATAAGACTTAATAAATATTCTGCATGATATGATGTAATTGACAGTTGTTTTGACTTCACAACCTTCCTTAACTTGATATTTTTGTTGTTCTTGGGGTCCTGTAGGTGTATGTGAATCAGAAACGTGTCTATCCAGCATATAGCAATTCTGTCATACTACTTTATGGCACAGATATGGAGATCACAGCAGTGATACAGGATATCAACACAAAAATACTTTATAGGGGCTCCTCCTTCAGTATTGACCTTCCTTATTCTCTGTTTGGGGGAAACACTGAGGGACAATGTGGTGAGTTATCAAAGAGTTTGCTATCAGTCTTGTTTCATATGTCTAAATAATCATCTATAAACATAAGAAAATGAATGAGATGGAAAAATTATCTCACTTGGAAAGTTAGGGGTGCTTTTATATTTACAGTATTTTAGGATGACAGGACCTAAAAATGATCCAAAGGTCAGTGAATGTAGCAAGACCCAAATCAGACATGACTTCATTTTGATTCCAACTCAAATCACGTCGGTAGAAAAGTTTTAAACAGCCTTTATTTAAGGTTTTTATGGATGCTAGGTAGATGTCTATATTCTTTCACATTAATCACATTGGAGGCATTAGATGCCAGCCTTCAAATGTTGGTGCACACACTAACACACAGATAAACACATGAGGTTCTACTGACCTGTGACCGTTCTATTATATCTGAGATTACTGAGCATGATTTCTCTTGGTTTCTTGCGCCATGGAAATGTGCATCAAATGTTGAGCACAAACAAAGCAGAAGCCAACTCCTGAACTTTAGCTGCTCTGCCTGAAATTGCTTTGTTCTGTGTAAAATAGACACTTCCTGCCTCTTTCTTTTCTGTACATTTTCTGTTTTAGAATGAATATTTACCGGTTAGATGATCTTTATTTACTTAGAGGTTTAAGAATATTTCACACTAACAACTGTTCAATTTTACTGTAGATATTGAAATGGATTTAAGGGATATTTTTCTTCTACAATGACAAATAAAAGGAAACACATTTGTTCCATATGTTAAGGATGGAATATTTTTGCCTTTCCACAGGATGAAAGAAACAAGTCACCATGTTGTCTGAACTGCTTGTGAATTTCCAGAGAATATCCAGATAATGACTTCTTTGAGTTTTCTAGCTCTGCCGCTAACTTCTTCCTCTGTTGGTAGGTACCTGCGACAACTCACAGGCCAATGACTGCCGTTCTCCAAATGGCCAGATAGAAAGCTGCTCAGAATCTGCAGGACTCTGGAATCTCCCCGGGATCAGCTGTGTCTCCCCAAGCCTCCCTCCTGTTACTGCAACAGCACAACCGCTAACGTCTTCATCACAGCACCCAAATGCAACAACACAACCAACCTGCAAACCTGCCATCTGTGAGCTACTTATGAGCAGGTCAGAAAAAACTCAAAACACAACTTGAGATTAATTCCAGTCATTTTTTCTGCATCTCTCAGCTTCATATGAATGGCACTAAGTCTTCACAGACAGGAAGAGGGGAGCCGTTTTGATTCTTTCATGCATGTTTGAGAAATCACCTAAAATGATAAACATGTTAAAATTACAAAGTCTAATTTATTTATACGTTTGATACGAACAATGTTTTTATAATAACTGAAGGTAGAATAGTTACTTAATTATGTTATAAAATGGAACTTTGTGCCTGGAAAATACATAATGCTGCCTCTTTCAAGGTCATGCAACACTTGCTCTAAGACTGGGATTAAACTGAGCTGGCAGTTTTTTTCTTATTCTGTCTTTGCACATATTGAATTGAAGTTTTTTGAATTTGTGTCTGCAACTTTTTTAGCTATTTTCTCCTGTTCTAATATGCAACTATGGTCTTTGTAGTTTATTCACCCCGTGCCACTCATTCATATCCCCTGCCCCATTTGTGAGTTCTTGCATCTATGAAATCTGTAATGGTGGTAACGACACGTGCTCCAGCCTGGAGGCATATGCTGCTCAGTGTTCCAATGCAGGAGTCTGTATTGACTGGAGGAGTGACACCAACGGACTGTGCGGTGAGACATTTAGTCATTGCCACATATCTCATCTTTTGGAGATCTGAAATACATTGAAATTAACATGATTATATGTTATAGAGCACAGATGTCCAAACAACAAAGTGTACATGGCCTGTGGCCCCTCAGTAGAGCCCACATGCAATGACAGGTACAGTAAACATTTTCTCAGTCTGCTGCATTTGTATTATTTGTTGCAAGTTGCTTATTGTTCTTTGTAGATGGTAAAATTCAGAGATAAATAAACTTACTTGTTGCACAACAGCTACAAACATCAGTATGTCCAATACAGGATTTTATTCTGCATCAGAAAGTAGTGCATAACTGTGAAGTGAAAGAAAATGCCAAAGTCTTGCTTTTATTTCTCAATCGAATTTAAGTTTGGACTTTGACTGGACCATCCCAAAACTTGACCATGCTTTGGTCTAATCATTTAGCAATGCCTCTTTTCAATCAATGATAAATTGAACAGAGCTTTCTGAGATGCTTTACAACAGAGGCTTCCAAACTGTTTGTCACATAGACCAAAATCGTTGTACTCGCAAGCCAAAAAAGAACTAAGCTAAAGAGTTTTTTTATTTCTTTGTAGGAAGGTGATGTTATTCTCTACAGATCCAAAACTTCAAAACATGTTTGCTTTTTAAAAAGAAAGGCATTGAATTTCCAATTTATTTTACCTCAATTTAATGTATTGATTCTCTTATTTAAAAACAGGACTTGAGTCCCTTTCTTTCAAATCACTTGCTCCATTTAGTTTAATAAATTAGATAAGAGCTGATTTAGGTGCAGCAAAGTTTCCTGTTTTGGATAAAGTATGTCCACAAATGTGGTTCTACTTATAAATGTTTGATTATAAAAATACTAACACTGTGTTGTACTTAACATTTTCTATTGTAAGAAAATTTTGTCTGTGAATATTTTCTTACAAAATGTGAAAAAGCTCGTAGGGTGTGTAGGGTGAAGATTAAGTAGCAGGCTAACCTTCACTCTACCCCCAGATCATTTATTAAAAATGAAAACTGTAATCAGATCTCGGCAGTAATCCACCTTTCCATTAATCCTATCAGATACAACAGGAAGTTTCAGGCAGATGTGACATCATCTGCCAACTCTAGCCAGGAAGGCTGCTTCTGTCCTCAGGGCACCACGTTGTTCAACACAATCTATGACACTTGTGTCGCCTCCTGTGGTAAGATGACTGAGAAAAAAAGCTTGGAGTGAGTCTTCAGAGAATTTTAGGTTCAGTCTGACGGATCCATTTTTATCACCTGTTCCTCATAAAGTTCAGGAAATTACACATAAAATAACAGCTTTTAAAACACTTGTGTTTATGACTTTCTGCCTTATGATGTTCAGTCAGATACATTCACCAGATATTTTACTGGACTCTTCAGTAAAATAAGAGTGTGGTGCCCTGCCCTCACACTCAATAAAGCAGCAAATTATTTGTTAATCATAAATACTCTCTGCTCCTCTTCCTGTGCTTTGATTGCAGACTGTGTTGGACCAGATGGAAAACCCAAACAGGTGAAAACTGTGCGCAGCACATTTCTACATGTACTTTGTTAGATCATAACCTGCGGGTCTAAACTCTCTCATGTGTCCCCACTAGCCAGGGGAAACATGGACCAGTGAATGCAGCAGCTGTGAGTGTGACCAGGACTCCATGAGTGTCCGCTGTGAGCCGGTGACCTGTCCTGAGGTCCAGAAGCCCAACTGCAGTGAGCCCGGCCAGCAGCTGACCAACACGACCCAAGGCTGCTGCACAACACAGACCTGTGGTCAGTTATGTTATATGATGTCCTGTAAACACAGCACTCCTAGCTGAACCTGGTAACCAATAAATAAGGTTGTAAGCTTAAACTTCTATTAACTTCTATTACATTTTGAATAGTTAACTTCAAAATCATTCAAGATTTAGGTTCAATTTAATCATTTTGGTTTTACTGATAAGTTTTTTTCTGACTGGATGTGATATTAATATTTTGCCAGAGGCGTCTGTGAAGACATGAGGATGATATGAAGACCTGACTCATGTCTGTCCTCTTATCAGGAGTTTAAAATGCTAAATAACCTAATCGCTTTTAACTGTGTATCTGTTGTGACCTCAATGATAAACTCTGATAATGATGCAGATATTTTTTTATGTTTTTGAGTTTGGTGCTGCTGTGATCAGCTGATTGGTTGTCATTGTGACAACCAATCAGACTTCCTGGACACAAGGTCCAGCAATAACTTCAGAACTCCTGCTTTGATTCTTGTTGTTTGTGATGAGAAAGTTTAATTCAGTTTTACAGCAGCATGTGTTGCCATTGCCTCCAACAGAATGCAACCTGAACCTGTGTGCTGGTCCGGTGGCCTGTCCTCTGGGCTTCCAGCTTCACGTGTCCAACAGGAGCTGCTGCCCGTCCTATGAGTGTGGTGAGTGACTCCAGGCTGGACCAGTTACTGCATCAGTTCTGGATGCCAGGAGAGGATTTACCTCCTGAGTTAAAACACAACCAAAAGGTCCAACATGATGAAAGACTTGACGAAGCAGGCAGCCCCGTTCTCCATACAGTCTGACTACCTCCTGCTTTTCATGATTCCCTTATTAATGACAGTGAAATCTGCAGTGTATCTTCTATGTATTCAATGTTTGATTTAAATCATTTTACAACCTGCTAACGATCTGATTCTTCACATGTTAAACCACAGAACTGATGCAACTAATTTATGTTGAGGAAAGTAATAAAACAGCTCAGGCTTTTCACAAACTCTAGATGAAATACTATCAATGAGTGAATTCATGTCATTTTTCAAAGTACAGATTTCTGTTCACTTGGAATAGCGCTGGATCATTTATTTTACATAATAATATTAAAACTCAACTTGTCTCTTTTCTGTCTCCGTAGTTCCTAAAGGTGTGTGTGTCTATAACATGACTGAGTTCAAGGTGAGGAAACTAATATGATTGACTGATTATGTCAGACTGTTCAGTTTGCTATCAAATCATTTATTTTCCCTATTCAAAACGGACACATCCTGTTCTGTTCTGTTCTGTTCTGTTCTGTTCTGTTCCTTACCATAATAAGCCTTTTCCTTTCTTTCATCTTTACCACAAAAGAGTGATGTACGGTGTTTCAATCATGCCCACATCCACTCCTGCTGGCCTTTTTGGTTAGTTCATTTAGGATCCACTTTGAGCCTTAGCAATGCTGGCGCTCTTCTTACCATGGTCCAACATCACTTCGTCAAATCACTAAAACAATTAATAGGAATTAAATACAATAAACACAAAAGGAAAGAGACGGAAGACAAAAAAGCTGCCTCACTTCTCAGCCTGGTGACAAGGTCACAACTAAAACGTTTTAGTCTGAACTTTCAATTGAGATGATTTGGATCCTAATGTTGTTTTAAGTCAATGATTCTTGAAAATAGATAAAATAGTTTCTAGATTTTTTTCACTTAAATCCAGAAAAATACCTTATAATTAGCTAAAAAATCAGCCAGTGAAACTATTTATCTATATTCAAACATTATTGACAGTTGTCCTCCCTTTTTACCAAGTAACTTGGTAAAAAGTTACTTCTAAGTTATTTGTGTCTTATTTCATGTGTATTGCATATTTGCTCTAGAGACTAGATGGAAACACTTTGTAAAATGTTATGCGTTTGCTGTCGCATCCAGTATCTTATTACATTTTTTGGATTTTACCTCAGCCTGTTTGAGCTCAGTCACTAGATGCAAATATCTGGAAGAGCTTCTTTAGAGTTTAACGCCTGAGGAAAGTAACTAAAGCTGTGTGGCTTTATAGCCTGGCGCCAAGATACCGACACCTCAGACAGTAACAGAAGCTCCACTGGAGGAGGCGTCAGGCACCGCAGCACCATCCCGGGCAGGAGAAGATGGACGGGAGGACTCTTTCATTCCTGCAGCCTGCCAGGAGTGTTACTGCGGCCGCGACACACACCAAACCACCAAACTCAACGTCATCACATGCAGACCTGTTGTCTGCCACACTAACTGCTCTGAAGTAAGAGAATTCACCGAACATCACTCAGGATGCTGCTGCATGCATTATTACTGTGGAGATATTCATTCTGTCTGTCTGTCTGTCTGTCTGTCTGTCTGTCTGTCTGTCTGTCTGTCTGTCTGCAGGGGTTTGAGTATCAGTCTGCAGCAGGTCAGTGTTGTGGTTCATGTGTACAGAAAAGCTGCATTCTCACCACTTCTGGGAACAACACAGTCCAGATCATTGAGGTCAGTCAACATTCTGTTTATGTGTTGTAAAAATAAGAATTGACATATTAATCAGAGCAGTATGAAGCTATGTAGCCTTTAGCAGTATGGAGCAGATCTTCCATTCCTGACCTTATTCTACATGCTGTGTGTTTTAAACATGTTCAGCCTGATGCCTTTAGCAGACTGCTCTTCATTTCTGCTCAGGTCAACAACACCTTTGTCCCACCTGGTGATAAGTGTGTGCAATACACATGTGAGGAGATTAACAGACAGATTGTGATGAAGGAAACAAGGACCAGTTGTCCTCCCTTCAACCCGCTGGACTGTGAACCTGTGAGTTCCTCAAATGTAGACAAGCTCTCATGTTCGATCTCATTTGCAGCTACGGTAAGATGGTGGCAAAGGACGAAAAAGACAAAAAACTTATTCGACAAAAAAAAAAATCTTGGACTAATGGATTCTTTGCTGTAGACACAAAAAGACACACAGCAGCTCACACTATGTGTGTATGCTGTATTTATTTAAATGACTTTAAGTTAGCAGTTAGCATTGCTTTGGGGTGAAGCCATTAAGGTTTGTGTGAGAGAATAATCACATTTCCTTCATACTTCAATATTTGTAGTCAGTGATCCCAGAAAACGAAACAGTCATTTTACAGAGATTCGTTGTACATAAAGTATTTCAAGCAGATATTTTAAGCACAAATGTCAGGCTTCTCTGGCATGAATTACTGCTTCAATGCAGCGTGTCATGGAGGCCATCAACCTGTAGCACTGTGCAGCTAATGGAGGCCCAGCATGTTCTAGCAAACTGAGGAAGATGATAAACCAGCAAAACCTTTCATAACTGACCCAAACTGACCGGCTCATTGGCGGAGTTAAACTTCCAGAACCGTCCAATCACTTTATGGTAATACTGCAGATCTCACACTACAATCCCTAGGTCAGATATTTTAACATAAATCAACTCAGTGGGTTGCACAATAGTGAAGTGGAAGTGAAGGAATTTTAATGTGTAAAATGGAAAAGTAAAATAAAAAGTTCTGCATGCATGTTCAACTTCTTTTACTCTTGAGCCTCTAAAACCCGAATCATGGAAACACCACAAAGCACGGTGATGGCTGTATTATGCAGTGTTTTTCAAGAGACTGTGAACTAGCTGAACTCCACACAGCTTCCATAAAGCTCTGCTGCTCTCTGCTAACTCGCCTTGTCCTGCAGGGAACTGAGACGACCGATGCCTCTGGCTGCTGCACAACATGTAAGTTTCCACATCCTGCATGGAGGCATGAGCTGCAGCACAAAACACACACACACACACACACACACACACCACACACACACACACACACACACCACACACACACACACACACACACACACACACACACACCCACAGCACACACACACACACCACACACACACACACACACAGCACACACACACACACACCACACACACAGCACACACACACACACACACACACACACACACACCACACACACACACAGCACACACACACACACACACACACACACACACACACACACACACACACACACACACACACACACACACACACACACACAGTACACACACACAGCACACAACACACAGTGTGTGACGAGCTGTGGTGTGTTCCAGGTCGGCTCCAGAGTGTCTGCCAGGTGGAGAGTCAGCAGATCATAGTTGAGGTGAACCACTGTGTCAGTGCTGTGCCCGTCAATGTTACATCATGTGTGGGACACTGCAGGAGCTCATCTATGTAAGAATGTTTGCCGATATTTCTGGAGTTCCTAGTCTTACACTGATTCATAGAACATGTTTGGCTTAAAAACAGATAAATATTTTATAAACACTTTAAGGTTAAATGAGAAGAACTGCAGTTAGTTTTGACTCCATTTTATGAATGGAAGGATTTTATGTTGCATCTTGTAGAACGTGGATAAGCAAACTTAACTGCTGAGTTTGCATTTTATTTGCACGTCTAAATGAATTTGTCATTTGTCAGCAAACTGAAATATTCTGTAAGAACCCCTATGGTGTCAAAATGTGTGAAAAATCTTTGTACTGAACATCTATTTGTATTCAAACACTAAATTTAGTCTAAAGAATAAGTTTGGGGAAGAGGAGCTGTCTTAAATGGAGAACAGGTAGAAACCATGCAGTTAGAGGCTGACGCTGTCATTGTCTGTGGATTTCTGCAGGTATTCAGCTGCAGCAAACTCCATGATGCACCAGTGTGAGTGTTGCCATGAGGCCACAACCAGCATGAAGCAGGTGGAGCTGACCTGCGCTGACGGCTCAACGCTGCAGCACAGCTACAGCCAGGTGGAAAGCTGCCGCTGCAGGACGGAGACATGTGCAGCGGGCGCCACAACCAGAGCCCAGCGCCGCAGGAGGCGCTGACCTGCTCCTCACTCACACCAGGGAACAACTTTTTCACACTTTATAGCACAATAAGCTCTTCTACAGAGTCTGTTAGAATTAAACTGTCTGTATTTCTCACTGATAAGAAATAAAGTATGTCTGCAAATGATGTTTTGTATGCAGAACCTTTGTGACACATGGGGAACCTCACTGAATGAAAACAGTGAAGGTTGGGGGGTATAGCTACAGGTTGATGTATCTGAACAATCTAAATAATTGTGTGAACCAGAAATTCAGCACATTGATTTATGCAGTTATAATGAAACACATAGATTTTTAAAATAGTTTTATTAAAGTGAGAAGCTGTTACTGTAGGCAGATGACTTCATATAATCACAATGATTGTAAATAGAATCAGATGTTTTCCTTATTAGCAGCAGCTTGTTGCATCAGCTGTTCTTCCTTACATAAAAAAGACAGATTACATTTACACAAATCATATTGCAGATGAAACATCAAAACATTTTACATCATAGACTGGTCTCTGTATACTGGTCTTATACAGACCAGTATAAGACAGGGAGATACTTTAGATATATTTTACATAATAAAAATATATAGCTTTTCCTGCGACAGACTGGCAACCTGTCCAGGTGAGCCCGCCTCTCGCCAAATGCAGCTGGAGATAGACACCAGCAACTCCTGACCCCACTAGGGACAAGAGTGAACAGATAATGGATGGAAAAATATATAGCTTCATTTAAAGTGTAGTTTCCTTTTTCTAATACACTAAGATACCCATAGAAATCAGATGCAACTACATTCAGAAATGCACAACTGCACATAGACATTGAAATGATAAATTATCATTTCAATGTCTAATAAATTTCCAGTTCCTTCTTCAACCTGTAAGCAGTGATTTGTTTCATGTTTTGTTTAGACCACTCTTTCGTTTTGGCAGAGTGAAACAGTCCCACCATGTTGAGGAATCAGGTGTATATTTGCTAAAAGTTAGGTATAGGTAAAACATAAATTGTATATGTGGTGTATATATTGTACTGTAATAACATTATTTAGAAAATGCAATTTAATGAAGCCAAGGAACCAAACATGCAGGGTCTGGATGGTGGGATGGAGCTGGAGTACAGAGTCCAGCTGGGATTCAAACCCAGAACCTTCCACTGGATTCTACCAACACATCACCGACCAGCCAGTCACATTCAGCTAATTATAAAACAACTAGTAACCAGGTTAGTAGTTGCATGGTTCCCCAACCATGGTCCATCATCAACTGAAAATTCAGTTTTGAAACTAAACTAGTTATGAGACTTATACTTTGACGAGTTCCCCATTTCTCAGATCAGTAAACTCAGAAGTTTCTTTCAAAGGTCAGCTAAAAATGATTTAAATCTGCTTTTACTTAAATTTGTTTTTGTGTATTTATTTTGTTTGTTGAAACACTTTGTGATTTTTACCTTGTAAGGTAAAAGTAAAAAGTTTAACTTTGATCCTGCAAGGAAAATTATTCTCTACTTGAACAAAATGAAAATATTCTATTACCTGCAAAATCTCATCTGAAAAAGTCAGAACTACACCTTTAAAAACCTGGAGATGTTTTTTTTAAACAAGTGCTGAGTGTAGCTACTGGTATCCATGTATTCATGTGTCTGTTGTGTGTGTGTGTGTGTGTGTGTGTGTGTGTGCGTGTGTGTGTGTGTGTGTGTGTGTGGTGTGTGTGTGTGTGTGTGTGTGTGTGTGCGTGTGTGTGTGTGTGTGTGTGTGTGTGGGTCCTGTCAGACTGTGTTCAGTTCTACATGAAACTGATGAAGATAAAATTAATGGCCGTTTCAACTTGAAGTGAAGAAAGAAAAACCTCAAAAGTATTTTGGCCTCAGAAGCTTTATTGGCAAGCTAATCATGGAACAAAGCGACATTGTCACGCTGCACTTCAGACACTAAGGTTCATTAACAAGCCACTGCACAGACACTTTTAGATTTTATATTAAAATAACTTCAAAATACTTTTCTTAGTGTTTTTTAAAGATACATCTAAGACAGGTGTGTAATATTTCATAATTTCCTTATGATGGATCATTTACCCCAAATTTTGTATTGTATAGATTTCTATATAATTTGTAGATTTCTCATATAACTGACATTTTATGTCTAAAGGTGAAGGAGGAGTTGTACAACACAGAGACACAAACACTATTCAGCTAAAAATGCCAAACAAACGGCAGATTGACTCAATCAGTGCAAATCAAAACCTGAAGTCAGCAAACCTTCAACAACTCAAACCAAACATCTACACACTCCACCGCCGAGTCCAACCTGTACACACCTGGCTGCTTCTATCAATGCAGCAACTCAGAGTGTGTATCTACACACACTCTGCTAGGCTAATTGGACTGAGAGGAAACGGACCTCTGACCAGCAGCCGGTGGATCAATCTCAGGGTTAAAGTTCTTTGGGAGAACTGTGTGTACATGTGGAAAGCTGCAGTAGTCTCTATGGGCGATAGCTGACTGGTCATGGCCTCCTGCTGCATCATGCATGTTTCTGTTGGAATGTCTGCTGCCCGCTGCGCCCTGCTGCAGCAGCTACAGCTCCTCGGTCATCTGCAGGAGGGAGTTGATGGCGGCGTCCTTGTTGCCCTGCTGCGCCTCCAGCACCGTGCGGACCACCTCCTTGTCCAGGTTAGGAAACATGTCCTGAAGAGCCTGCAGGTCCTCCTCGCTGCACGCTGGGCCCTGGCCCCCCATGGCCGGCATGCTGTTTGGTACGGCCATGGGCACCACACCTTGGTTATAGACTCCTGGCACCCCTTAGGATACCAGGCAGGCAGTGAGACAGCAGCCATCGTGTGTGTGTGTGTGTGTGTGTGTGTGTGTGTGTGTGTGTGTGTCTTACCTGCAATAGGCACATAGCCTACTCCTTCCTGGTAGACAGAGGGCATTAGAACGACAGGCTGGGTCATCATGGCTGCTGGTAGGGACTGGAATAAAGACACATTTACCATGAGAACAGATGGTTGCTATAGACACTTGTGTTCATAGCAACTTGTTCAGCTTTCTCACTCAGACTAAGCTCCATTACGTGGAAATAATGCAAGGCTGGAAGGTAGCAGCTTCTATCGGGTCTATGCACCACCAGAGGAAGGAGTTTATCACAGCAGACAAACATCTGGAGTATCGAGAACAGGGACGGGCAACTCCAGGCCTGGAGGGCCTCCTGCAACTTTTACATGCATCTCTACTTCAACACACCTGAGTCAAATAATGAGGTCCTTAGCAGGACTCTGAAGAACTGCATTTAAGAGCTGATTCAGCTATTTAATTCAGCTGTGTTGGACCATCTAAGAGTTGCAGGACACTGGCCCTAGAGGACCAGGATTTCCCAGCCCTGCTCTAGAGTGACGCGTCACTGCTGGACTTTTTCCTCAACATGTTAGCAGTGAGTGTAGAATTAGAAAATATCTAGCACTATAGAAATGTGATCAATATCAATAAAAAATACATCCAATAGAATCTTTAGTGATTTAACAGAACTCTGATCCAGAACCGCACTGCATTCTAGGAGATGTACGCAAAGGAAAGGTTTTTTATTTTTTTACCTAGGAACAAGCTAACAGTGTTTCCTGTTAGTGGTGTAAATCAACACTTAAACACACTGAGAGAAACCCAGGAACCTGCAGTTACCCACCACTGATACCGACAATACTGTTGACTCTGTTTACCTGAGATCTTCCAGAAACATTCATAGACTAGAAATATGATTTGGCCAAAGATCTGAGCTGAAACATTCTGACTGTAACCATGGAAGCAGCAACTGCAGCAACAGAAATTTAGAAAAATGTCTAAAATCTAAACACTTTACCAGGAAATATTAATACTGTCAAAACTTTTCCTGGAGTTCTATTTAGTTACTCCAGACAGCAGCCATTGTGTGTGTGTGTGTGTGTGTGTGCTTACACTCACAGCAAATGACATGACCAGGTTAATCATGCCCTCCTTGTCGTCTCCCTGCCTCCCACTGAGGCTGAACCACTCGTCCACCACGTTCCCGTCCCTCAGGCCCTCAGGAATGGTGACATGTGTCCAAGCAATTCTGTCATCCATGGAGAACGCTCTCTGAACACACACACCCACGCACACACATCAACTCAGACCAATTCTGCCAATTTAGGATTATTTTACTAGAACACACAGCTCCCATTTCAAATATTTATTCATATTTTCAGAGACAGACATTAAATAAATTCCGAACTGAGCAGAGAAATGGGAAGTTGTCCCAGATGTGAAAAACATTTAACTTAAAACTGAATTTATTTGTTCATAAGCAATGTCCACCTACCAGTTGTAGTTTCATCTCAGCGTACTTTAAGGTTTAGTTTTTTTGTTGGGTATTTTCCAAAGTTCCTCACCTCATCAAAGATCTCCAGGTAGAAGGAGTCGACTCCTGGTGGTACCGTACACTGGATCACTTTGTTCCAGCGTGGGTTCTTTGCTCCGTTATGAGCAGTCGGGGTCTCATAGACAGCATAGCCCAGTCTGATCCTGCAGTACGGATCCATTCGGGTCATCCCGTAGTTTTTGGCCAGCTTGGCCTGCACAGGTAAAGGCATAGCAGCATTAGTAAGGAAGTAAACACAAGTTGGCTCCAATCATTTCAAACTGTATCATTTAGTAAGTGTGTCCAATGGATGGGAGAGAAAAGATTCAAATCTATGATGAGAAGATTATGCAAAACATTTTCATATGTTCAGCCCAATAAATGCAATTTACATCATGAATAACAAATTGTAAAGACAGCTGGGTACTAACATATCCAGTTAAATACACCAAGTTGACACCTGGCTGCCGCTTGAACGGTCCATCTTACCTGGACAACAGTGATGCTGAGTCGGCCCACAGTGTTCACCGAGCCTCCGTACTGCAGCTGGCGGGCCGTCTGGGCGTCCAGCTGGACCTGCTGCTGCTGCTGGGTGGGAGCAATCCGCAGGAAGTCCTGTGGCAGCTCCCCGATGTACACCTGGAGACACGGCACACTGGTGAGGACGAGGCAGGGCAGGCACCCAACACGACTAACAAGAGGGCCTCGCACCAGAACTAATTTTGCTGGCTGTTAAATTGTCCCAAAAATTTTTGCAATTAGCAGTACACCAATGTA